ATCTGCATGGAACAGTAAAACAGTACAGTGGTCTGCCTCCAACATCTGCTACTGCCTTTCAACACTTGTATCGTGTGTATTATCAAGTTCAAGTGTGGCTAGGCAATGATCTGGATATTTTCCCGTAGTTCAACCTAGCGTATGTGTTAATCCAGGGTGTCAGCTAACTCCATACCAAATTTTATTAAAAACGCTCCAGCCGTTTAGACGTGAAGAAGTAACAAACATACACACTCACAAACTTTCGCCTTTATAATATTAGTGTGAAGTATGATAAACATTCACAATCAGCTTTTATTTATTTCTAAAAGTTACTTTAATTCCATTATCAGGTTCTAAAATTCAGTCGATAAAATCTATCGAAAATGTAAAATGTACGACGCAAGACACCACTAAAGTAGGTGCAATGACCTTGTACTGCGTGCGGCCACGTGCAGCGCTCTGTGATCCACGCGTCATTCTTGCTCGATCGTACTACATTACGTGTTTTGAATGTCGTAGAAAGAATAGCGAGCGTACTTTGTCAGCAATGAATATTTTTGTGGAAATATATATGTGATTTATCGTTTTATTAAAATTTCTCGAATTTTTGCTAAAATATCAGTCTAACTAAGAAGTTTTATATTTACCGATGAAAATAAATTCCTGCTTTAGGTAGATTTGATGATTGACTCCTTACTTTGCAAGTAATTACGGCACACGAAGGCATATTTTAAGCGGTAATCACAATACTCTCGTACTGAGCGGTCGCGGGCAACTAAACGACACGATCGTACGTTACGGTCAAGTTATGAGCATTTGCTCATAACTGTGACGAGCCTGCCCCGCCCACAAGGCCATTCTAACCTCTTTCTGTGTTCTGTGAGTATAATTGCCAGTCAAGCTATCGTCTATATAGCTACTATAGACACCCAGCACCATAATTCATTAAGAGAGAACTAAATTAAAATTAAAATTTAGTAGCTATTAAGCTTCGTCACCCAGGTGTTAGAGAATCATAGAACACAGTAAGAGATTAGAAATGGCTGGCTCGCCGCCAATTCACTTCCACCTAATAAATATTAGCCAATCAAAAGACGCGACATCAAACAATCGAACTAACCAGCACTCGCACCCGACTGCAACGACGCAACCAGAACAAAGTTTTGGTCAAATTATGAGCAAATGCTCACACATTACTGTGGCACGCCTGCCTTTGCCATTTTGCATTGACCACTATTTTATTCCCGACAAATAAATAGATTCCATGGTGATGAGCCCGTTGGCGCATCCTCCAGCAGTGGTGTCCGCACTGTTGGATGCGCCAACGGGCTTAAGTGTCGCCGCACACGGGCCACACGTCACAGCCACAAACGCCTTCACAAGAAGCTAGAAGCGGCTACGAAAGTGGCTGAAGCGCGCGACAGCGACCGACTAAGATAAGGGAGTGAGGGGTGGGGAATCGCGCAAGTGACGTGTGGCGGTTTATAGCGTGTGGCGGCCACCGGCGTATCGTGTGTGGTGAGTCCATATAAAATGTATGAAAACTACAAGAAATATGCCGGTGGCGTCGTTTTTTGGTTGTGGTCGGTGGCCCGTGTGCGGCGACACTAATTGAGACTTTAGAGTAGACAGCAACATCAAGATGCTACAAGTTACCATAAACTTCAAAACTGATTCAATAAGAAGCATGTTAAGGGTCTTTTTATTATAGTGATCGAACTGTAACTGTAAATCAAATCGTAATTAATTAGGGAAATTGGTAGTTTGTTAAAGAGCCGGCCTGATCGAACGCTGACCATAATAATAAATTACCAGACCGAGCACCAAAACTGGGTATAATTTTCTAGATCACTGTAAATTATTATCCTTGAAATGACCTTATTTACCAACGATTCTTATTCTGCGCGTCTTATAAATAACTATCCAAGTTACAATACAATGTGTATCGATCGTCGTGTCTCTAGAGAACACTTAATACTTAGTTACTATAGCATTCTCTTGAGGACAGTCAGTCACTTAGCATAAATACGTTAATCGCTCCACACCCACATGTAGCACATCTACTTATATGTTTTAGGGTGTTACCTTATTTACTATTTTCACTTCCTCATACGACCAGCTCTCGTAGAATGAGCACCACAATTTACATTATATCACGTTTTTTATCGCGTCTGGCTTTCAAACTCCATCGTAATTTAACAATTGGGCGTGATAAAAACATGTTATATCATATCGCGGTGCTCATGCCAAAGGGGCAGGATCGTTAATTTTTGGAAGTAAAAAAAACGGAACAAATCAAAATCCATACTCCATAAAAGGAAGAGAACGCATTGAAAAAAAAAGAGAAAAATAAATAACGGGTAAGAGGAAAATAAATAGCGAAGATGGATACCACTGCTCATGAAGCCGCTCAACCTTTACGTCACAGAGATCTTGGAAGAGCATGTGGTCCCCTATGCCGTTTTTGCTAGCGTGGGGTTCACATTAATGCACGATAATGCTCGCGCTCACACTGCATTAATTGTGCGCACACTGCATTGCACACTTCAATAGGTTGGGATCTCTGTCATGCAGTGGCCAGCGAGAAGTCCAGACCTGAACCCTGGTGAATAGAGCACCCCTGGAACCATTTGAAACAAAAGGTTCGGTCTCGTGCTCCCGCTCCCACGACTCTCCAGGAGCTCCAAGATGCCGATATAAGAACGTTATAAGAACAGCTCCTAAAATTCGTAAAATCATCAGCATATTCAATGTAATATATGTACAAGATGTTAAGATATATGTATAATATATGTACAATGTTTTTATTAATCTATGATATAACTACTATGGAATAAATATAATAAATACTATATTATTTTTGTTATAAAAAGATATAATACAATACTTATATAATTAATAATCGTACATAAATCATAAATCTAACACTACAGGGTCCATAATGCACTTTCTATCTATATGTTACCACCTTTGTATCTTCATTATGGTCTGCAATAAATGAATTGAATTGAATTGAAAAAACAGATCTCACATCACAGCGTAATTTATAGTGGTGGTCATCGTAATAAACCCTTTTGCACAAGGAGAAACAGTATTAGTGAAACAATATAACAATGGGAATAAAATGAATGGAAACTTGGAATAATTAAAGAATGATTGGATGCTCAAATATATTCTGTAAGATTAAAAATTAATAATAGCATTGTAATTGAACATGTTGATCAAATACTGCCATATAAAGGTAATATGGATGCTGTGGATGTTGAGGATGTTGGTAAATAGGGGCTCTATTCTTATTCGCCGGCAGAAAATGTGGGGGAAGGAGTGTTATCAGAGAAAGATGATGCCGAAGATAATTCATTTTGCTCCTTGCCTTGGTGTTCCATCATCGCCGCAGAACTCGCTGATGAATCACAACCCACCGGCAATCCTACTAGACCCCTAAACACAGCACCCCGCCCTGAACGTCTAGTTCAATCAACCCGGACAAAGAATCCTAATTACATAGTGTAACAAATTATTATTTTTCTAATATTGGTGGAGGGATATTGTATATTTGTATTGTGGATAAACGAGGCTGTTAATGAGATAGTCCGTCAACGCCAATTAAACGGTATATTACGTACTCCATATTTTATTTTTGATGTGTAACATCTTTCCTCTCGCTTTCCTGCAATTTGTGGGAGTGATTTCGTAAAATGAGACGGAAGTGTGTAACATTTATTACTAGCCTGTAAAGACTGGCCGGAATGCGCTCGGCGATTGGTGGCAATGCTGGCTGCGCATCACCGGCTCGATCATTTGCGGGTACCGTTGTTGAGTAAGTATTGAGTGTGTATGATAGAAAGTCCTTTTTGATGTGTAACATCTTTCCTCTCGCTTTCCTGCAATTTGTGGGAGTGATTTCGTGAAATGGCACGGAAGTGTGTAACAGGAAGTCGCGAAAGCGCGCGCTATTTGATTTGATTTTAGAACATAATGTTCAAATGGCTTATTCCTTTTGTAGTAGGTTTTATTTCATTTTTTACTAATATATAAGGCTCGCTCGTTTTTATTAATGTCCTTGTAACTCCTCAAATAGAACATCGGGAAAAAGTTTGTATGTTGGTTACTAAATCACACAAAAACTGAACGGATTTGCTCCATTTTCTGGATTCAGATAAATGATTCTGGATTGACTTATTATCCCGGAAAAATAATGAGGTTTTATTTGTAGATATGAAATTAGGTACACAGAGAATCCTAGTGGAATTTAAAGACAATTCCTATTGCAAAGCACTTGACGCATCGAAATCTCAACCATTCCTATTATAGAGATGAGGCAAACAATGAGCAATACAATTTCAGTTTCAGTTTTCATCTGATTCATATACTAAAATAGAGCAAGGAGTGCAACATAAATCGCCATTTTACGTAACTTATTTTATTATACTTCTATTGTGTAGTTCGTATTATTTTAGCATGATTTACAATATCGCTTCTTGATATTATACTATGAATCTAAATATAACAAAGTGAGGGCATTCAACCGTGGAATTTCCGGAATATATATAATGTTGTACCATTAAAATATATTTCCGATAAACCCACACTAATAAAAGGGACGAAATTAGGTTTGCCGGCGTATTAGAAATGACACGTGTCTACTGGAATTCAGCAACATATTAACTTTATATATCTACATATTATCGCTTGTACCTGCTAGATCTTTTATTGCCGATAAGAGCCATTAGTAAAATTCTTAGAAACTATTTATTATCTTGTGTTAGCTGCATTCAAAACTTGGGTCGGGCACTTTAGAAAGATTACGTATCATCGCTCAAAATTCAATGCATACAGGCTCCAGCTCAAGCAAGTTATTTGGCGCCTATAAGTCTTTACTTGAAGTCTTTTCTAGCCAATAAATGCCATATTCTATGCTGGCACTGGCACTTATTACATTATTATGATGCGCAAAGATCGAGAATACGAGTTTCTTTATATGTAGCAATTTAAAATTTTCCTATATCTTGTTTCAGTATGGCACCTGATACTCTTCTCATTTGCTGCCATATTAGGCGTAGCAAACTACGTCTTACTACATAATGCCATGCAGTTAGTAGACGACAACTGCGTGCTATTTCCACGGGTGCTGGAGTTCCACATGGTGGAACAAACCAACGAGAACATAACTTTCATGCTGGATTATATGAAACCATTGGAAGATACACCAAAAGAAAATTCTATAAATAATGATATTACGCCAAACGAAACGATTGCTCAAGAATCCGTCCCCGAGAACAACATGACGACAGAGAAAACGGTATCGAAACGGGAAGTAACCATTGATAATGGAACAATGGACGATTTTGAAACTACAGTGGAAATTCAAAACGTGACTATCGTTACAGGTAAGACTATCACATACTTACTTTTAAGATAACGGGACTATAAATAGGTCATAAATTGGTCATAAATGAACAAACATTACGAAGTCCTATTTCCATTTAACCTGATGTTGAAAAACCCTTCCATAAAATATAATCAGAATCTACATTCTTGACAAGATGGCTGATCAAAGAAGGTACATCAATATGTTGATGTAAAAAAAATTGTAGCAACGTGGATTAATGGTGGAAGCCAGGTGACTTAAACATGTCTTCGGAAGCGCAGAAGAAATAGCGATAATAAATCATTCTTTTTCACCTTCGATCACCGATAATCTAAGTTTTTCTTTCACCCTATTCATTGTTGCTTGACTACACAATCCCACAAAAGTACGCATCATGATTCATAACGCGAAGCGATCGACTACTATTTATTTGTTTTTATGTATATTTATAGATAGCTAAATATAACCTTTCTTCTAGTGGAAGCAATCTTTCCCGATTTTTTATTTCAAAGTCTTCTAAGCCAAATGATGTTTTCTTGTTATAAAGCTTGTTGGTTTTGGATAAGTTTGGATATAAAAAGATACGATAAAGGTACCTATAATCTAAAGAATCTGAAAATTGCTGAAGTGTGCTTTTAAAGCCAATGTACTTCCACAATGTAAACAAGGCCGTTCGAGAAGACTAGTCAATTGTGCTCTTATATATCATTTTTCATTATGAATTTAATTTATTAAATTATTTCTCCTAGGGCACCTGCAACAACAAGCTGAAGATCCATCAATTATTAAATTCACTGCAAAACTGATTCATGGTCGTAGACGGACCATAAAACGGAGTTGGTTTAAATTTTCATTAACTTTGTGTTTCTATAAATTTGAACTACCCATTAACACTTTTTCCAAATTAACTAACATTTTGAAGTGTGGTTTTCGTAGATTAATCTTTTGTGATAAGAATATTAAAATCATACATGTGTAATATTAAACTGAAATATCAAAAGAAATTCTAAATCCATTGGAATTTTTTGATAATTGAAAATAGACCATGATAAGATCGAGGAGGCAACTGTTTCTTTACTAAATATCATGTTAATACAAAGTTTATGGCGCTAATAAAGAACGAAATACAAACAACCGCCATACATCCCAGGGTGCCATACATTTTATATCAACAAGAGTCCAGGCGCTCAGAGGCGCATTCTAACCATTCCCACATTACTCAAAGAAGCTACTTCTACCCACAGAAATGTTCTAACAGTGATTTTTATATAGGGAACAAGACTCATCGTCTAGTGCTGGACACCAGTAGGACCCTGTTCGCATTGGAGAGCGAGTGCGAGTTCGCTGAGTACATGCCGATCATGGCCACCATGTGTGCCCTGGTCTGGATCACGCTGTTCGCCATGTGCCCAGGGGGCGGCCGACCCAGGTCTGGGTAAGTGTGAACAAGAAAATAAATAGAGATACACCTAACATACACTCCTTTTTTGGAAAGATGTCGTGGTGAATAGCAGAAAAAAAATAAAGAATAAATAAAACCAACTTTTTATTTTTTATTTCATCCATTTTAGTGAAAATTACATCGTCTAAGTAAACAATAACACAATTGGCGGAGAAATCGGTGAACATGCATAAAAAACATCGTGCGTGCGTGTTTGAAATTTGAAGGTTTCCCTCGATTTCCTCGGATTCCATCATCAGATCCTGACTTGGTTCCAATGGGACCACCTCGGAAGTGCACTCTTTCGAATAAAAGAGAATTTTGGAAATCGGTCCACAATTGACGGAGAAATCGGTGAACATAAAAATACAGTCGAACTAAGAACCTCCTCCTTTTTTGAAGTTGGTTAAAAAACGTTGCTACAGTTCTATTTAACAGATAACATGAATGATTGCTAACTAGAAAAAATGGAAATCGGTACGATGGTACCTGAAACACGGCTCCAAAGTTTATATTTAATTTTAGTTCAAAGACTTGGCCTTCTTGAATTCGGGATCGGGGGACAGGGAGTAGTAAACACTAGGTTTTAGGCTTAAAATGGATACATTACCTAACTCGTAAGGAGAAGGAGAGATCTAGTGATGTGAGTAAGCTTTTAGAAACCTCAGGCTTGAGAGCAATAGGGCGGAGCGGAGACAGAGAGCACTATCCCCAGCCTGGGATGCCGCTTAACTAAAGGTTGGGGAACAGACCAACGACATTCACATCTTCTAAAAATAAGCACTTAAGTTTCTTTATTGCCCACAGGCTCAAGCAGCCGTGGAGGATATTAACGCCGGCGTTGCTTTTTGCTCTGGTCCTGGTGGCACTTACTGGCCGTAGTTTCGCCCGCACGAACAGCGGGCTGCAAGAGTTCTGCGCTGCCTTCGCGAACATCACCAATTCGACCACGTTAGTACATCATTGCAAATTCGTTTCCTAACTAATTAACCTGTACCATTTCGGTAGAAATGAGTAGGCAACAAATAGGTAGGTAAATGTGATTTAATTCTTCAACATTTTTTTTAATTACAATCGAATCTCTAGAGCGTGAGTCCTAACATAGCAACTGTAGTTCACGTAACTAACTCCCTGTCAACCGCTGTCCAGCTTCCTCACCGTGGAAAGGCAGCCAGATGCGGTTGGAATTTGTAGCCACCGACCGTAGCGGTAAAGATTTGTAGACACAGCAGAGGTGAGTATTTTTCAGCCACACAGTAGCTGCCTTAGTGCCCCTTGTATACCCAATGGTAGTTTCCTGTAATGGTCCAAAAACTTAGAATAATTATGCAATGAATATTTAAAATAGAATTTAAAATTAGAAAATCGACAGAAATATTATTTCACGGACTTAAGATTAAATCAAAAAGGGAAGGAAGATACGGTACGCTCGTACTAGCATCAAATAAAAAATAAACCGCAGCGCGAGCGAAACAGCGAGTCCGCGTCGCTTGGCTTGGCGACTGCGTTTTCTTTTCTCTCTACAAACGGCTGAGCCACGGTAATATTACCGTGGCTGAGCTGTTATTGTCCTTTTCTTACACACGCGGAAAAGTAAATAAAATTCATCACAACCCGTGATTTTCGAGAAAAAAAAATGATTTCATAGAATTTGTAAAAACAATGAAAAGTGTTGCCGTGTGTTAGGTATTTGATCTTAAACTATTTGTGTTCTTTATAAAAGCATCGAAGGCATTGTTTTATATTTATAACATTTCATTCATTCTTCATTTCATTGCAATCACAATGTAGCTTTGCTTAATCAGAAGAGAGGCTCTCGTTATCCTCGTAAAATAATTAGATACCTGAACTTCCCGCTATTGATTTTGACAACACGTGTCGCGCACGGCCTGCTTGAAGCTGCATCAGAATGCCTGTAAACGTAACAATGTGTGCGTGTCGGAAATAATGGCTCTTTCGGTATCTTCTTTGTAGGCCATTACTTATAACCTTTTCCTTTTTTAAGTTAGTCTTGTTTAAGTACCTATGTACTTTGTCGTTTTAGTTGCTCGTCAGTGGAGCCATATCTATACCGGAATTGGAACACGACGTGGGGTATGGGCGCACGGGCAGCAAGCGCGCGCGCGGCGAGCGCTGCGGTGTGGGCCGCGTGGACGTGCGTCGCCGCGTTACTGCTCGCCCGGTGCCTGGCTGCACCGGACTTCATGGTCAAGAAGACCGGTGTCTACCTCATTAAGGACCCTCAAGGCGTAAGACCATAATACCAAACCTATTTTGCAATGAGGGCTACCGTTTTCTGCCTCACCAGATGGCGCCACTGTTGAGTGAGGTCCTAAATTGTAACTTTTAAAGTTTATTAATACGCACATGAAATCAAAGGTTACATTTAGATCGTATTTTAATACAAAAGAACCATATCCTAAACATAGTAGGCCATGCCACAGTGACGCGCAGTTCCGATTTATTCGGAAAAAATGGGAACATAATCATTTTTCTAAGCTCAAATTTTTAATAACTGACATTCATTGCCACATAACTCATATTTGCCATAATTAAGCCGAATTGTTACCAATTATTCACAACATTATTTTAATTAGAAATAAACCCGCGTAGTCAACCAACAAGCAATAACATTTGACATTTCGGAGACCTCACGCTACACTAGCGCCTCTAGCGGCGGATTCATACGCGATAGCCCTCATTAAATGGTGCGTCGCCACGTGACTGCTCGTCCGGTGACTGGTCGCACCCGGCCACATGATCAGGAATACCGGTTTCTATATCATTAAGGACCCGCAAAGAGTAAGAAGACATAACTATTTTGTTACTGATGCAACGTGAGTCGCCACGATACTGATCGCGCAGTACCTGGTGACCAATCGCCATCAATTGTTATGGCTATCGCTATAACGTACGATTTCATTTTATTATTTCCGACCGCCGAAGGTTGTCAAATGCCTTGCGCTGTTTTGTATTGGTAATAACAACATTAAACATAATGAGCGTAAAGTATTTGAAAACCTTATCAGTCAGAACGAAATACAACGACAACAGAATGAAATCGTAGCGATAGCGATAGCCATAGCAATCACGTGGCGTCTACCTCATAAAGGACCCACAAGGCGTGTGACAATAATTCCAAACCCATTTTGTGACAAATGCAACGTGTGTCACCGCGTTACTGCTCGTGCGGTGCCGCGAAGCATTGTACCACATTAAGAAACCACAAGGAGTAAGACGACAAATACCAAACCTATTTTATAACTGAAGCATATTTTTCTTTATGTCCGTGAATTACCAATTAAGTCTTTGTTTGTATTTTGGCGACGGTACGCACTGCAGCTATGCTGCAAGACACACACTCATTTTCAATTCACAATTACGGAATTGAATTCTTTCCTCGCATCATCATTCTCTGAATAACATAGGGATTTCAAGGCAAGAATGAAAGACACTACTTGAGTTTGCGTGCTCTAAATTAAATCATATGGCATTGTCGCATCTGCAGTGTTTTCGAATCTTTAGTATGAATAAAAGTAATGTCGTAAAAGTTCTGTTGCCACAATTTACCTATACAAAAAAAATATTCTCCGCAGAAAATCACACCACACCTAAGAAAGTCTGGTAGACGTTCAGGGCGATCACCACTTGCGTCTCCGACACGCCAAGACGCCACCTCCGTGCGATCGGAACCCACATGCACCACGGAGCTGCCCACGGCTTCTGCAGACCCGGAGCTGGACTCCGTTCCGACGTCCCTTATGGCCACCCCGATAAGGAAAACCGAAGATGCCGACCTCATAGAAATGACCTATACACCTCAGACGACACAGCTCAGCAATTGATATCAGTGCAATAAGCTTGTAGAATCTGATCCTTTATCTGGTAAATAGCTTGGTATTATGCAATGTTCTGAAAGACGCTTGATATACAAGATCAGCTTTCGCATTTGATTGATTTCGATTAACGAGAGCATTGCGATTTATTTGTTCTGCCTCTGTGGCGCATTGTTTGTTAATATTTACCATACGTAGCGAAATTCTGTCTGGTTTTTACATTATAATTAACCACTTCGATATCCAGAAATAAAAAAGGAAGTTGACATTAAAGATATTAATTAAAATAATACTTATCTTCTTAAACCAAACTTATTTGTATTTATTTCACTTATTAGTAGGTTTAACAATATTTTCTATTACCTACCTATTTTATGGATTTACAAAATATTCTTATATATTTATGTAAGTAGGTTACTTTAATGAAAAGGATTGTGCTTAATAAACGTATGGACGAGAGAAAAAAACCTAAACTTTTGTTTTATTTATTTATATCCCATTTGATTAAATATGAGCAGTGATTAGCGCGTTTGGTTAGCGATTGCCACGAAATTATTAAACTTTCTCAACGACCGGTCATAAGATGGTGACCAATCATGAATTTTCTCGAGGCTTTTTCTGCGCTTGGCACGTTAACTGTGGATTCCGGCTGCACCCGCACTGCGCCCACGTGGCGGGCCATGGCCCAGTATCCCTATTATCTCCTCACCGCATTATGTAACATATTTGTAACAGTTGGTTTTCTATGCCTCATTTAAATTTGGCACGTAATGTAGAGGTGCCAACATTCACAATCCACAGCATGCTTTGACAGTTCTATTATAATTAGACTTGCAACGAATAGTATATTCGGCAGTATACCGAATATTCAGCGGGGCCCCTGACCGAATAGCCGAATATTAGGCAAAAGTATTCGGCTGGATTTTAGCGCCACTTCCCGCGTGCCACTCCGATTTAATTTTTATACCTTTGGGGGCGTCCATAAATTACGTGAGATGTTTAAGGGGGGAGGGGGTCGAGTCAAATCTCATCTAATCTTACGTTGGAGAGAGGGGGGGTAGAATCAAATATCACGCAATTATTTTCGGATTGAAACAAAAAAAGTATACTTTTTTGGTCCATTTAATCCAGATTGTACACGCTTAAAATTTAACCTGAAGCGTCATCATAATACGATTAAGATCATTCACTATTTCGTTCAAAAGAAATAACTCTCAGCAATATTGATTACTAGTCTTAACTAGTCGTAAATAAAAGCACGAAGCTTTTTTTTTGTTTTTACAATAACAATCCAACGCATTTACGTAAGAAACCCACATTTTGAAAAATCTCACGTGAGATTGGGGGTTGGGGGAGGGGGTTGAATAAAATCTCACGACATCTCACCAGGGGAGAGGGAGGGACAGAAAATTCAAAAAAAACACCTCACGTCATTTATGGAAGCCCCCTTTCTGCGTAGTTTCGTCTTAATTTATTACAGTTTAATCCATACAATAAAAAATACATAAGGAAAACTATTCCACAACCAGTGTTGCCAGTACCTGCGTCGTGTTTCGGACGATTCGAAATCTGAAAAGGGACGTTTTTAGTCAAAAAGGACGGCCTTACAGAAATATTAAACTAAAGGCTGAACTATATTTATCTTACGTGTTGTATTGTGGCGCAATCTGCTTCATACATTTAGTACGGTTAGCACTAAGAACTATACCTGTGTGTCGCGATGTTTCGACAGCGTTCTCACTTTAACCATAATTGTATGAAAGAGATAGCTCTCTGATGTGTTACAACACAACACGACAGGTAAGTGTAGTTCTATCATAATGCGGTTAAATGAAAAAAAAGCGAGTGTGTTTAGGAACACACGACTGAAGTGAAATTTCTATAGCTCCAATGATCTGAAATTTGATAGAAAAAAACTACCAATCCGCGCTGGGTCCATTATCACACACCAATCCGCACTGGGTCCATTGCCACCGACTAATCCGCGATGTGTCCGTTATCACCCTCCAATCCGCACTGGGTCCATTATCACCAACTCATCCGCGCTGGGTCCATTATCACCCACTGGATCCGTTATCATCCACCAATCCGCACTGGGTCTGTTATTATACACCAATCCATACTGGGTCCGTTATCACCCACCAATCCGCGCTGGGTCCAGTGTCACCCACCAGTCCACACTGGGTCCGCTATCATCCACCAATCCGTGCTGGGTCCATTATCACCCACCAATCCGCACTGGGTCCATTGCCACCGACCAATCCGCGCTGTGTCCGTTATAACCCTCCAATCCGCACTTGATCCATTATCACCAACCCGTCCGCGCTGGGTCCATTATCACCCACCAACCCGCACTGGCTCCGTTATCATCCACCAATCCGCACTGGGTCCGCTATTATACACCAATCCACACTGGGTCCGTTATAACCCACCAATCTGCGCTGGGTCCGTTATCATCCATCAATCCACGCTGGGTCCGTTATCACCTACCAAGCCAAGCACTAGATTTATGTATTTTGTTACAGGTATTGTTCATTGTTTACCGATGAGTCACCGATGACACTAATCGTAACACGAAAAGGGAAGATGCATATATAATATATATGAAAATTTTATGATTAAAATGTTAAAAAAATATAAAAGAAATGCCACTGCAACGTTTTTATTTTACATAATGTTGTTTTTTAACAATTATTACGAATTAAAAATACTTGAAACGGAACGTATTTTAAAACACCAATCAGCGTTTAGTGACGTCACTCCTGTTATGACAACTTCTTTGAGGTTATGGTTGTTAAAGTAAATATTATTTTATGGGAATATTTATTGCGTTTTTTTAACATTTAATAAAAACAGAAGTTGCGTTTATCAAAGCAGACTCCAGGAATTTACCAAGAGTTAGCGTTGACATGGTTATAACATTTTTTGTCCAAAGTGCAGTTTTTAAGTGTAGAAATGAAAGGGACTAAATTACTACGGTATGTAAAAATCGTAGTTGTTAAACTTCGTATTTTATCCAGCGGCTTCTACAAATCTTACGGCGATAATGCAATCGGCTATGTCCAAATTAAAAAAGATGGAGAATTATGTACAGTAAAAGGTCGAGTTCCCCGGAGCATAAAGTACGTAAAGAAGGTTATCGTGTTAAGGTTATTTTAAATGAAACGCAAAGCTTGGTTCAGTCCTGCCAATGTGAAGATTGTGCCACACATTTTAAACTTTATCTAATTTTCGACGTCATTCTCCAACTGTAAAATTAAAAATATGTTATAGACAGGTTTTGTAAGTATTGGGTAGGTTACTAATGCGTTTTTACGTACAAGCAGATTAATTAAGCATATATACAAGTATATTCGCCGACTTACGTCAAAGTGATCTTCTCAGCATCAAATAATGGTCTTTGGAGAATAATAGGGAAGATGCAATATTTTTATTTTTGTTTTCATTTTAAAGAATTCCATGTAGAATAAACCACAGATATATTAAAAAATTGAAACATTGTGATTTATCGGAAAAAATGCGGTTTTAAATTGACAATTTAAATTTTCGCGCGAAAACGAACCTATGGTTGCGATGACGTCACTCCTGTCTGTCACTGGTCGTAATTGTTCGTTGCTGGCTTTAAATTTTCATACTTACTTTTGCATATTTTTTCGACTTTCGAAATATTTTTTTGAAAAATTTAAAATGGACTATCCATCGACATCATGTGATCATAACAATACCACTAATATTCCGAAAAAAAGCCGTGTTGACTCATGTTTTGTGCCAATCTACTTCAACAAAGTTCCCAAATAAATTGTTTTTGACTGGAACTTCTGACCCAAAACTGAAAAAAAAGTGGTTTCAAGCTGCGAAGAGAATGACAATTATTCTCCAAAGACCATTATTCGATGTTGAGAAGATCACTTTGACGTAAGTCGGCGAATATACTTGTTATATGCTTAATTAATCTGCTTGTACGTAAACCTACCTAATACTTACAAAACCTGTCTATAACATATTTTTAATTTTATAGTTGGAGAATGACGTCGAAAATTAGATAAAGTTTAAAATGTGTGGCACAATATTCACATTGGCAGGACTGAACCAAGCTTTGCGTTTCATTTAAAATAACTGTAACACGATAACCATCTTTACGTACTTTATGCTCCGGAGAACTCGACCTTTTACTGTACATAATTTTCCATCTCTTTTAATTTGGACATAGCCGATTGCATTATCGCCGTAAAATTTGTAGAAGCCGCTGAATAAAATACGAAGTTTAACATTTACGATTTTTACATACCGTAGTAATTTGTTCCCTTTCATTTCTACACTTAAAAACTCTGCACTTTGGACAAAAAAAGTTATAACCATGTCAACGCTAACTCTTGGTAAATTCTGGAGTCTGCTTTGATAAACGCAACTTTCATTTTTATTAAATGTAAAAAAACGCAATAAATATTCCCATAAAATAATATTTACTATAACAACCATAACCTCAAAGAAGTTGTCATAACAGAAGTGACGTCACTAAACGCTGATTGGTGTTTTAAAATACGTTCCGTTTCAAGTATTTTTAATTCGTAATAATTGTTAAAAAACAACATTATGTAAAATAAAAACGTTGCAGTGGCATTTCTTTTATATTTTTTTAACATTTTAATGATAAAATTTTCATAAATATTATATATGCATCTTCCCTATTGTCATTTTTCTTTGCAGCTTGAAACCACTTTTTTTTCAGTTTTGGGTCAGAAGTTCCAGTCAAAAACAATTTATTTGGGAACTTTGTTGAAGTAGATTGGCACAAAACATGAGTCACATGATGTTGATGGATAGTCCATTTTAAATTTTTCAAAAAAATATTTCGAAAGTCGAAAAAATATGCAAAAGTATGAAAATTTAAAGCCAGCAACGAACAAGTACGATTAGTGACAGACAGCAGTGACGTCATCGCAACTATAGGTTCGTTTTCGCGCGAAAATTTAAATTGTCAATTTAAAACCGCATTTTTTCCGATAAATCACAATGTTTTAATTTTTTAATATATCTGTGGTTTATTCTACATGGAATTCTTTAAAATGAAAACAAAAATAAAAATATTGCATCTTCCCTATTCGCCAGTTTACCCCCCAAGTCAAGGCGTGCCTAAAGAAGTTTCACTTCAAAAACATTTTAACAGAGCCATATTAATTATATTTTTTTGGGCACACAATAAACATAATGAAGATGGTACGGAGGACATAGGTACATCATGGTGGTATGAACGTACCGTACGTACTTACGACTCTACAAAGCAAGCACTTATTCTTAAGTTACCTATTATCTTCATAACTGAAACATACCTCAACAACAAAAGTTTTATTAGGTAAGATATGGTAGGTTATTGGGTTAGAGCTTTGAGTTGGTATAGATATAGGTAGGTATATATTAAACGTAACCTTCGTAGCGAGCGTTGAATTCGATGTAGTTTACTGGGTGATTTGACGAATAGAGTTGACAATGTACAACGAATAGTGATGGCAATTTAGTGAAATAAATCAATGAGTGAAACGAAACGCATTCGTCTAATGTTGCAGTGAAGCGTTATCGAAAACGGACGGAAAAGGGACGGAATATGTAAAAGGACATCGATGGGACGCTTTGATGAGGAAAGGGACGAAAATCGTCCCTTTTGGGACGTTCTGGCATCACTGCCACAACTAAAAGTCGATGACAGCTGATGTACATAAGTTTGGTGTTGCCAGACACATGAATAATGTTAGTTCCTCAAACATTCATGTCACGACTTTATAGACAAACTGTACTAGGGTAACGGATAGAATACATATAAAGTTCATATATAAGTATTTTATATAGAAATACATATTAATCCTTGTGACCTAGCAATCGGGACATATGTAAATTGATAAAGATAAAAGATCGTTTCGTCCACAAACAACTTGAAGAAACACAAGAAAAAAATACAAAGTACAAGGCTGTATGGAATGTTTCCTCTGCTTTCAAAAGGGTAGAAAAATACAAAAAAGTAGTAAGTAATTTTCGGCGGATTTCATCGCGGTTAGCGTCTTATTTTAAATTTTAATTATTCTTTAATTCGTTCATAACGGATATTATGAGACAAAATTGGTGTGATTTTGTGTTACCACTAGTGTCCGACCGAAATTTCGGTTTCGGTTTCGGTTTCGGCCAGTTTCGGCCAAAAAATCAAGTTTCGGCCCGAGTTTCGGTTTCGGCCAAAAACGGCCGAACCTTTCGGCCGCGCCGAAACTTACAACATCGTACCTTCGGGTCGCGCTCGGCTAACGTCGGGCGCGCTCGGCACGGCTGGCAATATGGCGTCGCTCGCCTGACTCCGCCGGTAACTACCTAAATCAGTGCGCTTTGCTCGTGTAGACGTTATATTATTTTTAATTAGATAATTAGTTATAAAAAATAAAAAGTATAAGTATAGATTTGTTACTATAAAAGGTTCGCTAAAATGATTACCAAAGGTGATCAATTTGATTATTTTGATTATCTAAATAGGTATATTTGAATTAGCCATTCGAGGCTAACTGATTGTGATATTTGTGAGTATAATTAAAATGTAAGTAACTGAAAATAAATAAACATATATGAGCATCATATTTTAATAATAAAGGAGATTGTTCAAATTAGCCCAAATGTACAAACAATATTGTTTTACAGTCATTAGATTTTAACGGACACTTTTGTACAATATATTCATTTTAAAAAGGACTTTTAATTTTACCGGTTTGGAAAACATACGAATAATTTTTAATGGCTATGGGTGTAGTAACATTCAGCCAAAGACAGATCGAAGTTGTTTATATAACATCAAAACAAATATATTTTGTAAAGATGGATAAAATTTTTTTTTTTTTACACTGTGGTATTAATATCCACAATTATATTATCATTTTCTCTACATGAAAATGTGCTAAGACAATTATTATAGATGGTAGGCGACATCATAAAGTCTATTGCCATACATTTTTGCCAAACACCTCCATAAACACATTATAAGGTGTGATACACCAAAAATCTAAAATATGGTTATAATATAAACATAACAAAAATAATGACGCAACTGAAGATGTAGCTGTAACCTAAATCTCTTAGCTTTCTTTGGTTAACGAGAGTTTAAAAATTCTCTCTAATTTGTGGCTCATTCACAATCATCACACAGTTTCTGTCACAGAGTTATTATAACCGGATATGCATAGATGATACCTGATTTTAAAAGTAACTCTTGTGCATTAACTAAAAACAGGCAACTATCTTTTAATCTACATGCTTTATGTACCTGAATCTAATACATAATTTCTGTACTTGGCTTGATTTCCCTAGCTTACTATATAACTTATTTGTTTTTTATTATTTTAATACTTAAGTACCTATTTGCAAACATAACCTCAAAATCATTCAGTGTATATGGTTTGTAGAAGTTCTTATGGGTGTCCGTCAATAATATTCGTTGCTACAGTAATTTATATATAATTTCGAATCTAGGAAACATTTTTTTATGATTATTGGTCTTTAGGCCAAACAAGTATGGAAGCTGAGCCATCTCCTTTGTTTTATTTTATACCACCATTAAAAAATCGCTAACTTTGTGTTACAAGTAATGTATTTTTTTCACTTTATAGGGTAGTTAAATTTTCAAACAGAACCTTTGTAACTGTGCTGTAATTTCATTGTGATAAATCTTTGAAAGTAGAAACCTGTAATTATAGCTCGGCGAGACATTAATTTTACAAAAAAAACGGGCTTACTAACATTTTTTCGACTTTTTTTTATAAAAGGTTCGGTTTCGGTTTCGGTTTCGGCCGAAACTACAATGAAACCGAACCTTCGGTTTCGGTTTCGGTTTCGGCAAAATAACATGTTTCGGTCGGTCATTAGTTACCACCATCTGTACAATTGAAGAATTAGTGGAATCTTTGAAATATACTTTATTCCGGTCAAGTAGAAGTGAAAACTTTATTGTAGTGTTGACTACCTCACAGAACCTTATTGAGAAAGCTGACTCTATACATTTCGTGCCAAACACTCCAAGAAACATTCGCATGCGTGTTACCCACATTCTAACGTAATAAAAGAACAAAGAAAACAGAAGACTCGGCTATATGGGCATTGTTTCCTTTGCCTTCTCTGAAAAGGGAGAACCATAAAAAAAGTAGTGACATTTGACAATTACTGACAGTGACAGTAACAAAAAAACATCCTGAATTTAAAAAGCAAATAAATTTTCGTAATTGAGAACAATATAGTGAAAAAATGTATTTTCGAGAACTGCTACTGTAAATAATTTTAATTCTGAAAACATCGAAAATGATTGCTTGTATTCAGGTAAATAGAGCGTTAACTCATCGGAATCTATTTAATCGTTTTTTAAGGCTTTCACACAGCGAGTCGTCGACAAGAGTTTTATATCCTCTAGAAAGTAGGAAATTATTAAAAATAAGTGGGAATGAAAGTGCTTCATTCCTGCAAGGACTTATTACAAATGATATGCGCCATTTCGAAGAAGGCACAAAGTCCATATATGCTATGTTTTTAAATAATAAAGGTAGGGTGCTGTATGATACTCTGATCTATAAATGGGAAGGAAATGACGTTTTTATGATAGAATGTGATAAAGAAGTTGTGAATATGTTATCTAGGCATTTGAAACTTTATAAATTGAAACGAAAAATTGGATTGGAGGATGTCAGTCAACATTACCGCATATGGAATTTGAAGGCAGCCGATGAGACCATAAATTCCGATAATATATCTGAAAATTCGATCAAAATCTTTAAAGACCCCAGGCTTGTCGACCTTGGATTTCGCATTATATCAACTGTAAATATGAATGGTGTCCACATAGCACAAAACATTTCAAACAATATTGTTGTTGAAAACCATGAAATTGGATACAAATACTTGAGATATAAATTAGGAGTTAGTGAAGGTGCAGAGGACCTAACTCCTGGAACTGCTTTTCCTTTAGAAGTAAATTGTGATTACTTGCATGGAGTAAGTTTTCACAAAGGTTGTTATATTGGCCAAGAATTAACAGCGAGAGTACATCATACTGGCGTTGTTAGAAAAAGAATAATGCCCTTGAAATTTAGTGAAAATGTCAAGGAGGCTATAGAGAAAGATTCTGTTATTTCTGCTAGTAATAAACCTAAGTCTAATTTAGGAAAACTTAAAGGAGTTTTAAATGAATATGGTATAGGTTTGATTAGAATAAAGGAAGCACTTGATTCAAAAATGGTCCAAATTGGGAATCACACTGCAGAAGTTGTGAAACCAACATGGTGGCCTATTGAAGCTCCAAAAGAAAAAGTTATTACCAAAACTGAATGAAGTTTACTACATTAGCATGTATGTATTATCCTACACATACAATGATAGACTACTCGAAGTAAAGACATCTGAATTATTTTCCATTTTAAATAAAGAGGATGAATAATATACATGTTCTAAATCAAAATAAACAAATATTTCTCAAACTAAATATGTAACTGTTTTGATTAGTACCTAGTGTAGGTATGCATTTGTTTTGAGTTTGCTAAGTGTTGGCTTAAACTGTGGAATTTAACTATTAATAAAATGAATAAGTTGTATTTAACTGTTATATTATTGTTTAGTAATCTTAACATAGATAGATAAATGACAACTTTTATCAAAATTAATAGATTCAATGAAAAACATATCTGATGTGTTCTTTTTCAGTAAAATGGCAGAACCAAAAACCAGCGAAGTTGTACAAGTGGAGTATGATTTTAAATGTACATCATGCAATCTCAGTGAACAGGCACATTATAAAGGCACAGCCCCACCATTTTCACGCAACATGGTTTTGAAGTACCCCAGTTATGTAATGAAAGATCCCTTCAGTCCACCAGGAAAAGGCGAAATATTAGTTCTGGGTGCAGACTGTGCAATATGTGAACAAACTGTTTGTATTAGTAAAGAATGCAGTTTATTTTATTCTAAACTCTTTTGTTTAAATTGTGCTAATGAATCAATTGATAAATTCCCAACGGAAATCAAATCCAAAGTGGTACTACTAAAAAGAAAAAAACAGTCAGACTAAAAAATAGTTTTATTATTTTTACCCTAACAATTTTTAAAAGAAATTTCTGGTTCAAATGCAGCCAAAGTAATTTAATATTAATGATGCTGCTTCTATTATTTCTTTCGTTAAATCTCACTTCAGATAGATGTAATTAAAAGAGCTGCTTTACTTTACAGAAAAATTGATAAGAATATAAATTATTAAAACTTAAGGACAGTACAGAAAAAATGATAAGAATATAAATTATTAAAACTTAAGGACAGGACAGAAAAACTATTTTCAGTTTCCTATAAAGACGGTAAGGTAAAGTAGTTGTTGCAGTAGGTATTGGCATAATATTATTTGAATGAGACACAAATTTTATAAAATACTGTTTACTTTGGCTTTCCAGTCAGATTTACAGTATTTTTCTTAATTTTCACAAATCATGTTCAATAACACAGTTATATTTTACCGAACCATGAGTTCCAGTAACACAAATCTAAATTATAATACAAATGTATTTAGAAGCTAAGATTGAAATGCGGTTAGTGTGAACTGAATAATAATGCAACTAATCGTCACTTTATGCCGCTGTTCAATGGAAACAAAATCTTAAAACTAACGATAAATTACAGCATATTAGGTTACATATATTAATAAGCTCTAAATCAGGACAAAACTAAATACACTGATTCCAGTCACTCAAAATCTTATTGATAGCACCACATTTTAATAACCCTTTTACAATTTTTCCAGTGACTGTTGTCTCACCATACAACGAATTATATTGATATATCATCTTATAAACAAAAGTCAATAACAGTTATACAATAATAAAGTACATACAAGTTATTGTGGTTAATTGAGACTTCATTAATGAATAAGTAATTCGTATTCAGCTGAACATTATTGCTTTTTGTTGGAATAAAAATTTGCACATGCATCTATTGATAGCCTAGATGAATGAATGTGTTACAATAAATATTCATGTAATATTCGTACTATAGAAATATCTTAAATCTTGTAAACTTCTCTGTTCATCATAATAATATCTAAATCATTAACTAAATTTGTGATGGCTTGCCATTATATTATAGTACAGGGGGAGATACTAAAAATGGACAATTTGTAATGTCTATGTGTTAGATAATAATTACGTCTTAAAACTTACAATTTGTGTAAATATTTAGTGTTATATAAATGGGGCAGTGTTATTATTACAGGATCATGTTTGAAATATTCTTACTTAATATTATTAATATAACACCACCATGAAAGAAAGTCGTATTTTTCATGGTCAATGCAGTACATGGCCGCATTTAATACTAAGTTAGAATAAATAACAGTATTATTTTTGTAATATCTATACAACGATATTAAATACCCTAGATATACCAACACGAAGAAAATCGTGGCCGAAACCTGTCCAAAAGGTACATTTGACGATCCACTAAGCTCCGTAAGATAATTGCGTAGTCAAAACTTTTTAAACAGTGTAAGTGACCTTTAATGCACACAGTATAAGGTCTTAATTATCTTAAAACGCAAGCGTCACAGTTCGAAATGCAGGTTCATAAAATTTTACGACTTATTGCTATACGTGGAAGAATATAGACCTTATTTCTGTGACTCTACACGCAATTCTAAATGCGCTGTTACCAATACAGCAGGTAAGGACCGCGAGGAAAAGAGACGGTAATATTACCGACGATGCATTTGAATATCACAAATATTTTTTTATTAAATCAGTTTCTAGTAAGTATTAGAACAAATTTTGCTTTAAATGCGTTAAATTACCAAACATTGATTAGGTAACTGTCGAAAAAAAGACACTTTACATACTATAAGTACTTTTTTCGCATTTTTTCACGGAGCTCTACAGCATCTTGACTTTTCGACGGTCCGCGCGTGACTGTGAACCTAGAAGTGCTTGAGTAGTGTTCAATCATTTCTCGATTGATACACATTTTGGGCGCACGTGGTGTATCTAAGGAATTTAATGTCGTTGTATATATCTCCAACTATTTGAAGAAAAGGTAATGTGGGGAACATAAGCTGTCATTCCCCGCATTACCTTTTCTTTCTATGTGAAAGAATATGAAGCAGAATGTACTATTTTAATTCAATAAGGTGGAAAATTATTTCTTTCTACGTATTATTATTAGGTAAAGAACGAGGAGTGATAACCAAAAATTCATCATGAAAATATCAAACAACACAGATGTTGCAGAAAGAAGTACAGTAATACTTAACTGTCTTCATAACACTCGTACATCGTAAATTATAAAAATGATAGTATATCACATTTTAAAAATACGCAACAGTATTAAACACGACCGCATGCGTCTTGTACTTAGCTAATAGGTAGTCTCTTTGAATTTTTAATTACTTACACAATGCATTCGACAAAATTTTACTGGCCTAATTTTGAACGAAACGAAGGGAGAACTTTAAAAGTACCTACGCAGCTTGGACGGGTATATCGACTTACAATATTTGTTACACGTAAGCTCAGACTCGGACATTGTAAGCGGGAAATCTTTTCTAAAAGGTACACGTAATATCTTAAACTAACAAACCTTTCACAGCCGAAACATAAAAATGTTTTTGATACAAGTTTTAAAACCAAAATTAGGTATTATATATTAATCGAGAACAAAATAAATTGATAGCTACTCAGATAATTTTAAATGCATAAGACTAGTCATTTTGATTACAGTAATCATATTAGTAACTCGAGCTACAATAATCAAAATAACAATGTGTGCATACGCTTTACGCGCATAATTTTGAATACTGAATCAATGCAAGCAACTATAACAAAATATGAACACGTTCAATGTTGAAAATCCTGGATTAATAAAGAGATTTTTGTATAAAACGTTAGAAAATATTAAAAAAGAGAGTGGTTTGTCATGCATATAAACATGACAAAAGCATAAGCAAGTAAAATACATATTATACTTTTTGTAATAAGAAAAACACGTAAATTATTTCCGAAGCTGCAAACTTGTGTTCAAGTTTTCAATGAGTAGTCAATTTATATTTATTTAAAAAATAAGCGGCCGTTGGGATATAAATAGTAAACCTATATTGTTCTACAGTCCCTCAAAATGTATTGGTGAAACATCATGAAGAAGTATAGAACGATACGCCTTAGATACAAATCGAAATGTTACAATAACAGCTACTTTTGATTTACATCGGATCTGAGAAATATCTACACTCTACTTAACTATAAAATTAAAAAACGATATAAAATTTCACCACATTTTCTCTTTTGTCTGATCTCAAAATTGAATATAGTTCACGACTTGTAATTGAGAAGATAAATAGATATTGAGAGTCAAGTCAAATGCAATAGGGTATTTGACAAGATTTAGAAAACGATCTCACGTTATTGTCTAATGTTTATGGAGTCACTGAAAAAGTGGATATTCATCATCCATTTTTAAATTACCGCGAAAACGTTTCTCTGTACAATATAAATGTGATACTAGTGTGTGACGTCACACGACTGTTATTAAAACGTCAAACGATACAATGTAATGTCACTTTAACCAGAAGTTTGCTTGGGTGTGACGTCATTTTAGGCTCCGCCAATCCCAAGCGTTTTGGGTCACGTGATAATAGATAAAATAACTATTATCTTTTTCGTGGGTTTTTAGTAAAATTATGAATTTTTTTTTTTGTAAAAATAGTAAAAACCCCTGCCATCATTCAAAACCAGATGCTAACATTTGGCACTTTATTTTTAATACTGTCAAATACCCTATTAGTACACAAATGAAATACCTAAAAATGTCATTTTAAGTCTACCGAACAAATGACGCGGATTAAATATAAAATAAATTTCATTTCTATAATTTCATAAAATTATCAGTCGTTTGAAATGCCATTTTGCTCATTTCAAAATGAACATGATCAACCCCATGTTTTTTAAATCAAACCGTAAATTATATTCGTTTATAAGATCAATACAATACAACCATCACATATAACACATCAGTCGCATCGATGTCTCGTACACGTTAGTATGATTGCGCTCATCAAGAAAAACCAGATAAGTACCATGCTGTTTAAATGTGTGCGGATCAAGAAAATTTTCACTAAAAAAACCCATGCGGTCCAGACTTCAGAGAAGATTCGAAACCTGCACCTTCCGCCGGGATAGCAGAATGTGCAGGTTCGAATGTTTCCGATCTTATAAAAGAGCATTAGATAAGTTCTCAATAAGCGGAAATCAGTCGCATCCCAATTTACCAGTTAAGTGCCTCCGTTCATTCGTTTAATCTTTTTAAAAAGGATGATGGATTTCACGTTTCAAAGGTTAATTATTCAAATGAAGTCATAACATTAAATCCAACGTTCTGACTTTTGGAATGTAAGCTAAACATCGATGTATTCGGTACATTTTAACATAGTTCAGCACTCTAGACGAATATCAGTAAACTTCTCACCATTTGCACTTCCAATATACTAATAATATATTAATGACTTAAGACGTACGTAACCTGAAACAAATACAAATATTTCTTATATTATTTGGCTAATATTTATAACGGGATACGCTATTACAGGCATTTCCCCTCTGTCAAAAGGTACAAGACCATTGATCTAGTGCGTTTATAAAAACTAGTTAGTGCGCGACCGCTTCCATTTTGGGTCACGCCGTGTCGCAAGTCGGAGCTCACAAAAATGGAAAATAATATTGTTTTCTCATGCATAAACCGATCTTCCACTTCAATCCTGCTGAAACATGGTGTTTCCTAATCCTTAAATATTGCTTTGCGGCGTGCGGGCCGGCGCCTTGGCTCGTTACTGTACGTGTGCGGTCATAGGCAGGGGGGACATAGTTACGTGTGCTACGCGTCCGTCGTGCGGGCCGGCGCGTCGGCTCGATACTGTACGTGTGCGGTCATAGGCAGGGGGGGACATAGTTACGTGTGCTACGCGTCCGTCGTGCGGGCCGGCGCGTCGGCTCGTTACTGTACGTGTGCGGTCATAGGCAGGGGGGACATAGTTACATGTGCTACGCGTCGACGACGTGCGCGGTGGCGGCCAGGATGGCGAGCGCGGCCTGAGCCAGAGCGGCGCGCGCGTCCGGCGTGCGGGCCGGCGTCGGCTCGTCGTGCTCGTCGGCCGGCAGCTCCTCCGGCGGCTCTTCCGGCTCGCTGCCGGACGGCGTGCGGCACCGACTCGACGTCGCCGCCGTCGTCGCTGTGGATTCAGCGCCCGCTTCTGTGTCTGAACTCTCCTCTTCGCCACCTGCGCAAATGACAATCACCATCGTTAGCCTAGCATATCCCCACAGGCCTTCCCTGTGGATAAAATAGGATTAAAACGAACTAAAATCGGCTGGTAATATCAATTGCAGACGCAGACCAGCGGCCTTCATGCCATCCATAAAGGAGTTAGTTTTGTTTCACCGACCCTACGACCGGTTGTAATGCAAGTTGCTTAACTTTCACTATCTCGGACAGAATGCGCTAACTATAATGGCGCCGTCAACGAGCTCTTCTTAATAGCCAGCCAGACGGCCAACGCCAGGGAGCGTGCGCCGCAGGGCGACCCTACCGGTGAGTACTGGGCTATACAGATGCCAGACCTGTGGCGCGGTTTCGAGCGGGCGCGGGCGGCGCGTGGTGGGCGTTTTTTGATGTGTAACATCTTTCCTCTCGCTTCGTGCAATTTGTGGGAGTGATTACGTGAAGTGGGACGAGTGTGTAACAGGAAGTTTGGGAAGCGCGTGCTATTTGATTTGTTTTTTGAACATAATGTTCAAATGGCTTATTCCTTTTGTAGTAGGTTTTATTTCTTTTTTTACTAATACAAGGTAAGGTTTCAAATGTTACACATCATACGCGACTACTGTAAGGCTCGCTCGTTAGACCACACGAACCTGAGAGGTCGACTCAACTAGAGGGCGTCTCTGAGACTCGGACCTCGGCTCTAGTTAGCTGGTGTCGTGGGGGGCGGGGAAAAACGCCAAGGTACGATGTGTAGACCGGGTCTTCGCACTCTATACCAATGATATTAAATACCCTAGATACGACAACACGAACAAAATCGTGGCCGAAACGTGTCCAAAAAGTACATTGTACGATCCACGGAGCTCCGTAAGATGATCGCGTGGTAAAAACCATATAAAGAATTTTTAAACATTAAAAGTCACCTTTAATTCATTCTTTATAAGGTCTTAATTAAAACGCATGCGTCAAAGACTTCTGACAGTTCGAAATGCAAGCTCGTAAAATTTACGACTTATTGCTGTATGCGGAAGAATATATTTTAATTCTACGTGCAATTCTGAATGCGCTGTTAGCAATACCAGGTAGGGACCGCGAGGGAAAGAGACCGCTATACAGCGACGTATAAACCACCATGCATTTGAATACCACAAATATTTTATATTAAGTCAGTTTATAGTAAGTATTAGAACAAGTTTTGCTTCAATTGCGTTAAATTAACAAACATTGATCAGATACCTGTCGAAAAAACGACACTTTTCGTACTATAAGTATTTTTTTTCGCATTTTTTCACGGAGCTCTGTGTAATGGTCCGCGCGTGACTGTGAACCAAGCAGTGCTTGAGTAGAGTTCAAGCACTACTACGACATCAGAAATATGTTTTTGTCGTAACAGAATGTATTAGAATTTTGATTTTCCATCTTATTAATTATCAAAAAAAAACATCTAACCCCATTAGTTTTCCCAAAAAATAATGCAGGTTTACCTCGTATTTTGATATTGAATTAAATATAATTACTATCAATAACTTTCATAAAACTAATCTACCATCATTGAACTACTGAAATATGTAAGTATTTTTATAATTAGTTCATTAATAAATAATTATTTTATAAGACTCGAAACATCACCCGTAAAATGCAATATATACTAGTGCAAATCTACCTACGCGCCGATCAGTACGGCAGCGGCGCAATTTTGTAAAAGGGCTCTTAAAGGCGCCGTCGTCTGTAAACAGAGGTTTTGCCTGCGTCACAAAAAAGAAAGGCTACCTGTGTCGCGATGCAGGCGCTGCTGCAGCGCGAGCGCGGCTTGCCGCAGGGCTCGCGCGGGCGCGGGTGGAGGCGCGGGGCGGCGCGCGGCGGTTAGCGCCAGCGCGCGGGCAGCGTGCGCCAGGGAGCGGGCGCCGCCCGGGGACGCTGCGGCCGCGCGTACCTCTTCCGCTAACGCCTCCGCTCCGCTCCACGACCCTCCGCCACCCATCTGACATTGAGATCATGCGGAAATTAAATATAAAGATGGTAATGCGAATATTAGACCAAACATTGCAACAAATAGAATATTTGCCATAAAAATAAGTTTTCATATTTTTTACTGATAGCCGATTTCTTGCTAATTAAGAATTTAACGCGAACGTGCGAACAGAATGAGCTACTAAAAATTAAATGTTTTTAGACAAATGAGTTGTCCTTTACATGTGAATAAAAAATTATGTAGTTTCATGGAACCCCGATGCAGGTGATACTTTTGTAATCATTAATAAAAAGTCCTTCCTCAACTGGGTTTCGAACCCGGGCCGTTCGCGTATAAAGCGAGTTTTCTTCCACTGAACCACCGATGCTTGTTAATAAGGTATGTTTTTTTAAAACAATTTAAAATATTGTCGCATTACATGGCGAATGGTTGCTAAAGATGAACGAAAAAATAGTAGCTATGTTATAAAAGCTTCACTTTGAAAACATACATAACGCGAGCGTTTGGTTAACAAACTGAGTATTAGGGCATTTCATAGAGCAGCGCTGTGACGGAAGACCCGCCTCACGCAGCGTTGCGCTATGAATTAACACGAAACAATCATGCGAAGCGGACGTCCGCTCTGTATTCCCGCTTAACGCTGCGCAGTCCGTTACTATGCGACACAGTTATAAGCACTAACACACGCTAAGTCATTCGCATGTTACACAATAAAAGTTGGTAAGCTAGAGGTGAATGGTTCAAGAAGGGACGGTGAGACATCAAATGTCGTGTTGCTCTTCGTCGTCGCTGTGTACCCACAGCAACAGTGTGTTTGCCTCACAATATCAAAACAAACCAAGTCGTCTGGAAAATCCCACGATAAAATACTACTAATTCAAAAAGCAAAAATAAACATGAGACATATATTTGTCATAGAAAGCTTGGCTCGGAGACAAAAACAGTGCAAAGAAATGAATTTGAAACTTAATAAAACCTTATATCGCTAAGCTTACTCTTTGTTTTTTCTTTATTACGTACGACATTACATATCTCCTTTAAAAAAATATATATTATTTCAACTGTAGAAGTAAAAGTGAAAATAAGTAATCAGCAAAACAATACCTTAGGATAGTAATGCTCCATGAACTGGTAAATAGCAGGATCTTCGAGAGACTCCCGCTCGTCGAGCAACACGGCATCCATGTACTCTGACACAACGCTGCACTCCAGAAGCATTTCTTCTAACTTCGCATCCGCCTGCAGGACACATCAATACAATATAAAAAATATACTGACAAATTGAGATCTAAATTCTATGAAATAATTTTCCACCAAGGGCTTGTCACTGACTCAACGCACAGGACGTGCGAACATTTGTCCCCCGAAAGTTTATAAAAGCGCATGTAAGTAAATATTATCTGATTACGTTGTGTTGTAATTAACATGAAGTTTAAAAAAAAAGGAAGACGTTTTAAAAGAGTATATACTAGGTATCTTTAAATCGGATCGAGCGCGCAACTCGGTCTAATGTTCACCGTGTACGTCGCATGAGTTAAATATTTTAAGGACCCTTAATCGCGGACTTTTGTCTTCTCCGGTCTCTAGGTGTCCTTGGCTGTTCGGGGGACTTTTTGTAAGTGGTATGGTGGTGGTAATACGTAGTGTGCGTTTTTCGCTGTAGTTGTAAAAATGTCTAGCACCTTTTTTATATAAAAAGCAGCACAAGTCGAAAATTACCTATCAGAAGATAAGCGACTACCATGACCTATAAACGCTTGCGATACCGAAGTACCACTCGTGCGTTGCCTATCGTGACCCTATGCCCTAGCTCGTGGAGTTTTGGTATTTTGATGTAAATCTGTCACTTTCCAATAGAAAGAAACTTTTTTTCACCAGTTTATAAAATTTTATAAAAAGGAAGAAAGCTGCCGTTTCCTATAAATCATATTTGTGTGAAAAGAAACAGAGTGAAAAAAAATATAGTGAGATTGTTTTTACTTTTCAAGAGGAACAAATTGAAAAATGGGGCTATATAAGTACATGTTCAAGACGTTTTAATGTTACTATAAACTTATCCTATAGCAACCCATCGCAACGCTCTATGGTCGCTGCTCAAAAAGTTTGCAGGGGTGTATAATCACAGATAATGTAGCATCCTAAAGGAGTAAAAATTTATTCGTTACTAGCTGTGCCACGTGGTGTTACCTGCGGTTTATTAGGGTTGTTTTCCCGCAGTAAAACGTAACCTATGTGTTAATCCAGGGTGTCAACTAAATCCATACCAATTTTTTATTAAAATCGCTGCAGCCGTTTAGACGTGTACAAGTAACAAACAAACACACTCACAAACTTTCGCGTTTATAATATTACTGTTATCAGAAACATACAAAAATACAAATATGTCCCAATACTTAAATAATTATCGGAAATCATATTTACCGGTGAAGCGGCGACGTCCCGCCAAAAGGCGGCGAAGTAGTTAAACCTCAAAGGCACTGCTTCGAGCGCGCACAGAGCCGACAACAACACCAACTGTTCCGACATACAACGCTGTGTCCGTGCCACGCGACAACAAATGTCTGTAAAATAATAACAATATGGGTTGTAATAAACAGTCCCCTAAAATTACAACCCTACTCTACGACTTTAAAAACTCCGTCGTCGTCCATATTACTCTAATTTACAAGTAATCAGAGAATGACTATAGACGACGATGACTTGAAAATAATTTAGGGAGTCGATATACGTACGTTAAAATCAATAGGTAAGATTAGGTAAGTTATCAATTACTTACATAAAGTAGCCAGAAGGACGGCTCTGGCTACCATCATAACCAGAGCAGTCCGCCGTTCTGGCTACTTTCTATTTTGTGGTTAAACCGAGTATGGACGAGCGAGATTCTCTTTCACATGTGTGATTACACTTAAAAGAGGATCTCAATACCCGTTAACTACTTTCATTCAATGTGTATAATGTATACCTATCAGCTTGCGATAAGGGTGGTGCAAGAGGGAACTACCTTTTGCGTACACGCTGTGGAGCCAAGTTATACACAACTCAATGTTTATCTTTGCGTAATGTATCGATCGGTTTGCTTCCCATGTAAGGTGTCAGTTTTAAGCTATCATCTTAAGTAACGTGACGCTGTTTACCTATTAGCCCATGTAATGTATTACACTATCTCGCTCGGTTATACCTATCAGCTTGTGGTAGGGGCGGTGCGCGGCGGGCGCGGACGCGTGCAGGTGCGAGCACGGTCGTTCGCCGCGCGCGGTCACCGCGAGCGGCAACAGCGCCGCCAGGGTGGCCCCGCCGCCGATCAACTATATGTCGCGGAGGAGCATGTCAACGCGGTTATACCTATCAGCTTGTGGTAGGGGCGGTGCGCTTGGGGCGCGGGCGCGTGGCGCTCGCGGTCACCGCGAGCGGCACCAGCGCCGCCAGCGTGGCCCCGCCGCCGATCAACTATATGTCCCGGAGGAGCATGTCAACGCGGTTATACCTATCAGCTTGTGGTAGGGGCGGTGCGCGGCGGGCGCGGACGCGTGCAGGTGCGAGCACGGTCGTTCGCCGCGCGCGGTCACCGCGAGCGGCAACAGCGCCGCCAGGGTGGCCCCGCCGCCGATCAACTATATGTCGCGGAGGAGCATGTCAACGCGGTTATACCTATCAGCTTGTGGTAGGGGCGGTGCGCTTGGGGCGCGGGCGCGTGGCGCTCGCGGTCACCGCGAGCGGCACCAGCGCCGCCAGCGTGGCCCCGCCGCCGATCAACTATATGTCCCGGAGGAGCATGTCAACGCGGTTATACCTATCAGCTTGTGGTAGGGGCGGTGCGCGGCGGGCGCGGACGCGTGCAGGTGCGAGCACGGTCGTTCGCCGCGCGCGGTCACCGCGAGCGGCAACAGCGCCGCCAGGGTGGCCCCGCCGCCGATCAACTATATGTCGCGGAGGAGCATGTCAACGCGGTTATACCTATCAGCTTGTGGTAGGGGCGGTGCGCTTGGGGCGCGGGCGCGTGGCGCTCGCGGTCACCGCGAGCGGCACCAGCGCCGCCAGCGTGGCCCCGCCGCCGATCAACTATATGTCCCGGAGGAGCATGTCAACGCGGTTATACCTATCAGCTTGTGGTAGGGGCGGTGCGCTTGGGGCGCGGGCGCGTGGGGCGGGGTGCGCGCGCCACACGCGTGCAGGTGCGAGCACGCTCGTTCGCCGCGAGCGGCACCAGCGCCGCCAGCGTGGCCCCGCCGCCGATCAACTATATCTCGCGGTGGAGCACGTCAACGCGGTTATACCTATCAGCTTGTGGTAGGGGCGGTGCGCTTAGGGCGCGGGCGCATGGGGCGGGGTGCGCGCGCCACACGCGTGCAGGTGCGAGCACGCTCGTTCGCCGCGCGCGGTCTCCGCGAGCGGCACCAGCGCCGCCAGCGCGGCCCCGCCGCCGATCAACTATATGTCGCGGAGGAGCATGTCAACGCGGTTATACCTATCAGCTTGTGGTAGGGGCGGTGCGCTTGGGGCGCGGGCGCGTGGGGCGGGGTGCGCGCGCCACACGCGTGCAGGTGCGAGCACGCTCGTTCGCCGCGAGCGGCACCAGCGCCGCCAGCGTGGCCCCGCCGCCGATCAACTTTATCTCGCGGTGGAGCACGTCAACGCGGTTATACCTATCAGCTTGTGGTAGGGGCGGTGCGCTTAGGGCGCGGGCGCATGGGGCGGGGTGCGCGCGCCACACGCGTGCAGGTGCGAGCACGCTCATTCGCCGCGCGCGGCCACCGCGAGCGGCACCAGCGCCGCCAGCGCGGCCCCGCCGCCGATCAACTATATGTCGCGGAGGAGCATGTCAACGCGGTTATACCTATCAGCTTGTGGTAGGGGCGGTGCGCTTGGGGCGCGGGGTGCGCGCGCCACACGCGTGCAGGTGCGAGCAAGCTCGTTCGCCGCGCGCGGTCACCGCGAGCGGCACTAGCACCGCCAGCGTGGCCCCGCCGCCGATCAACTATATCTCGCGGTGGAGCACGTCAACGCGGTTATACCTATCAGCTTGTGGTAGGGGCGGTGCGCTTGGGGCGCGGGCGCATGGGGCGGGGTGCGCGCGCCGCACGCGTGCAGGTGCGAGCGCGCTCGTTCGCCGCGCGCGGTCGCCGCGAGCGGCACCAGCGCCGCCAGCGCGGCTCCGCCGCCAATCAACACTATCTCGCGGAGGACGCCTGGACAAAATATGCTTATTTTATTATATAGAGGTATAAATCTAAAGATTGTTTTTTATAAAAAAAAACACTGTCTAGAATTAGCTATCCGGTCGAGTGCACATATTAAAAAACTACAATTGCTATATCTTCTTTCAAATGTTTAAAACTTGTAAAGATATTCCGTTTGACAGTGCGGATTACCTACAATACGAAGAGATACTTGGCCTAAGAAATACTAGAAGAAACTCGACACGACCATTAAGATCGCGGTAGCAAAATTAGCTTATTTTATAAGTTAAAAGGGTAGCAAATAAGCATCTGGCCCACCTGATTTTAAGCGGCCACCATAGCCTATAGATGCCTGCGATTCCAAAAACTTCACTCGCTCCGGCGCCTACCCTGTAGGCCTATTCGCTAACTGCTTTTGACAGATGAAAGTGATAAATCACCGACCTATTTACTGATACACTACTGCTTTATTTTAACGCCACTAAGATACTTGTTCTGAAAAGCATCGATGGATATGCAATTTTATCTTTAATGACACGCTGTAAATGTCAAAAAAGTTAGCGGATAGGCCGGCTGATCGAATCCCCAACCCCGAGGAGCATTGGATCCTTACTCACCGACAGAAACACAACACCAGCAAAAGGTAGTGTTATTTTACCTCAGGTGAAACATGCAAGTGCGGCAACCAATGCAAATACAAGGTCAAAAGTACAGACTGTTTTGGTCTTTGCTAACTGTTTTTACAATGTTTGAACAAGAAGGAACAGTTTTGATAAAAACTAATATTCACGGGATGTATTCACACAACGCGTTATTTGCTTATGCGGCCGCACATGCGTGTTCCTTGCGTTTCATCTGCCGTTTGATCTGTTATCAGTTTATTTTACTGTGATCTTTTGTAAGAGGTTACTTCCGCAGAGAGGATCTCCAATTCTAATGGAAAGTCCGCTATGCCCTATCTCTCTTAAACTACCCTACTTAAGAATACTTCTTTGGTGTAGTAGCACGTTTATATTTTGCTGAAGAACATAACAGAAACAGAATAATAAACGTAACATTTACTCAACGACGGTACCCAAAAATGATCGAGCCGGTGATGCCCAGCCAGCATTGCCACCAATCGCCAAGTACATTCCGGCTAGTCTTAACACGCGAGCAGTATCGCGGCGTATTCATAACCGCTAAAGGAATTGTTTGCTCGTACGAAACTTAAATATAAAAAAACGAGCGAGCCTTACAATAGTCGCGTATGATGTGTAACATTTGAAACCTCACCTTATATTAGTAAAAAAGGAATAAAACCTACTACAAAAGGAATAAATCATTTGAACATTATGTTCTTAAATCAAATCAAATAGCGCGCGCTTTCGCGACTTCCTGTTACACACTTCCGTGCCATTTCACGAAATCACTCCCACAAATTGCAGGAAAGCGAGAGGAAAGATGTTACACATCAAAAAGGACTTTCTATCATACACACTCAATACTTACTCGACGACGGTACCCGCAAATGAGCGAGCCGGTGATGCGCAGCCAGCATTGCCACCAATCGCCGAGCGCATTCCGGCCAGTCTTTACAGGCTAGTAATAACGCGCGTGCTTCCTTCGTATCGCGTCGTGTTCGTAACGTCCGTAGTAGCGCGGCGGCACTTCGTAACGCACACGCAACACGCGCGCTTCTTTAGTATCGTGGTGTATTCATTAAGGCTATATAACTTCATATAATACTTACTCAACGACGGTACTCGCAAATGATCGAGCCGGTGATGCGCAGCCAGCATTGCCACCAATCGCCGAGCGCATTCCGGCCAGTCTTTACACGCTAGTAATAACGCGCGCGCCTCCTTCGTATCGCGTCGTGTTCGCAACGTCCGTAGTAGCGCGGCGGCCCATCGTAACGCGCCCGCTAGTTCGCCACGAACGCTAGCACTGCTACTGGCTGAACCGGCCCCACCCTCCATGTATACTGCATGGAGGCTCTGTAGCGCCTAAAATTTTACGCTTTATTAGTGTTTATGAAGTGAAACTTCTTTACGCTTGATTTGGGGGGGTAAGCTGACGAATGCGTTACGCGTTACGAAAACTGTATTCGGGCGAGGCGAACGGGAGTTGAGTGGGGGATATAAGCAAGAGAAAGCAGTGCGCGCACACATTTTCTTTCTCTCTTTCTTTTATAGCTAGTAAATGAAATATGTACATACATGTATATATTGTACGTATATAAAGTGGTGGTTACATAATTAAAGACACTCCCTAATTGACCACAAAAACTTACTTATGGTATTAAAATTAGCTAATATTGGTATTTAATCTAGTGTTATTGTTATTAAATTATACACGACGTTGTATTCTTACAATGTGGGACAAAAAATACTTGTGTTCGTTAGTAGTTTAAACACTGCTCACTATGGGAACAAAACACAAACTTTTTTTAATGTACTTGCAGCTGGCCAACTAATTAAAGACAGTAAAAGCTGTGTTCTGAATGTAATCAAATAAAGAAAAAACTGCATTCTGTTAGCTACAGAAGTTTCACTTCAGTCGTGTGGTCATAAGCACACTTGTTTTTTTTAGTGTTAAAAGGGTAGCAAACAAGCATATGGCCGCCTAATAGTAAACAGCCACAATAGGGTACTTGACAGTATTAAAAATAAAGTGATAATTGTTAGAATGAATATTGGCAGGAGATTTTATTATTTTTAAAAAAGAATATTCATAATTTTACTAAAAACCCACGAAAAAGATAATAGTTTTCTTATCTATTGTCGAGCGAATTCAACGTAATTTTACGAGGTTTCTTGCTTTCAAAGACAGGAAGTGTCCTTACCGTGCGGATTACCCCACTCGTCTCAAATACTTTAAACTTCATACCTTAGAAAAGCGTAGAAAAACCGCGGACATTTTATTTCTGCACAAATTACTTTACGGCAATATTATGGCGCATGACCTTCTTGCGGAAATTAAGTTAAAGGTTCCCAGAAAAATCCCCCGCCAACCCATCAAATCATTCGTTAACTGTCCCTTTAAAACAAAATTAGCTTCAACGTTTAACAGAATTAAAGATGCATACAACGAGATATGCCTCATGGCATATCTCGTTGTAACATCATATGTTGACATCTTTCATGCTCCACTCAAAGCCCTCAAAAATCATCTGTATGGTAACGTTCAAACCAAACAATAATTTGTTTTTTCTGTTAAAAGTATAAGTACCTACCTACATATAGTCAATGTTGTACATGCCTGCAATGGCAATTCACACGGTTGAGTACTACCTGCATCTTAAATCTTTATTGAAATTTGTGGAATTGTCGATGGTATGTCAAATAAATAAATATTGTCAAGTGACCCAAAACGCTTAGGATTGGCGGAGCCTAAAATGACGTCAACGCAAGTAAACTTCCGGTTAAAGTGACATTACATTGTATCGTTTGACGTTTTAATAACAGTCGTGTGACGTCACACACTAGTAAAACGCCATATTGTCCAGAAACCGTTTTCGCGGCCACTTGAAAATGGGGTTTTTGATTTGGTTATTTTTACAGAAATACACAACAGAATGATGAATATCCACTTTTTACAGACTCCATAAACATTAGTCAATAACGTGAGATCGTTTTCTAAAACTTAGCTGTTGGAGCTTGCGATACAAAAAAATATCACTCGCACCGTTGCCTGCCTCATCCCCTACTCCGTAGAGCCCTGGAACTTTACTTACCGACAGAAACCCAACACCACCAAAAGGTGATGTTATTTTACTGTGGTCTTTTGTAAGGTGAAGGTTACTTCCTTAGAAGGAAGCTAAATTTCAAGCGGAAAATCCGCTATGCCCTACCTCGCTTAGCAACCCTATCTATATTTTGTGTAAGCCAGGTGAGATTGAACTCTACTTGCAGATATGGTGTGGCAAACATACGAGATTGTAGTGGAACGAAGTTATTTAAAGATATTACGCAAACTTGACAATAGTAAGGATGCAAAAACATGCTTACTATTTTCTACTCTATATCTTAAGTCTTAAAGTGATGACTTTTTACACTTGTTTCTAATTGAAATTTTAAAAGCACTCACTTCAAATGTCATCTGTAAACCACCGTTGTAAACGACGTATAACCTATCATCTTCATTTTCGACTAGTGTGCAAAAGGCGGATATCAAAGTTGTCCAACACGTCCTTCCGTTTAGACCTGCAACAAACAAATATTATTATGTTACGAAGACGAAAAGTATGCTCTATAATAATAATAAATATTTCTGACACTTACACCAAGTAGCCCACTCTAAAATAAGTACTGTAAGACTTGTCTTACGGGATACTATACTCTAAAGGTTTTTCAATAGGTCGAATTTAAAATGCACAATATATCATTATAAAACAAAGTGACACTAAAAAGACCTAAAACTGTAGCTATTCCCAAACTTTGCACGCATTATAATACGCCTAAATTTAAGAGTAGTGATAAAGTATATAATTACTTCGAAATGTGAATTTTGTTATCAGTCTCTATAAAACGGCCATCATTACTTTTGTTAAAAAAGTTTAAGAAACATTGGTCTGTTTGTTTACTTTTTGTTTCAGAGGAAGTTGAATAGAGTATACTCTTATATAAGTATATGTGTCTAGAAATACATATAATTGTCCATGACTTAGGTGCAAATGCTCGAATTCATCATTCAAACATTTGCCCCACCCTTGAAACCCGGTGAACATACCACTCGAGCCAACACAGTAAGAGGTTAGAGCCGAGTCACCTTGTCGGCGGGACAGGCGCGCTACAGTTATGTGTGAGGAAATGCTAACAACTTGACCAAAACTTGGTTCTGATTGCATCGTTGCTCTCGGGTGTGAGTACTGATTGGTCCGACTGTTTGATGTCGCGTCGTTTCATTGGCTATTATCTATTAGGTGGAAGTGCAGTGGGAGCGAGCTGCCGACATCGGTTTCCGTGCAAAAAATCTATGATCACCTTTTTCTGTGTTCTGTGCGGGTCACGGAGTTCGTCAATAGTAGATTGTATCATAAGGGAGCAAAATAATACGCGGCGAGACTGCTTCTTCTAAATACCGCGGCCTCACGTGACTGCTGCTATTGTTACTGTTGAATCATTCCCTCTAGCTTATAGACGACCTATAATATATAACAATAGGTCTTCCTACTACTCACCGGAATGCCTGGTGAGATACGCGGCGAGAGTGCTTCTTCTTAAGGCCGCGGCCTTTCGTACGTCCGCTTCGCTATCGCTGTTACTGCTGCTATTACTGTTGAATAACTCCCTCTAGCTTACAGACAACCTTGCCTGTATAACAACAGATCTTTTTACTACTCACCGGAATGCCTGGTGAGCTCGCCCTGTAGATACGCGGCGAGAGTACTTCTTCTAAAGGCGGCGGCCTCTCGTACGTCCGCTTCGCCGCCGCTATGACTACTGCTGCTGCTGCTGTTACTGCTTCCCGCGCCCGCGCCCGATGCAGAAGTAGCCCCTGAAGCACTCCCCGCTCCGGGGGCGCCGCGGGCCGCTAATAGTCGAGCTAGCCTGTATAACCGTGAGTTTCTGTCACTTTCATATCAAAGTCAAGTCATTAGCAGAGAGAGAGATATAGACGAACTCAGCAAATATTAATAATAGAAAAAAACCGCATCCAAATTTGTCCATTCGTTTACAGACATACACACAGACTCACAGACACGTCAAACTTATGATATCCCGCTTTTTGCGGAAGGGGTTAAAAAGTAGTAAGTAAAAACCGTAGGTAAACCACTTGGTCGCATGATTGCTTAAATTTTAGTTGAAAGAGTACTGTTTATCGATGAACTCATCTCTTAGAATTGCAGTCAAAGAAAGTTACAGGGCATTTAAGTTTTAGAAAACTATCACATGACGCATAGTGACGCACCTCAGCAGCTCATCAGCCGCGCCCAGGTACAGATGCGCGTGCGGCGCTATGATCCTAGAAATCGCCTTGTAAGGGGGTCAAAAGAGGGCTGCAATTTTGTATGAAAACCCCGCACGCAGACGAAGCCGCGAGCACTCACGAGAAGATCTATACATATAATAAAATGGTAGGAAAGACAAAACTGTACATTGAATATTTTTTTTAAGAATACTTGGGGTGTGATCTACAATCGATACCGAAGCCAAAAATAGTTTTTAGAAATTTTGTCTGTTTGTCTGTATGTATGCCCGGGATAAACTCATAAAGTACTGCATGGATTTACTTTAAATTTGGCACGAATATTATTAATAAGTCGGGTCAAGATATAGGCTACTTATTATCACGCTATCACCTACGGGGAACGAGCAGTGAACCTTTACTTCTAACTAACTCCACGCGTACGAAGTCGCGGGAGGCCGCTAGTTAGAAATAAAACCACAATTAATTTATACAAATGACGAACCTCAGCAGCTCATCAGCAGCGCCCGGGTACAGATGTGCGTGCGGCGCTATGTTCCTAAACGCCCAGTGTATGTTCTGGTGTTGGGCGAGAGATCGCGCGAACGCACTCGACCGCCTACAGCAAAGCCTTAACAAAGCGTAGTAAGGCGGCAGCATCGCGCGGTTGTACGCCACCACCTCGCCGTCTTCGTGGTCCGCACTGTGTGTACAAAAAGAAAATGTAAATGTTTTTTTTAAAGCATTTAACTGCGAGATGTTTAAAGGTACAATTCCGCAATGGGCTGCAGGCTAGAACCGCAGGCGACCGCAGGCGCTAGCCGCAGTGTCGCCTGCGGTTGTCGGCCTTTGACCGTGCATTATATACATTGTGCAGCCGCGGCACGTCGCCACGCTCGGAATCAATTTCATAAGAGATTCATAGAAACTAGTAGTGTCGCCTGCAGTCTGCGGCTGCGGCCTGTAGTTTGCGGTTCAGTTCGGACTTGTACCTTTTATCTAATGAAAAGTTTTACTAGAAAAAAGATCTACACGGACCAGGCAGCAGAACGGGACTTGAACCCGCACCCTTCGCTATCCGGGCGAATGCACTGATCAATTATGCTACCGCGGCCTTGACGGTCGTGTTAAGCTGCAAGGCAGCGCCATCTTTACGCATTGTAATATTAGTAATATTTCCTTTAGCTTTAAACATCGAGCAGTTAAATGCTCAAAAAATTAAAATTAGAAACTGTTAAGTTATTAAAGAGCAAAAGGATCTTTATGAAGTGAGTGACAGTTTAGGGAGGGCGCCACTGTCTACGTAAATGATATACAAAAAATATGACGTTTGCAAAGACGGCGGCGTTAGTTCCAATTCCTTGGTACAATTTTTACTTAGAAGTGACGTCACGAGCGTCTCCCAAAGTATTTACGCGCTTTATCTAAGTGTCCATTATTTTTTGATAATTTAACCGACGGACTAAATCGAATTTCGTTTATTAAAGTAAACCCCGTCATCATCAAACTAGCAAACTTTCAAATCGTTTCTACTGTCCCGTTATTTCGTCTGTAATATATGAATAAATTTTTGCGATATAAAGCAATAATATTGATAAAACTCACAGAATGTAGTTGAAAGCTATATGCTTAGTGAGCCTCTGGTTGGAGACGGCTAATTGAACATTTTCCGGACAATCCACGGAGACCGCGTGCCAGAAGGTGAGCAACGCTTGCTTGTTCGGATGCACCGCCACCGACGGCTCCGATATCGCTGGGTGATATAGGTCCCACAAATCGTTGAAGTATTGTCCGAACTGCAAATTGTTCAATAAGTGTCATTTTTGAAGATTCAAGGAACTGAATAAACGATTTTTTTTATTGAATCCATATCTATCTTGAAACTAAACATCCAATCAGTAAAAATGAAGAAACTAAAGAATTAAAATAAGAGATAATTGAGATCGATGGCGCAGGCGGATAGCGCGTTCGGCCTACGATCGTGAAAGTAAAGCAAGTTTTGTAATAGTCAGTCATTGGATGGGTTTTGATAACCCATCTTCACTATCATCTCGAGCTCCTCCGTGCTTCGTTAGACACGTTAGGCCGTTGATCCGGGCTGTATTGTAGTCGTTAGCACCCATCAATCCGCACTGGGCCCGAGTGGTATGTCATGGACCAATCTCCTTATTTCATCCATAGGAAAGGCCTGTGCTGAATGATGAAAGAATTAAAATAAAATCCAAGAATGTGTGTATGTATTTGAAACACAACTCACCATTAACTTCTCCACCCTACTGACTACGCAGTAAGACATGACACCGAAGTAAGCTGTCAGTTTCATAGTACCGTGCACCGCGATGTCAGTGTACTTGCGAGCCGCTTTCAATTTCCCCAATAGCATTGTGTACACCTGCAGAAGAAACAAAGTTAAATCGTTTGTCAAAACACATTGATCAGCCGCCTATGCACTGACCGACTGAGCCAGGGTCGCATGATCCAAAACTTTTTTAAAACAAAGCACCGGTTTCACCATCACGGGGCTTACCCCCGAGAGCGGGTTTCCACGTTATTACACCATTACGAGCAATACACTTCCACCCTGAACCGTATGCTCTGCTCTTGCGACTCCACTCAGGCCGGCTGGTTAAGGCAAGACAGCCCACCAACACGTGGGGGTATGTAACTGTGTGTATGTGTGTGCGTAAGCGCATGTGTCTATGGTCCCCCTGGAGGTAGGGAACGTGGTGTCGCCACTCACCAACAGCTCGCCACAAGCTGCCCTGCATAGACTGACTGCACTGGGAATCCAGTGGGCGATGGGATCGTCAATTATTATTTTTATTATACCTGGTGCAGCGTGTGGTGCGCGGTGTCGGGCAGCTTGGCGGGATGCGGCGAGGCAGGCGGGGGGCGGGCTCGCGTGTAGCCGGCTCGGAAGTGCTGCGACGGCACCAGCGCCACCAGCAGCAATGCGGCCGCGGCACGGACTCGAGCCACGCACGACGCTAGCAGCTGCTGTTCCACCCAACGGTCCGCGGTGCGGAGCGCCCACGCGTGCGCCGCCTTATTACGAGGCACCTACATAACCAGAAAATTTTAGGCAGGCAAAACCTCCATTTACAGACTTTGGCACCTTCAAGGGGCACACCAACGAACTGACCTCACACCTAGCCTCTCAAAAGTCTCACAGGTGCTATCCGCTAAAAGACCCTGCGAATACCCTCTACGCTGCTAAGTACGGAACCGCAAGATCCCCGTTGTGGGACTTCACCGCGTCTATGCGCCCAACAGCCGCCCGGCCTAGCCGGAGCTCCACGGCTAGGATCACCCGGGGTATTTCGGGTGATCCTGACATAACCAGACATAACAATACAATGAATTTGTACAAAAACAAGTCATACGAAACGTTGAAGATTACTGGAATCAAAAATCAGTTCTCACTATTATGTAAACTTGCTGTCAAAGTAACATTACTTGATACTGTTTGACGTTTTGATGACATTCCTTCTATGTCCAATTAACCAGAGAAACGTCACAGCTACACAATTGGGAACAGGTTCTTAATAATAAAAAACACAACAGATTCAATTAATGTAAATTCGTCGCCTAGGCGCACGAGAATCGGCTACGTGAAGAATGACGTACGTAAGTCTAAATCGTTCATTTACTACATCTAGAGTTTGAAGCGTTCGGTAATTCCGCTCCGATCAGTCAGATGTATTCATGGGTTTACAAATCCTAACTTATACGCACACCAATGCCAAAACCCTTCAGTCAATATATGCGATTGCCCTATAATATTACTGCCCTATATTATTATTATACGATTGCCCTATATTATTATTTCACGGAGCTCAGCGGCATGTTTACTTTTCAACGGTCCGCGCGTGACTGTGAACCAAGAAGTGCTTGAGTCGTGTTCGAGCATTTCTTGATAGAGACACACTTTGTGCGTACGTGGTGGATCTTGGGTATTTAATATTGGTGCCTCCGCAATGCAAATACCGAACGTAGCTAACGTACCTGGAGCGCGAGCCACTCGAGCGCCGCGTGCGGGCACACGTCGCCCACGTCCCACAGGCGGGAGAGCACTAACTGCGTGAAGCACGGCAGACCGCCTGTCGCGCCAGCACCGCCGCCACTGCCTTCCACCAGCAGCGTCAGCAGCTTGAAGAATGGACCGCAACTCTGCGACAAAAACTACCATGTAGCCACCGCGTCGTAACACAAAAAAATAAATTCAGGCAGTCCTCGACTTACGTCGTTTTAAGTTACGTCGAACAATGTTTTGACACTATTCCTCAAGCATACGTCAATTGTTTCGATTTCCGGCATAGGAGAATTCACTTGTCGCGAGGTCAACCCTTGTGTTTTACATGTAAAGATAAGAGAAAATATGTCTCGACTTAAGTCGTTTCGATTTACGTCGCGTATTTCGAGAACCTAAGATGCCGTAAGTACGAGGACTGCCTGTACGATCAAACTTATATGTGACACATTCAAAGATTACAAAACGATTACAGCCACCGATATAAATTTCGATGCATGTAAAGTCAGACGCTTAAATATTAGACGCTTAGTGGACGCTCAAACGACCCTTCTCAGGGCCAAGAAGGGGGCGGGCTGACCTGCTGATCCTGCCTGGGGGAGTCGGAATCGACCGATCAATAAATATGAATCATTGACGCGTTTGCGATAGACTGCGTCAAAACCAGGTTAAAAGGATCTATCAAATGGCAACTCAACATTATGAATACACATAATATAATTCAATAAACAACTTACATCAGAATGTTTGGCGATGGCTTGAAATATCATGTTTACAATTTTTTGCGCGAGAGGCTCGTTCCAACGACACAGCGCAAATATCAAAGAGCGCGTCTGCTGTAGATTCAAGCAGTCCCGCGTCTGTTGATAGATAAACGGAAAGCCCTGCGAACAACAATTCCATGGTTAATTTCATTTACCTCTGTAGAAAATGTGTGTATGGTAAAAAATCAGGCTCGTATAGACTATAAACGTGTGGATTTTGAATGTTGACGTTTACTCCTGATGATTATACTCCAGCACAGATCATACTGATCACAAAGATGAACTGAACGAGAGAATGAACAACACGAAGATTTAAATACCATGAGATATTTCGCCGCGTCGCAATGCCCTATGTACTCCTGCAGACCCGCCGCCCCGAGTCAGCGTGTAGTAACGCTCTCGCATCAGGTTCTTGCAGTGCTAAATGCCCGGAAGCGTCACGGGATCGCTCGACTAGTCCGGCGACCAATGCCACCATCTTGTCCAGCGCTCCAGGACGCATTTTGTCTCCGGCGCTCTCAGTTTGCACTGACAGGGATAACCACAATGACCCAATAAATAGTCCCATTAGAAGCTCACCTTGGCGTGCAGTAACGCTCTCGCATCAGGTTCTTGCAGCGCTAAATGCCCGGAAGCGTCACGGGATCGCTCGACTAGTCCAGCGACCAATGCCACCATCTTGTCCAGCGCTCCAGGACGCAGTTTGTCTCCGGCGCTTTCAGTATTTGTGCTGCCGCTACCTCCGGCTTCTTCCGTAGGGGATTCCGCCTGATAAAAATATGATTATCCATTTTATTATAAAATTATGCGCTTCTGAAATGAAATAACGTGTGTCCGATAATAAACAAAAATTTAAGTAATTTTGTTGATAAAATTATAGATTGTTTTACTTTATTTCTTACAACACGTCTGACATCAATTTTCCAGCAATCATCAAAGATTACTCGTTTAACAAAATGCTTCAATATTTATATTTGATACCTCATTAATAATTTATTTGACTGTGTTAAATTGATAAGTATTACCGTAGCTCCATTCTGTCCAAGGTAAAACGCCACCATGCTCGAAATGGCGTTTACTCTCAGCATGAACTTGCCCTCTTCTTCACCCATCTTACTGAATTCGTATAAGAGGCTGAAGTATTCCGTCAAATGTCGCAGGTGCGAACGTGCCCCGTTTTCCATCTATTGATAAACAACAAATCAAAATGACTCTTACAACAGATTCATCTTAAAACTTTATTTGTGCAATTTGAAACTAGTGATATAGATAAACAGAGGTAGTAGACAAAACAAGACAAAACTTTAGGGTAATGTTCTTTCTCTGCTTCTCTATCACACAATATAAATTTTATAAAGCAATACATATTGAACTCCTGCGACTTTTTTAACAGTTGCTCAAAATTGTCTTTCATAATTATGTAGACATTTAATTTGATTGGATCACTTACAATAAAACTTTTCTCATGCCGGCACTTCACTTAGGTATTCATGTTTGCTATTTGTAAACTTGACAACAATCTGTCCTTATCATGCTTTATAAGGAATGGAGATGACAGAAGGGTGACTGGTTCCAATAGCAAACACTAATAGCCAAGTTAACTGCCAGCTTCTTATCACAGTATCACAACTTACCAATGATAACAACATCCTTATAAACCTAGTAACACAACTCGCTTCTCCCAACTTGCTATTGTCTTCGCCTTCTTCCACACCCTGTAGGTATAAGGCACAATGACTAGATCTGTAAAAAATACGTTTTTAAAATTATTTCACCGCGCAAAGTAGAGATAGTAAACATTTATTTTAAGAATATCACTTACCTCAGCCTTTGTATTACGTGCATACATAGCCTTTGAAACATCTGGCGCACCATCTGGTTGGGGCATTTGATTAACACCTGTAACAAAATTCTTGATTTAATTTAGTTTCATTTTCATGCAAGCTAAGTTGAGCAACTTTCGCAGCGGTCGGTCATTGGATGGGAGACCAAAAATCTTCCATCTTGAGTTCCTCCGTGCTTCGGAAGGCACGTGAAGCCGTTGGTCCCGGCAGCATCTGCAGTCGTTAGCACCCGTCAATCTCCGCACCGGGCCCGCGTGGTGGGTCGTGGCCCAATCTTCCTATTTCATCCATAGGGAAGGCCTGTGCCCCAGCAGTGGGGACATTAATAGATGATAACATGTTTATTATAATCCCTGATTTCCAGCCCTTAAAAACAGATGCTTTTTTAAAGTGTTAGATTTATTTCGAACGTAGATCTGAAAAATTCATTCTATGTGATTTTTACATAAATTTCATTAATATTTTAGGGTAGAATAATTTAACAACTAACTTCAGACGTGCAAAAATGAATTATATTCAGAATATTGGGTAAAGAGTTTCTTAAAGTTTACTCAAAGTTTTGGGTACAAATCAACCCAATTGGACCTTAAGACAACCACAAAAGATAACTATAACACTAAGAAAAAAAACAGCGAGCGTTACAGTAGACGCGTATGGTGCGTAACATTTAAACCCTAACCTTATATTAGTAAAAAAAGAAATAAAACCTACTACAAAAGTAATAAGCCATTTGAACATTATGTTCTAAAATCAAATCAAATAGCGCGCGCTTTCGCAACTTCCTGTTACACACTTCCGTCCTATTTCACGAAATCAATCCCACAAATTGCAGGAAAGCGAGAGGTAAGGTGTTACACATCAAAAAGTAGGTAAATTTAGTACCTGCATGGGCCACCACGTGTCGTCTGCCATATGTCCCAAGAACCACTCTGAGGCAGCCGCAGATGCGTTGAACTGCTTCGTCACCAACTCCACCCAAGACACCATCGTTGGCTAAGGAAATATCGATCACATAATTATAGCACTTATTCGAAAAGCCTAACACTGAACACGAGTTTAAAACAATATTATTTGATAGTTTGTTCTCATAAGTTTCAATATTACTTATTGTTTATTTTATGATAGTATGTATATCTAATTCCGGCACTTCACTTGGCTATTCTATTTGCTATTTTTAAAACTTGGCAACATTCTGTCTTTATCATGCTTTATAAGAAATGAAAAGGACAGACTGACATAAAAAACATGAATAGTCAAGTGGAGTGCCGGCATAACGATCGATTACTGGTTGAATAATTGACACAAAAAAAATGCTTTTCATTAACTAAGGTTTGAGGATTTTTTGTCATTTGTAAATTCTGATATCCATAGCTAAAAGTGCTTCAGCTGGTTTGTTTGGATTCTGAATATTTACCTACAATACCTAGGTAACACTGAAAATGTTTAGAAAATGAAAAACGGCTTAATGTAGAAAGTTGCCAATACTTTCATTGTTTTCGAAGTTATCTCCGTTCCTCTCTACACATCATCGCATTCGATGGAACCACTGAGAAAAGCAGTGGGCCCATTCTTCCTTAGGGGTCTCTTCTATGGCGGCATTTTCGTACGCTTACACCGCATCTTCAGGGCTCGTAAAGTGAATACCTCGAATTTTAACTTTAGTTCTTGGGAATAAATGAAAGTCGCAGGGCGCCAGGTCAGGACTGTATGGCGGATGACTCATTATCTCGACACCTGCCATAGTCAAATATTCAACAGTACATTTTGCGAAGTGCGCTGAAGCATTGTCGTGGTGAAGGAGGATCCTGCTTCGAGGGCGCTGCTGTCGAATTTTTTCCAAGACAACAGGTAAACAGCGATTGAGATACCAGTCTGCAGTAACTGTCCTTCCATCTTCTAGCTCAACTGTCGCGAAATGACCTTTCCGACCAAAGAATGAGGCAATCATCTTTTTTCCTTGACTTCTTGCTTTCTTTACCTTAGTTGGCCGATCCTCGAAAGGAAACTTCCACTGAGCTGATTGTCTTTTGGTTTTGGGTTCGTAGCAATATATCCAGCTTTCATCACCTGTGACGATGTCAAATACAGCATTTGAGTCACCGTCGTTGAACTCTAACATTTGGAGACACCAGTCCATGCGAAGGTGTTTCTGGTCGTCGGTTAAAGTATGGGGAATCCATCTGGTACAAAGCTTCCTGACACCTAAATGTTCATGTAATATTTTTTGAACTTGACTCATACCAATGCCTAGGCTTGCCCGTATCTGCTGATAAGTCACTCTCTTATCATCCTTTATCATGCGTCTTACAGCACTGATGTTATCTTCAGTAGTCGCTGTTAAAGGACGTTCCTCACACGGATCATCATTGAGATTGCTACGTCCACGCTTAAACTCGTTAAACCAATTGTAAATAGTGGCACACGATGGGGCTTCATTAAGAAATCCTAATCGCAGCTTATCATAGCTTTGTTCTTGAGTAAACCCACAACGAAAGTCAAACTAAATCATTGACCAAAAATTTTCTCGCGTTAGGTTCATTTTCACGTGTAACAAGAGTTTTAAATTTGCCGCCAATTCACAAAAAAATGACAAATGAATGCAATATACTACATTAGGTTACCAAAGAGTCCTCAAATTGAAATTCAAAAAAGTTTTCATTAGCAATGTTTCTAACTGGCCACTTCTAAACATTTTCAGTGTTACCCACATATGAAGCAACATAAAGTTTAGAGTGGATTGGAGAAATTTGTCAGTTTTGGAGGAGTGCTGTGTGCACAATATCTTTACAGTTATTTAATTATGAAGTTCAGTGATATACGCACATTTATCTCAACATTTCGTTAATACATGCTGTATTCGTTTTTACCTTTTCTTTGGCGTGTATGAATGTCTCGATGAAGAAAGAGGTGGAGAGACGCGCCGCCACTTCTGTGATCTCTGGCCGAAGCGTGAGTAGAGATTGTGGCACGGAACTACACATTTGACCCATGAACCTGCGAATACATTATATGTTCCATCATCATCGGTGATCCGCTTCCACACCTTCAGGTAAGGTCTATTCGTATTCTATTGATGAACCTCAGGGGCGTATTTTAAAATTTGGCTCCCCGGGCCATATACGATTTGTAGTTCCTCCCCCCTAGAACTAGCTGATTAAATTAAAAGTCTCTTACTAAGACCTTTGCCGCCCCTCGAAGACTGCCGTTACAGGCTGTGATCCTTAAATATAAAAAGATCATAATCTTCTAGGTATTACTCGTAACAAGGACTCGGAACGGTTAGTAGTGAAAGTGAAAGTAGGAGATAAAAGATCTCTGAAACCTATTTTGCATATGAAAATCATTGACTTTACAGTTTTGAAAATCTCTCAATTTTTGTTAAACCATTATTAATTCAAGTAAGACTTAGTAAATAAAAAATCATCTCCATGGATACCGGCAATCATTTTCCAATCCGCTGTAATTTGCCTCTATATAAAAAATATCATCACAGACGAGGTAAGCAAAAAAAAACTCTAGGTAGAACAAAATATATAAAACTTTGAAACACTATTATTTATTAGTTAAAATTTGTCGTTAAACGGGCATAGCCTTTCTCGTTGCTGCATACAAAAATTAATTGAAGCTACAATCCTCACGCGAAGTACGCGTGCTATAAGATGTTCTTGTCGTGCAAGAAATGCATGTTTCGTCCTATATCCACTTGAGCAGCAGTGCTATTCTGTAAGAACAAACTCACTTATCACCACGGAATTCGCCGGTGTGATTTGAAATTCGTATTTTCATTTTAAATCACAACGCAGATTCCACGATGAAAAGTGAGTTTTTTCAGCTGAATAGCACTGCAGGTCGAGCGGGAGAGTGACTGTTGCGCCGCTCTGGAGACAAATTCGACGAATCATCTGCTCGTCGTTTATTGGGGCGAATACAAGTACCGCCTTACAACATTACTCACGTGAAGTACGCATGCTGGAAGATGTTTTTGTCGTGCAAGAACTGCATGTTGTCGTCCCATATCCATTTTAACAGGTCGGGCGGGAGAGACACTTGCAGCGCGTCACTGTTGCGCCGATCGGAGGACAAATTTGACGATTCTTCTGCTCGCGACGACTGTACCATACAAGAAAAACTAATTTTAAGCAGCCAGAAGATCGTAAATTTTACATAATTGTAATTTTTCCCGTCCCCGTCAGATTATTTACCTATTTAATTAATTATCTATAACTATAATCTGTCCTGTTGAGGGTTCGATGGCTCAAGTGGTTGGAGCTGGGATCGTGGAATTATGGTAACTCTAGAAAAAGAAGGCACATTAGGTTGGTCCAGGGCTAAATTTGTAGTCGCTAGAACTTACATATTCGCACTGAGATCGCGTGGTGATTCATGTCATGACCGAGGATAAAAACAATTGACCTGAGTATTTTTTGAATGCTACTAAATACGAACACAAAGCAGCTGAAGACAAACACAAACCGCATAAGATAAAATTTCATTATCTTCACTGTTTTGACTATCTTCTGCTATAGCCGCCAATAGATGTGGATAGTAGTGAGAAGTTCGTAATTGAAAAAACGTTCTTCTACTTAATCAACCAAAAAACTGCCTCTTTGATTTCTCATCTCCCTTTGCCACTATTTACCTGTGCTTCTTCCTGTTGTCCGCAGTCAGAGCCACGCTGACTGCGAGGCGGACTCAACTCGTAGAACAACATGTACGCGCTGTTCGTCTTCTCGAACGAGAAATCCATGAACTTATCCGTCACAGAGTCGTATGTTTTACTCTGAAACATACAACAAAACAATCAGCTAAGGTATAGTTTCTATCAAAATTGAAGCTAATAAGAACTAATATAAAAGTGCTTGTATGCAAAGCAAAGCACATCAGATTCGAGTGCTAGAGGAACGAATAAAGCGCTAAATAACCATCATTTCTCTGCCGAAACAATCTGCTGCGATATGGGCAGGGTCGGTTTAACTACAGCGTCGTTGAATATAAGCAACTAGTTGTGATATTACTTCTGTCGGTACCTGATGAAAGAGTGCTAGTGAAACGAATAAAGCGCTTACTAACCGTCATCTCCCCGCCGAAGCATTCTGCTGCGATATGGGCAGGGTCAAAGGGCTTAACTTCAGCGTCGTTGAATAGAAGCCATCGGTCGTGATGTTCATGCTCTCGGTCCCTAATGAAGGAGTAGTAATGGCCGCCATCCGCGGTGCCCGTATGGACTGTTACACCTATTAGTTCGTACCTGGGAAGATAAGATTTTTTTTTACTTTTAAACACAGACGAACACTTAAAATGCCTCGGTTGTTAACTTTTGCTTGAAGATAGTTTACTATCTGTCGATCATTGGAATAGGCAAAGAGCTGGTACTTTTATTTATCATAATTTTATATCCAGCCAATAACGAATGCATTTTGACATGAAACAGGTATTAGAGTAATAATTGAAAATGAGACATATAGGATACTTACTCGTAATGTTCTTCGAATTCAGAATTATCTTCACTTTCCACAGACGGACTGCTATCACCGTCCTTCTTAAATTCTTCCGATTTTCGTTTTTCCTCTACGAATAATAAATATATGTACAACATCTTTAACAATATTCTGACTCAAAGGCGACTCTGATAGGCGATACTGACTCCACATGCAGAGATCCGAGTGAAGCCAAAATGTCTGTAGTATATAATATTATCACAGCGAAACAAGGTATAAATATTTAAATCTAAAATAAATTTTACTAGATAAAATTCCAAGCGGTCCAGGCAGCAGACGGAACTCGAAACCGCACCCTTCGCTATCCGATTTTTTTCTACTCAAATTTTCTCTAAATTTAAACATCTACCAGTTACATGCTTAATAAATTACAAATATAAATAGTAATATTTAGTAAAATAGTTCTTTCTAAGATCCAAGTCAGATTTATAACTATTAATTTTCAAAAGTATTTTATTTGTAAATCACAAAGAGTTCAGAGGCCCAAGCACGAACTTAGACAAATACAGATCCGTAATCGTATCGTCATCGTCTTTTATATGGAAGGAGCCAGTTTGTCTTTACATCCGGTAACGGGCGCTGTTTAGTTTTGGTAGAAACTGTTGACTATGCGATAGAATTACGGAGCTGTCAAAGTTCGTGCTTGGGCCACTGGATATATTGAAATATAGAAAATTCTTAAGATCTTGTTCAAAGGACATTCGAATAATCAGGATTTTATTTGTATTAAATAAAACATTTAAACACACCCTGGTACTGAGCCGGCATCAGGTGTTTCTCCACGTATCCGGACATGTCGAGCCGCATCGGGAACGAGAAGTGCGTGTTGACCTTCTCCTTGAGCATTGTCAGCATGTTGAACGTGTACCGCATCGTGTTGAAGCACAGGATGCGCGGCAACTTCTTGAAACACGCCCTGCCGAGCGATATTCAACCTCATTACTATATACTACGTTCGGCTGCGATCGTTGAAGTCAAGCGACTTCTGCAGTGGTCGGTCATCGGATGGCTAGCCAACAATTTTTTACCATATCGAGCTCCTCCGTGCTTCGGAAGGCACGTTAAGCCGTTAGTCCCAGCTGCATCAGCAGTCGTTAGCACCCACCAATCAACAATGGGCCCTCGTGGTGGGTTATGGCCAAATCTCCCTAATTAATCCATAGGGAAGGTCTGTGCCCTAATAGGCTGATGATGATGATGACGACGCAGCCGTTGATGAATGTCTACCAGCGAAGGGTCCGCTGGCAGACCCGGTACATTTTGAACCTGCAATAAATGTCGACGTACCGTTTCTCGGCGCGCACTTTGGCCGCGCACTGCGAGCAGGTGTAGCAGTTATCTCCCTCTAGTGTGTCTTTCACGGTCACCTCGTCAAGGCTCTGGTGTAAGTTGCGCATATCGGCCACTTGACAGCGCACCGTGTAGAACTCTTCTAGAGTGCGCGACACGTGCGGACAGTCCTGTTATAACATAGTTGATAAGAAATTAACTGATATTACTTCTGTACCCTTACCACGAACCAAATCCGAATAGTTGAATTATTTGAACGCGTCATATGTAGAGATCGAATAATCGGATGCATATTTACCTAGAGTTCAGATGTTGGAAAACACTTTTGAATGTAAAAAGTCCCGCGATTCCGGGAAATTCTTATTTAAGTGTATCCTCCATGAGATCTTATATACCCAGATTGACACAAATGACAGTTTCCCTGTGTGTAAAACATAAAAATACTGTATAAGATCTCCATAATGAAAAATTAATTTATGTTTTCTTATTAACAACACCACATTTATCATACACACACATCCTCGAATAGGAAATTAAAACTTAACCGTAAGTAAATATCCATCCGATTAGTTATGCAAATCCCGAAATTTTGAAATATTATTTTTATTAGCAGCCTTTTACCTGAAATAAAACGCATATTAAACTACTTACCTAATTCAAAGCTTATTATGAGATAGGCACTTCCGTTTCCGTCGACTTGTCTCATTTGACCTACTCTTTTGGTTCACTTCCGGTGAACCTCCGGTCATCACCAGGGGTGGGGAGACGCGCTTACGTGTTGGCGTGCTCGCCATTTTCAATTATTGTGTCGAATTCACCAGGCAGTGCTGGAAAGTAAGCTTCGAATTAGGTAAGTAGTTTAATATGCGTTTTATTTCAGGTAAAACGCTGTTATTAAATCACTTGACCGTAATTCGAAGCTTATTATGAGTCGTGTTTGTTTTCGCCTGGTGATGGAGTGTTACGCCAATGTGAATAAAAATGCGTATTCAGAGAAAATTAAAAACCAGGATTTTATTTATTAACATAATCATTATAATTATTCAAAAGATTAACACAATTTTGAATCATATCATTATCGAATCATATCATTATTGAATCATATCATTGTACTGGACTAAATAAATTTAGCAACCGACAAACTTCAATTTTCAGTATCACCATCAGTCAGGACTTCACGCCGGTAGAAGTTTGAATGTGCTTGCAGACTTCCAATTACCACGTGCCTGAATGTCTTCTAAGGGAAAGTTAATAGGCCACACTAAAAACATAATATTTCCGTGAAGTACACAAGCGAATTACCGCCATCTTTAAATGAAAATCGAACTTTAAAACCATAAGAGGTTGTTATTAAAAGGCACTTAAAAAGGAAGATAATAATATTCAGTACACAATAAACGAAAACGTAATTAACAAGTAGGTTCAATGAGTTTCTACTAAAATAAAATGAATTTACAAAGAAATCATAAAAATCGTACGGTAAAACCGTTATAAAAATAAGAGTACTGACCCAGCCATTATTAATAACGAATGGTACGTTATTTTACCTTATTATATTTTTATTACAAACACTTGAGGGTAGAAATGTTTGTATTTAGTACAACGTGTGCTCTGCACAAGTTTACTGGACGGAAAACAAAATGTCCATGATTCAAAGAGTCTAAAGAACATTCACCTGAAGTGAACCAAAAGAGTAGGTCAAATGAGACGGAAGTCGAAGGAAACGGAAGTGTCTATCTCATAATAAGCTTCGAATTACGGTCAAGTAGACATGGGCGTTTTTGGTTTTGAACGCAAACGGATATTTATCGGATTTCAGATTTCAAAATCGATTTTAAAATCCGTTTTTAGATATCCGATTTCAGATGTGCCGAACTTAGCCAATTAACTAGTTTGTGTTATGATTTGGTTTTATTAGCTAACGACAATCACAAACAACTAATTGTACGAAGCAAGGATACTCGTAGATTTGCGCGATTTTCCTTTATGCTTTAAATCTAGGCTTAGGCAAGAGTATATATTCTGTGGCTTAGGACTAGCAGCAAAAGTTATCTTTACGGTTAAAAGGTGGTTAAAAGTAAAACTTTTGCGGCGCATTTAAAAATCGGCTTATATACAAGATTTCTTTTTACATATTTTTTTAGTATTTTTTTTTTGTTTTTATTATTTTTCAAACCATTTACAAAATCAAACCTAATTACTTCAGGTTAGCGTTCAAAAAATGCCAGTTGCTCGACTTTTGATGTTTTTAGACGACATCTTTTTCAGTAATAAATAATCCCGCCTTAGAGAAGAACAATAGATTTCCGTAAACAACAAACCGAAATCGGACTTCCGAGCACGAAATCGGACTTCCGAAAACGAAAGCACGAATTTCGAATCCGATTTACATTTGGATACTTGTGGTGGTATTAGATCGCTAGCGTTTTGGTTCGGTTAGATTTCTGAAATCGGATTTTCTTGTTGAGAAATCGTTCGGTATCGATTTGTGTTTGAAATCGGATTTTGGATTCGTTTTGATATATCGGACGCATGCCTACGGTCAAGTGGTTTAATAAAAATATCCCAAGAAGCCGCTTCCATAATTGTTAGCCAAAAAATAACTTTAGATAAATATGCATCCGATTATCCGATCATAAGTCATATGTCAAGAAGTTTTGTATAGAAATTTGAACAGCGCCATAACGGACGTATCGAGAATTAAAAAATCTTCCATACAAAACTTCTTGACAGCTGACGCGTATCGAGGTCGAATTCGTAACGTTTGCGAGTCCGAAATGTCATCGTCAAATGTGTACTGATTTTTAGTTCTTGATGCGTACTTTGTGGCGCTGCTGTTCAAGTTTCCATACAAAATTTGACAGTGTCCTTACACACTCGCAAACTATTCGAATTCGATAATAGTTTGTGCTAGGGGTACTGATAAAAACACAGAGTTTACATTAGTGAAACTGTTTCATTTTAGGTCAAAACAAGTAATATGGCAGAGAGAGGAGTATAATTAAATATAATCAAAATTTTGAAAATCCATGAAGCTTGCTTAATTTACCTACCAGTCGAAAGGAGAATTGAGTTAATGGGAATATGCATGTAATTCAAAAAAGTATAGTTTTGAAATCCTCACCAGTGACACGACGTTGTTGCTTAACACGCCACAGAACAGTGTTTTGACCAGTTTCTTGAGCTCGGGTGTCATCTCCTCTAGCTTGGACACCAGGTCGATGAAGAACTCGGCCATGTCCTTCTGTTCCCCTGTGTTCAAAGGTTGGTGGTCCATTTGGTATACTTTGCAGAAGCTACGGGGGTTGTACGCTTTGCGCTCACTTTCCTGAGGAGGATAAACAATAATAATATACTTTATAGCGCATAACATAGGATAAAAAATACAAAAATCTTATCTAAAAAGAAGACAGTGTAGTGAGCCTTACTGCAACGCAGCTATTTGTTTTGAATGAATGTTAGCCCAGAAATATAATATACTGGAGAAAGACATGAAACAGTGAAACGGAGACAAAAATTGTTATGGTATATAAGAGGTCTTCCTCGGGGGTCTTCTTCTCACTCAATCGTTCAACTACATCTCCTTTCACGATCTCCCTGGCTGCATAATTAAAGCGAAACAAGTATTAATGTGACATTAACTAATCTCTTTCCAAAATTTCAGATAGGTAAGATGGAAACAATGAAAATAATATATGGAATAAGAATTTAAATAACACTCACTACCTTTTGGTGGTGTTGTGTTTCCGTAGGGGAGTAAGTTTTCAGAGCTCCAAGGGGTAAGGGAGTGTGTCAGGGTAGGTAACGGCGCGAGTTATATTTTTAGTAACGCAAGCGCCTATAGGCTATGGTGGCCGCTTATCATCAGGTAGGCAATATGCTTGTTTGCCACCATTATAATATAGAAGAAAATCTTCACTGACTAGTAACCTCAAAGTTACGATGATAGCTCTATATGACAGCACTCATCGTGAGGTAAGGTTATATCCACGGCATCATGTACAGGTGCTGACACGACCACGTAGCAAGCGGGCCGAGGTCAGTGACCCGAGCGCCCACGCGCCCCGTACGACAGCACTCACCATGAGGTAAGCGAACATCCGCTGCATCTCGTGCAAGGTGGGCGAGTGTCGACTAGCGGCGGGGTCTGCCCGCAGCACCGCGGCCCTAGCCTGAGGCATCATGTACAGGTGCTGCATACACGAAGCCATGTAGCATGTGGCACCCAGGTTTGTGAGACCTACGTAGCCGCACTCAGAACGGGATTCTTCCGCCGGCCAGTAATCCCATGGGTACGATGATTGTGGACCTATAGAACAAATATTTGTAATAAGTTTTATGCTGGTACTCTGGATATTCATATTTGGAGAACGATCGCTGTAGAAAATAGTGTCCCAGAAATATGGACAAAATAAGTGAGGCGCTGCGATCGCTAAGTTGGTCAATAAAAGCGGGCTAATTTGAAATGACCAATGCCGCGAAAAAAAATTGTACAATATTCAACTAACTTCATCTACTTGTACTCATAAACAGCTAACTTCACAGATACTACTTACCGACGGCAGCGCGGCTGGTGGCTGAAAAATAAACTATAAATTCTACAAATTTTCAGGGTCAGGCGGGCTAATGCTTTAGTACGTAGCGATCGATCTCCTTATCTCTAACCTCCATGCAAATAGCCATGTGAAGTGGCATTAAGCATAGAGTAACAAATTACACAAAGGTTAAAAAATACTTTTCTCAAAAACATGTAATAAATTTGACAAATAAAATGCACCCTCCATTAAATTCTAAAGACATAAAAAGCTGGTTTGTAAATGAAATACAGTAACATTGTGACAAGGAGCCCACCAAATTTAAAAGAACTATTTTGCTCATTAATTATCATAAAAACTCATTTAAAGTGTATCTTATAATAAATATATGTCCCACATTTACAGTGTGTAGTTTACGTTACTTTAGTTGGTCCTATGAGCTAAATAAGTACGACTCACCAGGCTTATGATGCTCCATGAGCTTATGGTGTAATACCATGTAGTTGTCCGGAGCTCCTCGCACTAATTCCACCAGCAAATCATATGCCGCCGCTCGAGACTTCTGAGACTTGCATTTGGGCAAGTTCCTTTGGTCTGGGTTGGGTACGTCAAATAGGAATCCGAATACCTTTTAAGAGATAAATAGTTTTTATTGTTCTTTGTTTTGGAAATATTACCTAAACTATTTTAAGCGATTTATTGTTTTTTTTACATCATTGATGTATCAATTGAAGTTTTCAAGATGGGAATGTAACCGTCGTATTGATATACAAGTACAAGACATTACTTCTGCTTATGTGATCACTTGAGCAACACTTCCATTTCATTTTTTCAAGAAATTTATCAAAGTAAGGACTGTCATAATGAGAATTCTAACAACTCGTGCCATTAAAAAAACGAACCGAAAATATCGACACAAGCTATTCTGTCTCTTGCATCAAATTAAAAAGCAAATAACTGCACAATTTTATTAAATAAATTCTCCAATAAGGATAACTTCAGATTTTTACCTAATGAAAACTTAACAAATATTTGGCAACTATGCCCTTTATGTTTTTATTAAATAAGATCCACGTTTACTAACCATTTCCAACGTCATAGTGCCTTGTTCCGAATTCTTAAACCTAAGCGGATGTTTGAGCAAATGTGTGAGCAGACTCAGCTGTCCGTACAATCCATCGTCAGGCGTGCACGGTTCTGTGCGTTTCTCAATGATTTCTCGCTTCTCCAGCGAGGAACGAATCTGTTCGCAGAGTTCGTTGAGATCTGGCGCACCGCTATCTTCAGAGGTTGCACCTTCTGTTAAAAGCAGTTTAAATGTCATCATCATCATTTATCATTATTAGTCCTAGGGCCTAAGCACGAATTTTGAAGGCCCGTAATCGTATTGCCATCGTTAAATTTTGAATGGATAAAGCAAGTTTATTCATACGTCCAATAGGAGACTTAGTTTTTATAGAAACTTTGACGATGCGATACGAATACAGATCTAAATTCGTGCTTGGCCCTCAGGTCTTCTTATTTTTCTTATGTGTACGATATACCTTTAAAGAAGTCTTCGGGCAAGCCATCTATTAGGCGGCAGACTAACCAGAAGTAGTCCCTGCAGGCAGGCCCGTATGGCTCTTTGCCTTCTTCCGCATGGTGGTGAACTACCTGTGTTGGAATAAAAATGCCATAAATAATCAATAATGCCGACGAGTCATTCTGTCTTTCTCGCACATTACTTGGGATAGCATGTGCAAGAGGGACAGAATGTCTTACCTCGTCATTTGCGATTCCTTTCTTTAATGACATTAGTCATATTTAAATTGAAGGAATCAAAAGACATTCAACTTTATCACATTTAATATCGTCTATAGACGTACCTCATGATGATGTTGATGTTGAGGCGTGTGATGAGGTCTCATATCCGCAGCGCGAGGCAAGTGCTCTAACAGCAACTGCAGTAAAGGCGCTAATACCGCCACTTCGCCACCCGCGCATAACCGATATAACGCACTGCCGGCTTCACGCCGTACCTAACGTTGAGACAATATACACATATAGATTATAGTCTGTCCATTCTATTATTATCTTTTTGACAGATCGATCGAAGTAAAAATAGTGACATTCTATCACATAACTCATTCGATTTAAAGCTATAATCGATTTTATGCTAGAACATTGTTTAATCGATTATAAGTATCGAAATTATTTTAATTATCAAAAATACTGGTGTTTAATAAATTATTACAAAATCTCATTAGATTTATTATTTTACCTAGTATATTGCCTTTGACAATATACAACAGAACGAACTCATCATTAATACCGAGGACACATCTGACAATGAATCCAGTTAATATGAAGAATCTGATATGTCTGAATAAATTAAAAATAAACTAAGAAGACATTTATATAATGTTAATATTTTAATTACTTGGTTTCAACCATACAATTTATTTCTACCGATTATTTGTAATCTGTGGCACAATCTTAGTAATCATTATGTGTGGCACATCACTAAGTGGGCGGTACCCGTCCATGAAGTACAATATTATTTATATGACATTTTCACGTAAACAATACAAAATTTCTTGGGCGTCGATCTGTCAAAAAGATAATAATAGAATGGACGGACTATAATTAATATAATACAAAGATACACGGGGTATGTGCTCTAATAAAAAAAATTATAACACATTTGCTCCTAAAGCGTCTCTTATTGCACCAATTTCAGTACCATAATCTATCACATTACACACGCGTGCGGTAATGGTAACGCACGGCTCATTATATTCCGTCTAAAAACGAACGATACTTTTTTAAATCTTAGCAAAGAATTTTTATGTCAGAAAGGTAGCCAACATTTTCTTAATAAAATTAACTTTGGGAGATAAAAAATAATACATAAACATTTAATTCTTTAATTTGATTCATTTTGACAATAAATTACAACCATGTATCGGTAACAAATTCACAAAAATATTAATTTACTTTATTAGTAACACTGGCTGTTTTTTGTTCCTTTGCCTAAAAAAAGCATTGATGCGCGCGCATCGCTAATCTGTGAAATAGTTATTTCTTTTTCTTTTCGCTGAATTGTTTTTATTTGAAAATATTGTCAAGTAGTAACAAATTTATTAATTTGACACCGCCAGAAGTCGAAAAAGGCTACGCTAAGTCTCTTTCCCGAAAAATCCACGGATTCATCTTATGGAAAACAAACAAAGGTGCAAATTCATTTTCAGAAAGTACGTACGTAGGTAGTATTATTTCCCCGCAAATGTGTTATAAAACGTCGTATGACATACGTGCGGTTTGATAATTACAGCCTCTGCCTTCTTATAGCCCTCACCTACGGCTCGGGCTAACAATATCGCCGCGCCTGTAATTCTCAACTTACCGCACTTATATCATAATGTGCTATAACATCAGTCTCTCCTTTTCATTCTGTACAGTGAATGACAAGGATACACTGTTGTCAAATTAAAGTTTAGGTTTAGAGAATCATGCCAGAATGATACCAATTTCATATGAAATTAAGTGACACTGATGTTTGCAGATACTGCAATCAAGAGTGTGAAGCTTCTTGCAAGCTGACGGGCTAAGAGAGATATTTTTACTGAGTAGCGGTCTCAATAGATCTTTTAGGTCGCAGTGATTCAATTCCAAAACGATTGCATAGACCAAAAATCTATACATAAGTATAATTAAATTGTAGGAATGTCAAAACTGTACATTGAATATTTTTTAAAAGAATACTTGGGGTGTGGATATACAAACGATACCGAAGCCAACAGTATAGTTTTTAGAAATTTTGTCTGTTTGTCTGTATGTATGTCTGGGATAAACTCAAAAAGTACTGCATGGATTTACTTCAAATTTGGCAAGAATATTATTAATAAGTCAGGTCAACATTATAGGCTACATATTATCACACTATCACCTACGGGGAACGAGCAGTGAACCTTTATTTCTATCTAACTCTACGCGTACGAAGTCGCGGACGGCCGCTAGTCTGAAATAACATTAATACTCACAGCAGGATCAGCGTCATCCAGCAGTAATCTTGGTGCAGCCCGTCTCAGTGACCAGGCGAGAGCTACGGCATCCCCCCCACCGCGGGCCCACCATACGCACATACGCATCGCGTGTTGTACTACCTGCGTACATCATACTATATATAAAATCAGCCTCATCATCAGCTTATTAATGTCACCACTGCTGGAGCACAGACCTTCCCTATGGATGGAATAGGGAGATTGGGCCAGACCCACCACCCGGGCCCAGTGCTGTTTGGTGGGTGGTATCGACTGTAGATGCAGCTGGGACCAACGGCTTAACGTGCCTTCTGAAGCACGGAGGAGCTCGAGATAATAATTTTTTGGTCACCCATCCAATGACCGAAAGTTGCTTAACTTCAACGATCGCAGCCGAACGCGCTAACCACTTGCGCCATCCGGCACCTCAATCTATTCCCAACGAATTAGAAATGATATGGAAGCATTACTCTCTTACAAAGGCCGCTAAAACATGGTTCTAATCTAACACAGCTCCCCCGCTGCGCCGCGGCGGTTTAGAGTTTAATTTCAACAAACTTTGTTATTCATCGAACAACTTCTCAAGTCCTTTACAGGACTGTTAATGTTTTTTTTTGTGTTCCATCACACATAAACAGTGGGTTTTCCTTCTAGATACGTTTTTAATCTTAATCACGGGCATAAAGGTCCGTTACGTTATTAACATGCGATTCTTATAAGTCAAACCTTAACATATAAAAGCTACTTTACACGAAATGGAAATCTTTCAGTTAAACTGCAACATTGCTAAATTAGATTTTCCAATGATAAAATAGAATTTCCCAATGATAAAAAAAGCGGTAAAAACGGTTTGTAATGTCTAATAAAGTTCATTGACCTGTGCTCGTCCCCAAAAGCCAGTCTTATATGTGGTAGGTTCTTTGAGAGCGGCAGCTTCGCACAATATTGATATTAACCTATCTGTCGTTTCTTCTACGGTCATCAGTGACAGCAGCGACTGTAATAACAAAAACAAAATAAAATTAACAAAGTCCGTAGTATTTCAACTAATGATATTGGTATATGTATATCTATACTTCTGTGATCATAATCAGTCGTCGTTTTTAAAATTTATCTTTGTACATACATATATCGAGCTCATCTATCGGCCCACCTAGCATTAGCAAAGTTAAATTGAGCAAAACGTTTTACGCACTTTTGAAGCAAATTTTTGAACCACCATTTTCGGGTATTTTTAAAAATATATTATTATTACGGAACCTTATATATATTTTTGGTACATACCGTTGAAACTAATAACACTTAGAGGGCCGATAGATGTGTCCGGGAGTGTATATATTCATCAGTTCAGTTCCTTTATGCAGCACAAGTTATTTTTTAGTTATTACCACACAAAAAGTTAACAAGGCCAATCAAATCCAACTTAGATAATAGTTACCGGGTGTAGCTTAGGTGTTTGGGAAGGGTCCGCGGATGGCAGTGTTCCAATGCGGCATAACAACTGAAGCAGTAACGCCAGACAATCTTGGCGCCATTCGCAGTCGTCGCTACGTTGCAACACACCTAATAAAATAAAAATAAAGTCTCATTCTCGTAGCTAAATGTATCTTTCATGAAAATCAAATAGTCTGGCGAAAAAGAGATAATATACACCAGCATAAATCACTCCCATCGCTATTACACACACACACACACACACACATTCCTACTAAAGTGGCACCAAAATTGGTATTGGTTTTGTACAAAGTTGCTGTTCAGATATAATAATGACAATTTGCGAGATCATCGCCAGCAAAATTGTTTCCAGAACTAACATATCAGTTGGTTGTGTTTAACCATATAATTCTTCTGTCTCCTGCCCAATATTTAAAACAAAATCTTCAGTAAAGGAGAATGCTCATGGATGTATGGACCGCCGTACAATGGTTGCATCAATACCAAACAAATGTTAAATGATCGTTTAATATTCAAATTAGTATGACAAATTGGAATTTTGAAAATAGAAACAGGGGTTTTAATGTTATTGTAAAAAATGTGACATAACCTCAAATCCTTAATAACTCCTATTTAAAGTTGGTTTACAGCTATTTTGGGTACTTTTTATTCTGTTATTTTTTTATTATTAGCATAGATTTTTCAACACAGATTTCAGTGAAGGCAGATTTACGTATAGGTAAATAAAAACATTAATATAGGACACTTTTTATTAGATTACATATATTAATTGTACACATTATATTTGAATTACCAGTATATTTCAAATCAACATAATCTTCATAGAAAAAATAATCTAAATAAGGCGCCAGAGCAGTAACATCATTGTAACGACCCCAACTTAAAAACTGAACTACAGTTATTATGTGGTCCTAACAGCCCACAGGTTGTTTACCAACGAGACAGCTGCAATAATAACCTTTTATAGCCTCTAATGTGTCTGCCAAAGCAGCCACTCTACTGATAAGTAAATATGAGTTATATGTACGCTGCTTAAGTGTCAGGAATTAATCCTACCTCTTAATAATTATTTAGACCTAAAACAAGAGGAATATCATCTACAAACAAACAAATTCAAACAATTTGTAGCTTTTGTCTTACAACGTTCTAATGTAGCTCCTGGATTATTGAAAAGAGTGGCCAATCTTTCGTTGTTATCAGCAGTTCTTAATTTAACTAAATAAATACAAAAGGCTATAGAAGCGTTTGGCACTTGTTCTGCTAGATTGGTATACAGTTGAGCAAATTATAAAACTGTTCAGAGTTCATACCAAGTCAATAATGACATAAATGAGGAGACATAATTGAAACATTAGAAAAATCTAATTAGTAATTGGCTGATCGCTGTATCATAATCATTATATTATAAAACTGTGTGCCAGTAAAATCTCTTAATTAAGGTGTTAATTCATTCCATGAACCATAATTCAAATAGTGATGACAAACACATGCACCAGCTGGTATGCACAATTTATTATTATACAATAAGATCCCTGATGGTAGATGAAATAAGTAGACATTCAGGCTCTAAACAATTTGCAAATACACAGGAGAGTTAGCAGCATGTATGATGATGATGATACAATTTTTAGAGTCACTTGTTGAACTGCTTCTAGTCTTGGTTGTGGCAGAGGAGGTGGCACAGGTATAGAATGATTGCCACTTAATGTAGTATCTCCAAGAGTAAGGCGATTTGAGTCATGTTGTTGTTTCCTTTGTACTTGTTGAATCTCCAACATGCAGCACATACATGTTCCATTCTTGAGATCTAAAAAGATAACATTAATAAAAAATGAATAATTAATATGGAAAATTCCTTTCTGTTTATTTTAAGGAATTTCTGTATTCTCTCATCATCTATTACCTGTCTAGTGATAACAAAACAAATAAAATAAAATCTAAATGTTACCATGACTACTACAAACATCTTAGTTCTGGATTTGTAATTAAGTATGATATCCAATAATAATACACAGTAATAATAGTTTTGTCATAAGATTGTGATAGTAAATGATTCCTAAGTATCTAGAACTGTTATTACTTTTTTAAGAAGTCAAACAAAACAGTTAATATATATTTCATACAGTTAGTTGCACATGACATTAGACAAACAATATTAGCTCACCTGAGTAGGATTTATCCATGACTGTAATATGTTGAGGGCTAAACTGTTATTCTACAAAAAAAAATTTAGTATCACCTCTTGGGCCCTGGAAATACAGTTTTACAATACACTGGTTTAGCCAGTCAAATAGTCTAATCGTCATCGATTCCTCATTTGAGGTAGAATGCGTGAGTAGAGAACACTACAAACACACATACGGTAAATAAACGTCCTGTCGTGAATGCACTGTTTTTTTCCTGAAAACGTCTTGCCTGTCTTCAAAAAACAACTCAGAAAAAAAACGTTTGATACGTTCACACGCAATCATTATCACTTCACAATTTATGTAAAAAACTCAATCAACACAAAAATAGGAGTAACAACAATTGACAATTCTCCAATCATTTGCAATAGGGTAGGGTGATGATGATCTGAAATTGAATATACGAATAATCGATGGAATACAAAAAAAAATGTTTTTGTATATAATCGATTTACGCAATGAATAGATCAAGTCAGATACAAATAAATCCAGATTCAATTAATTAATAAACAGCATAGAAATAAATATAATTACTAGTTACTACTTAGTTAATGATGAAGTCGACAGTTAGGTGAGCGCCCTCTATAAAAACAACGATTAAAGATTTCCGCGGAATTAACCTTCTTTAACATTATTTATACGTGTCGAATTTTTAAACTTAGATTCGAATACCACGGCTACACGTTCCGTCTTACCTAAGAGCATGCCTGCACAGATTAACTAGCCTCTCTTTGTCGTCATTGTCGTCCGTCCCTCTCTAACTTAGATACTTTTATGGACGTAGAACAGGACGCGGCACAAGCCAATATACAATCATTGTATTTTGCGTTCAAGAATAAGGCCTTTTGACTACGTAGGCAAGACAAAGCGCTGGGTAAGCACGTGCCTCTTTTTGTCCGACTACCTACATGCTCGACATTTTATCATTTTCATCTCTATGCTTAACACGTTACATCCAGTAAGTAGACACTACATACAGCAAGAGACGTGATAGGAAAGTATCTAGTTAAGCCAAGCGACGGGTTATTGACTATGACGTATTAAGCATAGAGACGAAATAGATAAATGACGAGTTGTCATCGCAACAGTTAAGACAATAAAAACGTAAAATCACTATTAAACAATAATTAGTAACACGTGATTTATTTGCTTTTTGATGGCCCACTCATCGGTAACAAAAGCAACAATCGATTATAATGTATAACTAATAGTGTACTATGGCATCACTATTTTTACGATAAATAAACAAACGTCAGATATCCGGCTCAAAATATAAACAGTACTATGACTAATATTATTTTAAAAATTATTCCCTGTTCAAAATAGCCATTCTGATAGACCATCGTACGTATAAATTAAAGAAAATAATTATCATAATAATTTTATCTTGAGGCATGAGACAAAGCTGTACCAAATATGGGCATTCTCCTTTTAAAAGGCAAGATATAATTCATTGTATTATAATAAAGAGGTGTTTCCTTATTCAAATAATAATTTGTTGTATCTAAAAATTATCTAAAACAAAGAACTCACCTGACATCATTATGTCGTAGAGCAATCTTAATCCACCCTTTTTTATAAATAAATCGTTCCAGTTTTCCACGCAAACTTTCTCTTCCTCACTCTTATCTATGGCACCGGTTGGCTCTTTCACATTGGGACCGCTGTTGGAGCTGAGTTTGTCTATGATATGTAGGGAGTACATTAGCTTCTGTGGGCTGGTGGGGTCGAGAAGTTCGGGCAATTTACTTTCTGTAGGGTTTTGGAACGCTTCTAAGAGTGTGGGATTCAATGGAACCGCTTGTAATATGTCCCATACGCGTCGGGAGAGGAGCTGAGCTTTTGTATGAGCGACCGGTTCCTGTGAAACAATATTTCTCATATAGGTAGTTCATTTTTTCTGTAGCACACACTCAGGAACTAATACAATCACCTCATATTGTAAACTAAAATTAAGGTCCCAACATTGAGCTCTGATACTGATGTTCGTTATTTTTGTATGACTCGGGTCATTAAAGGAAGGAATCGATAATACCGACGCAAAACATTCTGTCTCTCTCGAACTTTACTTGGCTAACACTATAGCATGTGCGAGAGGTAGAGAATATCTAACGTCGTCATTTGATATTCCCTTATTTAATGTCACGAGTAATATATGATATACGTGATGTAATAGCAACCTTTAAGAAAAGAACATTTTAATTTGAATGTTTTGTTTAAACTGAATGACATCTTTATTTGTGAAATGATAACACTACTCGCGGGGAAAATTATGGTTCCTTCACCTGCACCAGCGACTGCATCAACGTGAACAGCTGATGGAAGCAGCTGCATCTACTGTCGTTAGCAAGCACCAATCCGTATTGGGCCCGCGTGGTGGGTCATGACCCAATCTCTATGTTCTATCTCGAGGGAAAGTGCCCCAGCAGTGTAGACATAATGATGAACAGCTGATGGAAGCATGTGAAAACAATGATTTATCCAGGATACTTACAGAGCTAGGTCCTGGTTCTTTCATCTGCGCCAGCGCCTGCATCAGCGTGAACAGCTGATGGAAGCAGGTGGGGTCCAGCAGCAGCAGCGTTGGAAGACGAGCTCTGGCTGGCGCCGGTTGGGCTGAAGGCCATTCTGCCCACGCACCTCGCCCACCCACGCCCACGGATACGAATACCAACTGTGGATAGCAACTCTGGTAAGATACTTTAATGTTTGAGGAGCCCGATGGCGCAAGTGGTTAAGTGGTGGTCGGTTGCGATCGTTGAAGTCAATCAACTTTCGCTATAGGCTATTTTATTTGACAGTATGAAAAATTATGTACCAATTGTTGGCATCTGTATTAAAAATGAATATTAGCGGCGATTTTATTGATGTGTAACATCTTTCCTCTCGCTTTCCTGCAATTTGTGGGAGTGATTTCGAGAAATGGGACGGAAGTGTGTAACAGGAAGTTGCGAAAGCGCGCGCTATTTGATTTGATTTTATTTTAGAACATAATGTTCAAATGGCTTATTCCTTTTGTAGTAGGTTTTATTTCTTTTTTTACTAATAGAAGGTGAGGTTTCAAATGTTACACATCATACGCGACTACTGTAAGGCTCGCTCGTTTTTTTTTATTCTGCAAGAATAAATAAATTATAACTTTTCTATAAAATCATTAAATAGAAATGATTTTTTGCTTCATGGTTACGTAACCGAAAACAGCCTGGGATTGGCCAACACTAAAATGACGTCACACGCTGGTAAACTTCCGGCCATTATGACATTACATTGTATTATTTGATGTTTTAATGACAGTCGTGATACGTCACATACTAGTGAGACACCATAATGTCCAGGGAAACGTTTTCGCTGCAACTAGAAAATTGAAATTGATTAATTTAGGTTTTTTACATAACAGAATTTAAAATATCCTTTTTTATGGACTCCATATGCTTAGTAAATAACGTAAGATCGTTTTCTAAAACTTGTAAAATACGCTTTTGTCGATGATTAAATGGGTGAATAAATATGTACTATCTCGAACTCCCCCGTGCTTTGGAAGGCACTTTAAGCCGTTCCCGGCTACATCTGCAGTCGTTAGCGCCCACCAATCCGCACGGGGCCCGCGAGGTGAATCTTGCCCTAATCGCCCTATTCCATCCAAAGGGAAGGCCTGTGCCCAGCAGTGGCGACATTATTAGGATGATGATGAATATATTGTTTAATATTCTACCATAAGGAAAGATTAAGTCCATCCAACTTTGGTTAACTTTTTATAGTAAATATTCGATTACTGATTAAGCGGTCCGACAGGCTATTAAGAAAAAATGAATACTCATTTGGTTCGACACTAACAATACAAATGCGAGAATAACTCAATCTGCACTTCCGTTTGTGTCAGCTGTCAGGTCCATATGGTTTTGCAGATTATGTTAACTTTAGTTTATGTAGTAACAAATCTAAATAAACGTGTCTATCAGTTAAAGTTAAGACCACAAAATTTAAATGATACACCAATACAAAGTCAATCTATCTCTTTAAATAAACATTTAAAATCCAATAAAATTTCTTTTTTAAGTATTCACACCCACCTGATTATCTTTAAACCCCATATCGTATAGGGTCCTCTCGTCATAGTCAATAGTCAGTTCCTGTCCTTGAGTGATCATTCGCAAGGGACCATCTGTCGACAGCGCGGTGACTCCTTCTTCTCCTTGTATCTATTGACAGACAAGAATAAAAATAGCAAGATATAAAAGTGTTTCTGCTAAAAATGCACATAGAAGTTATTTGGGTAATCCCATTTCTCCCATTATGCCAGACTGCCATTATACCTCGCATATGAAGCTATAAGGCAGCGCAATAGAAGGTAAGAGACCCCCTCCTCTTTTTTTTACATGAGGCGACCTTTACTGCCCAAACTCTAAGCGAAACTCTAGCGCTGACCTTTATTGCGCAGTAGTAAAAATTAAGATGTCTTGGGAGGAGTGCGCGGTCAGCGTGCGTTGCGCCGATTGGCTCTCCAGTCGTACTCATGCGCTGCTATCCCCTCCGCGTTTAGTTCAGCTCTAGAGTTACGTGTCGCGAGCAACGATATTAAATCATAGAGGTATAAGAATAGAGTAGGGGAGATATAGACTCTACTACAAGTGGAAGTGTCCCTCTAATATAAATAAGAAAGAGAAAGAAGATGAGAGACCGTTAGCTTTCTCTCTCTAATCGTGCATGCGCATTGGCAACCGTAAGCATCTTACTATTTCGATGTGATGCCATTGGATGCCATGCGTCACAAGAGAGAGAGATAGCTAGCGGTCTCTCATCTTCTTTCTCTTCCTACTAGACGGACACTTTTAAAGCGGCCTTCCCCACTCTAATGTTATACCTCTATGTATTAAATACCCTAGATACATCACGTCCGCTCAAAATGTGTCCCAATCAAGAAGTGCTTCAACTACACGCACGCAAAGCACTTCTTGGTTCACATTTACGCGCAGACCGTTGAAAAGTCAACATGCCGCTGACCTCCGTGAAATAATGCGAAAAATATACTTGTAGTATATAAAGTATCGTTTTTCGACAGGTATCTAATCTATGTTTGTTAATTTAGCAAATTTTGTTCTAATACTTACTACATAAATAAACTGATTTAATAGAAAATATTAGTGATATTCAAATGCATGGTCGGTTTTATATCCGTCTCTTTTCCTCGCGGTCCGTACCTGCTATATTGCTAACAGCGCATTCAGAATTACGCGTAGAGTCAAAGAAATAAGGTCTATATCCTTCCGCATACAGCAATAAGTAGTAAAATTTAACAAGCTTGCATTTCGAACTGTCATAACTCTTTGACGCATGCGTTTTAATGAAGACCCTATACAGTATGCATTAAAGGTGACTTTCAATGTTACTAGGGTAGTTAATATCGTTGGCCGCGACCTGTACCCTTAGTACGAGTTTGAGCTCACGAAAACTATCATAGCTTTCGTAATTGTAAATTATGTTTCTATGTCCATTTTGGTGAAATGCAACCAAATATACTTAAAATTTAGGAAGACGCAAATGATTTAATGATAGAATTCAAACACTATTTGTTTGTATTGAAACGAAAACTATAAAATCAGTACCCTTAGTACGAGTGCGAGCTCACGAAAACTATCATAGTTTTCGTAATTGTAAAACTCGTACTTAGGGTACTGTACCCTTTGCACGAACCAATATCGAATACGTAACGTTTGCGAGTCCTAAATGTCATTGTCAAATGTGTACTGATTTTTAGTTCTCGTTACGTACTTTGTGCCGCTATTGTTCAAGTTTCCATACAAAATTTGACATTGACATTTCGGACTCGCAAACGATACGAATTCGATATTGGTTCGTGCTAGGGGTACTGTACGCACCTGTTTCTCCCACCACACGTGCACGTGGGCCCGCAGATGCGCCACCAGGTCGTGGTGGTGCAGTGAGAGAGAGGCCCGGGGTCCAGCACCAGCCGGTTGCAGCGTCAGTCGAACGGTTCCCGGCCCACCGCACCCTTCCCAAGCACCGCTCTCCGCTAACGCCCATCGTCGTAAATGGTACGCGTATCTAAATAATAAAATGTCTTGTACAAGGGCTTTTAACAGGATGGCAAGCAAACTTATAATTGTGTGTGTCACTATCTATTAAACATTATAAATAATAAATAAATAAATATTTCCAAATCGCACCAATTAGCCTAGCCCCAAAGTAAGCACTGTAAGGCTTGTGTTATGGGATAATAGGGTAACAGATACAATACATATACAGTACTGGTCGAGCGCCATAAGGATGGTTTTAGTTTAATTGGTAAAATTATGTTTCTATCTTATTATGTGTGGCGATATACCAGGAAAACTTCTCGCACCCACTTATCTGTGGGATTGATGTCGCCGTGGCTGAGGGCACTGGCTGGTTACCGGAACAGACATTGTTTATGGTGCCTTTCGTGTAAAAAGTGATTTACTCTCTTCCTTCAAAAACTGTCAAGATGTGTGTCAAAACTTTTCTTTAATTATTATTAAAATATTCGGGATAATCGAAAAAACTATCGTCTTGGAGGTAAGTGGGCGCTTTCTTTTTCCTGGTATTGAACCACATAATTTATCATTTCGGTGTAATCCACCCCAGGTGTGGGCTATTTACACGCGCCACACCAAGTACAAATATAAGTATATTTATATAGAAATATATATTAAACATCCATGACTGGAGTACAAACTCTCGTATTCGTCACACAAACATCTGCCACGACCGGGTTTCAAACCCGGGACCTCTCGAGTCGGCGACACCATGAAACCCGGCATACAAACCACTCGGCCACGGAGGTCCTCACTATAGAAAAGAGAAAGCGTGGCTGTTCTAGCGACTTCACTTACTGTACTAAGAGGGTTTTGATTGTAAAATTAAAGACTCTTCCGAAGCGTTAAACAGGAGTTTGACTCCGATAGTAATCATCAGTTTTATTGCAATACAATTATGCATCACAAACTATATAACTATTTTATTATTTGAATATTTATTATTTTAGAAGATCATATAAACATAATAAAAAGAAATTTACCTTCTTTTAAAAGTATCCAGGTGAGTCTTTAACAGTAAAAGTGCCCTCTGTACGCACTGTAGCGCAGCGTCCTCTGTCATATGCTCATAAATATTGAGCTTATCGACAGTTTTCTCAGGCTCTTTCTTTTCTTCCGACGTCCCCTCTGACGTGGCAGCGGATGCTTCGTCATCTTGATTCTTAGATATCAGTCTTTCAGCGGCGGATGACAAATGGAACATGCATTTCGACACGAAATCGTCCTCCTGTTGCAATTGCTGGCCCATGTAATAACTATTCAGGTACTGGATTGCGCCCATTGATACATCTATAAATAAAATGAAATGGCTTTGACTTGATTGACATGAGCTATTGCTAACATTCAAAGTATTTTTTAAACTCCTTAAAATTCTTAACCTTCCAAACCTTGTGACCTAGTTATTAAGTTTAATCAAAAAACCCAAACGAATAAAACGAAAAGTACTTATACAACGGAAGTGATTGAAAAAAATGTAGCCAATGACAATATAAGAGTAAGTATCAAAACTCTTTTATAAAATGAAGTTACAGAGCCAAAATATAATAAATTTAGCTTTGTTCTTCGGCAGCTCAATGGGGTTGAGGATCTAGATGGCGCAAGCGGATAGCGCGTTCGGCCTGTGATTGTGGAAGTTAAGCTAAACTTCAACGATGGTCGGTCATTGGATGGTTGACCAAAATATATTATCTCGAGCTCCTCCGTGCTTCGGAAGGCACAATAAGCCCTTGGTCCCGACTGCATCTGCAGTCGTTATCACCAACCAATCCGCACTGAGCTTGCGTGGTGGCTCATGGCCCAATCTCCCTATTCCATCTATGGGGAAAGCCTGTGCCCCAGCAGTGGGGACATTAATAGGCCGGTGATGATTCGGCAACGGACAAATATTTTCCTAAAGATACAGTTTAATGAAAAATAAATACAGGCAGTCCTCGACTCGTTTGAAGTTACGCCGAACAATGTTTTGATCGCACTATTCCTCAAGCATACGTCAATTGTTTCAATTTCCGGCATAGAGATGTCTCGACTTAGGTCGTTTCGATTTATGTCGCGTATTTCGAGAACCTAACATGGCGTAAATACGAGGACTGCCTGTAAGTAATTCCACAGACCTGTGCTATTAGCCCTCAGAGCTATCTTCCACAGATGGTCCATTGCGAGCGTGTGTGGGTGCGCAGAGTCACGGGAATCACCCGTACCTAACGCCATGCGAGCCAAGTTGCACAATTGCTGGTACAAACTTAATCCCATTATGCTTATGGTCTGTAGACAAGGGAAATAACTAGATAAATAAGTATTTTCAACACTCACACCAATTAGCCTAGCCCCAAAGTAAGCACTGTAAGGCTTGTGTTAGGGGGTACTAGGTTAACGGATAGAATACATACCAAGTCAGGTCATAAATTCTGTCACATGTTTAATATTAAATAATTGAAACAAGTTTATTCATTATGTAACCATTTATAAACCAAAATGAACCTAACAAAACATAGATTCTTATGACAATAAAGTTTATTTAAAATAACCTCCGTGATTTTGAATACAGGCCTTCAATCTGCGCGGTCAGTCGTCTATCGCAGCACAAACGAGGTCCATGTCAATATCGGCGGCTGCCTTAATCAAGGATGACTTGAGTGACTCCAAATTGGGATGAGGCTTTGAGCACGCCTTTTCCTCCAAGTTTTGCTATATCTTGTAATCTAACAGACTCATATCTGGACTGGAGGAGGGCCAGTCTTCGTGCCGGATGAAGTCGATTTCACGCGCCGCCAGCCAGTCTTGTGCGCTCTTCGCTCTATGAGCTGGCGCCGAATCTTGTTGGAATACCCAGTGCCTGTTTCTGAACATGGTATGAGAAACAGGTTCCACAAGGTTCGTCAGGACTGTATTTTGATACACAACTGCATTCGATTTTACACCTTTCTCACAAAAATGTACCTCTGTTAAGCCCCAATAAGAAACTCCCAACCACACCATGAGCGAGGATGGAAAATGACCTCGTTGGACAAAGGAATACGGTTGCTCGCTTCTTCACTACTGTGTGCGTACACCTTATCATTTTGTTTGTTGTAGCTCTCTTCTACGGTAAATTTTTTTCATCCGAAAAAAGAATTTCCCGATATTTTTTTCCCGCGTACCGCTTCAGCACAGCGCGGCATCTCTTCAGTCTCAGGTTCCATTAGACGAACATTCAAACGTTGGCCTGTTTTTCTTCGATATGCCCGAAGCCCTAAGTCACACACCCTTTTAACACCCTTTTCACCGTGGATCTGCTTAACCCCATCTGAAGGGCCAACAGTTTCTGATTACGTTTGGGATTTCTTTGAATTCGCGCCTTCACAGCTTTTATCACTGCTGGAGTCCTAACTTCTTGACCTGTCATCTACACTAGAGTCTTCATTGTATCGTTTGATGGTACGATAAACGAATCTTTAGGTTATATTCAAATTTTTCAGTATGTCAAAAATTTAAATTGGCGCGTAACCGCAACGATGCAACGCAATAACTGCAACACGGTCTTCTTTAAGCGTCCACTCCATATTTAAAAATGAGTGAACTTCTAAAAAGTATACATTTTTATTTTCATGAACAATTCGAAATTCGAATTCAATAAACTTTTTTGTGGCCAGCATTCTAAAAGAAAAGTTTTTACTGTACTTATGACCTGACTGTGTATATTGTACATATATAAGTATGTAGTGTAAGTGTAAGTATATTTATATAGAAATACTATATAGAAATGACTGGAGCACGCCCATACACATAAAAATAAAAGATATCGCCGCGCCTTTTTACAGATAAGCGATCGGAAACATAATAAAATTTGATTTCTTTATCATTTTATCCAAAAGGTTAGGTATAGGTATGGCTTTGCTGTTGATGATGATTTTTTGATAATAGAAAAATAAGAAATTAGTTAATAGTCTTGTTATCTTCTAAGTTGTAATTTAAATTAATTTTTAAACTAATTTTAGTGGAAATAAAAATAGCAAATGTGGCATAAAAAATAAAATTTAAAGCTATATAAACCACAGGCACATGAAGCACAGGTTCTATTGGAAACCTACATCAGGCGCCAGTCTCTCACTATGCAGGTCATGTCAAAATTCCTATGTAGAAGATCATCTAGTCAAGAATACCTTTTGTAAAGAGAAAATAAACTGAATTATTACAATTGAGGAGCTGGCGAACAAAACGGTATAATTACATAAAATTAAATTTTACAGAAGCTGTATAAAACTTAATGACATACCTCCAGTGAGATTTTGGAATGGCTTTTAATTTATAAATTTAGGAATTTTAACACTGTTTTAGGCTGTTTTGATTGAAAATTATTTGGGATTCAAATTCAGCGGGCCCGAAACCTCCAGACTGTAAAAAAAAGTAGTTTGACCAGATGCGTAATTATATCGTTTTGTTCGCCAGCTCCTCAATTCTCACCTCAGGGTCCAGCGTGGGCATCTTCTCTACGTACAAGAAACGTAACGCGTCAAGCCCTAGGGCATGTTGTTCCGGCGACTTGGTGTGAGAGAGTAGCCACGAGTACAGACAGTCGGCGCATTCAGCACCCCCTTGAACCACCAGACACTGCCATAATTCTTCCACTTGATCGACTGTTAACCTGTATAGTGCGATTCAAATAAGTATAAATAAATAAATAAATAAATATTTCCAACACTCACACCAATTAGCCTAGCCCCAAAGTAAGCACTGTAAGGCTTGTGTTATGGGATACTAGGGTAACGGATAAAATACATATACAGTACATATATAAGTATATTTATATAGAAATACATATTAAACATCCATGACTGGAGTACAAATGCTCGTATTCATCACACAAAACATCTGCCCCCATCGGGATTCGAACCCGGGACCTCTCGAGTCGGCGACACCATGAAACCCGGCGTACAAACCACTCGACCACGGAGGTCGTCAAAGTATAGGAAAGCCAATAACCTCCATCTGTCAAACGTCGCTTGAAAAGTACGGTTTGCAAAAAAATCACAACCCTTTTTTAGCACTTAGCTTATTATTGAATAAAAACCAAACATTTGTAAACAATCAAAAACAAATAGTGATAATTAATATTGATTGTTTTGTTTTCATTTATTGAGCTTTGGCAATGAATGGTTGATAACCTAAATCGTCAACCAAATGTCACTTTGTTGTTACTTCTATTCCTGTACCACTATGGTTAATACTTACCGGAAGTGTTGCGGCGATCCGACAGGCGAGAATATAGCAGTAAGGAAGTGCAACCGCACTGTTAGTTCGGTGACATGCGCATAATGCGCATGGTCGCCGCTAGCGCGCGGCTGTTGCATGTAATGCCGCAAATCTTCTACGAACAAACGCATCATACCGCGTTCCCTTTCCGCCCACATTACCACCTAAAAAAATCAAACTTTATTTAACAAATAAAATGTGAACGAGTATAATATACTTCTGGACACATCTATCGGCCCACTTAGTGTTATAAGTTTCAAGGGTCGGTAGAAAAATTTATATATGTTTATGGTTGAGCAATAATTCTAAAAACACACAACAACAAAAAAGATGGTTAGTTAATAAATCAGCCTCAAAATTGCGTATGTAATGTTTTTGCTCAACATAACATTTATTTTCATTTTAGCTAGGGACCATCAAAACTCAAAATGGTAGGTGGACCGATAGATGTATCTGGAAGTTAAGTTCATAGTTCTTAAGGTATAAAAAGGGAGAATATAAATAATGCGCATGGTCGTCGCTAGCACGCGGCTGTTGCTTGTATTGTCGCAGATCTTTTTGCCCATATTACCACCTAAAATTATTTAACAAATAACTACAATACACCGAAACGATCGCGTGTAATAAAAATATAAAAGAATTATATATTATTTTTAAGCATTTAACTGCTAGATTTTTTAATGATTTCTATAGTAATTTCGGTACATGAAAACAAACCTATAAGTAAAGATTTTGTTTACCTGATGCATATCCATGCCTCGTAATTGTTGAAATGATGAGAACAATTTAGGTAGAAGTCGAAGAGATACTGCCACAGACCTTTTGAACAAGAACGACAAAGTCAATAATAGACTCCTTCACCCACAAAACAAGTAGTTACACCAAAATTAGAAGTTAACTAATAACTTACCTATGATTTGCCAAGTTGTCTAAGCATCCTTCGATGAATTTGATTCTTATGAATTTGTCTGTGCTAAAACATAATAACGCGCAGAGAGCCTTCTCTGCTTCTAAAGCAAGTCCTTCGCCTAATTGCTCCTGTGAAAAAAATATATTTATAGAGATAAACCGAGAAGACCGAAGCAAATACACAAAAGTAGATTTAAGGGTAAGTGTATACACACTCGCCGAGACAACCCTAGGCAGGCTGCGACCAAGTGTGTGCTGCATGGTGCTCTCGTCTCGTTTAGGTCTCTCGAGCCTCTCTTCTCATTGGTCTCGGTCGCTTGTTGGTTTTTCCGCCAGAGTGAAAGGATCTCGTTGGTTCTCGCGAGGAAAACGAGAGCAAGCATGTATGTATCTACCAGTGTTGCCAGTTTTTTTGCCAAGTCGGGATTTAGGAACTTTTAGAGTTTAAAAAGCGGGATTCTTTCATCGAAAGCGGGACATAGTAAAAAAAATGTATATAATAAAAAGCTTTTGAATATTTATCTTTTTACTTGAGTTCAAATTACGTTTACGTGACAATAGATAAGTACCTAGTAAAAAATATCCATAGAAAATGTATTTTAATAAAAATATGATATTTTAAATCAGATTAACCCCTTTGGTTAAATAGTTGAGTCTTTGTTTGAGAGTTCTTCATTACGCGCCGAGCAGGAGGCCACTCCACCCTTCTGTGCCACCAGCCCGCGCCTTCTCAGTACGTTGCACGCATGGTCGAGTTATTCCCGAAAAGCGGGATTGAGCCTGTCCTGCGCGGGACATTTAATTTTGATTTAAAAAACGGAACGTCTAGCAACGCTGGTACCTACACACTAGTCAAGTAACTCCTCGAGCCTCCCGGCAAGCCGCCATTAAAGATCCATTCATACAAACGCGTGGGATACTAGGGTAACGGATAGAATACATAAACTGTACATATATAAGTATATTTATAAAAATACATATTGTAACATCCATGAATGGAGTACAAATGCTCGTATTTATCACACAAAACATCTGCCCCCACCGGGATTCGAACCCGATATCTCTCGAGTCGGCGACACCATGAAACCCGGCGTACAAACCACGGCCACGGAGTTCGTCGTGGTGTATGAATGAATCGAGCATAAGAATACGCCGCACTCACGATATTTCCGTCTTGGAGTAAGTCCCATAGGAGAGTGTTTCCGGGCCGGCACACGGCGTCCACGTCGCAGGGGAGCGCTGCCGCCGCGGCCCCGCCCCCCGCCCTGGCCGGCTGGTACTCCGTTAGACATTGCGCCTGATTACAATAATGTTTATTTATTTATTTACAGGTCTGCCAATATTTTTACACCTAAACTTATACAATCAATAACTTATATTATATGTAATATTTCTCAGCATAGTGCAAAAACAATTACTGGCAAACTCAACATAGAAATACCTATATATAAAAGTATTACACTGGCACTATAACTAAAGATTATTTAAAAGTTGCTATATCTACAACACATTTGCTCAAAAATGCATTTACGGAGGTTGTCTCTATTGTTCTTTTCTTTTAATTATGAAAGTAAAATAACAATTCGAATGCAACATTGGTAGAAGCTGTGCTACATTGAATACAAGAGCTCCTCTTTGTATTTTCTGCGTGGCGATTAAAAACCTGCGTGGCAAATCTGGCCAGCTCCTCCTTTCAAGTGGAGTCGACGTTGTCCAGGGAGCCTACCGCCTATCGGGATTGCTATGACTATAGCATATGATTTTATTTTGTTATTTCTGACCGCCGAAAGATTTTCTTTTGCATTGGTAATAAAAATGAGCGTGAGGTATTTGAAAACCTTCGGCGGACAGAAATAAAATAATGAAATCATAAGCTATATCTATAGCCATAATAATCCCGATAGGCGGTAGGTCACCAGGTCGGCGAGGTGGGGGTGACCGCACGCTCATTGTTATTACCAATGCAAAAGAAAATCTTTCCTTTTGCCTCGTGCCATCTGTACAGTACTGACCTGCGCGGCAAGTCTGGCCAAAGGCCCAAGCACGAGTTTTTGACAGCTCCATAAAGTATCGTGATCGTAAATTTTTGTATGGAGAAAGCTAGGCTATAGGCCCTTACCTCTTCTACTTACGTCCGGGGCACTGCTTAGTTTTCATAAAAACTTTGATGTGATATGATTTATGGAGCTGTCAAAATTCGTCCTTAGGCTTCAGCTTCTCCTCGCAGGCGCAGTTGTCGTCGTCCAGGTCAACGAGTGCTCTGCCGGGGGTAACGTCGAGAGTCACCAGGATCCCACGAAACCCGTTCCGGCAGCCGCTGAGCCAGTTTGGCTGAGCGGGTGGACGGGATTTGGGGGGAGGGGTCCCACAAAACCCCGCCTCTCATAGAAAGGTCAACGAGTGCTGCCCTCTGCCTCGCGCCACCAGTCCAGTACTGACCTGCGCGGCGAGTCTGGCCAGCTCCTCCTCGCAGGCGGAATCGTCGTCGTCCAGGTCAGCGTCTATTGTCCTCTGCCTCGCGCCTCCAGAATAGTACTGACCTGCGCAGCGAGTCTGGCTAGCTCCTCCTCGCATGCGGAATAGTCGTCGTCCAGGTAAGCGTGTGCCGCTCTCTGTCCCGCCCCACCAGTACAGTACTGACCTGCGCAGCGAGTCTGGCCAACTCCTCCTCGCAAGCGGAGTCGTCGTCGTCCAAGTCGGCGAGGTGGGGATGAGAGTGTGGGGACATTGCAGACGAAGCGCTGCCTTCTTCCTCTTCACCTTCAGGCCCGCGACGCTTGTAGCTCTCCATCAAACGTAGTTCCATCAGTCTTCTGACAAACGCAGATTTTTTATGTGGGTAAACAACGTTGACGTATAAAAACAAGTAGTCTAGCAATCACCTAGCAAAAACCCATCGGGCTATAGGCGCTATGTTATAGAGATACATAAGCTTATATCATTTATTCAAATTAACACATTATATCAAGGCAGTAAGGTTCAGTGTCAATTGTGTAAGAGAGATGATTGTAAAGAGAGAGTTTGATATCCAACAATTTTATTTAGTAATTCGCTTTATTTATCATTCAATAATATACACAATTTAGATATATTTTAGGAGCCTTGGAGCATTTCAGAGCTCCGAAATTATTAACACGTAGTTTCAATTCCGATATGTTTTTGTATTCTACTTTTCATTGTTACATCCAATCCACTGCAAAGAACTAGTAAAAGTACTAAAATCGTAAACTCGTCAACATCGTTAGCGTACCTAGCGTCAACGTTATCGCATAACAGCTGGCAGTGCGCCGTGTCGCTACCAGAAGATTCTTCTTCCACTTCCGATACAGATTCTGCGAGATCTGTAGCCTTCAGTTGATTGGCTGCTGGAATTAAAACAAAAACGTTATATTCCGAAACATTTGAGTAAACTTAGGGAAAAAAAACATCACAGTACAAAGCTTGGGAGCGTCTAAAAAAACCAACTTGTGTGTTCACGATGTAATAATACTGCGTAAAGAAAATTACTTAATAGCAAACTGTAGATAATTATCAAGAACCCCTACTCCCAAAAATTGAAGCACTTTATCTTTGATATTTTTTGGTGATTGCGAAAAGAAAAAATAAGTGCCCATTATTTTTTGATAATTTTACTGACGGACTAAATAGAATATCGTTTACTTTGAGTCGGGTCTCCAGCGCGTGTTTTGCCCTACACAATCAACGTTCAACAAAATCGTCTAAATAAAACTTTGTTTCACTACACATATTTGTTTACATCAACAATGTTTTTGCTTTCCTAGCCCGATGAAAAACACGTACACAAATCCCCCCCGCATTGGTCGAGGGGCAGGGTATTGTTTCATGGCCCATTTTTTGACAACTCGGTAGCGGAGGCTCCGTTCCAAACCTACGCTCCAAGTGATTTTTTTTAATTTTGACGTTTAAATTTTGACATAAAATGTACGAAGCTTTTGTGAAAACGAAATTGTTGCACCTGTATCATAGTTTTTGACGTAACCCTGTATATTTTGTGTACGAAAGCAACGTGAGCAGTAGACGGCGTGTTTTTGTTGAATGTTTTCCAAAATACTTTTACTGGAGACCGGGCTTTACCCTATTGAATTTGGTATATGTGTGACCATCAGCGATTTAAATCAGATCAATATTAACGTTACACGATTTAAATTAAGACTACCTTTACTTTCACCAACGTTAAGAGATTTCAAATAAATCGATCATCTACGTTAAAAGGTTTCAAATAAAAATTTAGAGCAAATAATATGAAGTAAACAGAATAATCATGTGTGAACTGGTATGTATGGAGACCATGCACTCACGGAAATGCCTCGTCTTGCCGGGCTTGTGACGCTTCTTGTATAGTTTCTTCTTCCGCGGACGCAGTAATTCTTCCGCACCGCTACTCGCACTACCGCTGCTACCAGCACGTTTGTTGCGTCTGCACATACAATACATTTATTTCATGAACAATACGAAAAATTAATTAGTCATTTTACAATTCGAAAAATTCAATACATGAAACGAAGATATCTCGCTATTTCTTTGTGAACCTGTTATCTACTGTACAAGCTTAAAACAAAATTAAGTTTTTATTGCACAGTAAAAAAACTTCAAATGGGGGAAAAGTTTACAATAGTCGCCGACAGAGGCGCTGATATCATCTGGCCCCAAACAATCCACGACATAATTTTACAATTTTTTGGCGTCCTCCCTTTCCCTCGGTTCCCTACCTCACAGTTAAATTGCTTTATTTTTACTGTTAATGAAAACACAATATTACTGAATTTCTCAAGAATTTGATTTTTCTTGGAATTTTGTAATATTGTGTCACAAGGAAATCAAAGAATACCGACAGACTCGACTCAAAGTGACAGATTGCTTGTCATGGGTCAGGCCAATGCATGCTACCTGTAATGAGTTATCTTACCCATTAGTGAAAAACCACTTACTTTTGACAAGATTTGAGAGTGGGACACTCCTTTTTCGTCAACTCCTCTCCCTCGCGAAGCCATTCTTGTTGTTCCGCTGCAAGAAAAAACGTACTGAAATATTATGTGTTCTTCTCACTGTAGCAACTTTAAGATACAAAAACCTCTATATACCGGTAAGTTCACGTTGATGTTTACTTTGTTTCCGCGGCGTCGGCCCCGCCTCCTCGCCAGATGTACTCAGCTCCTCGCACTACGGAAAATATAGAAATTTTATTATAATTATAATCCTTTTTTCATACACAGAACACAGACAGGTTAGAAGGGTGTTCATAGACCGTGTGTACGTAAACCGATGTTACCGGCTCGCCCCCACTACACTTCCACCTAATAGATAACCAATCAAACGACGCGACATCAAACCATCGAACCAATCAGCGCTCACACCCGAGAGCAACGACGCAATCAGAACCAAGTTTTGGTCAAGTTATGGGCTTTTATGGGCTCACACATAACTTTGGTGCGCCAGCCCCGCCCACAATGCCACGCCTTTATTATGCTGATGCTTGTTTTATTGATATAAATCAACAATTTCTTGATAAATTTAATCGTCTTTTCAATAACACTATTCGTTTTGTTATTGGTTTACGTAAATATGACCATATATCCGATTTCCGCAAGACTTAAGTGGCTGCCTATTCGAGACCGTGGGTATTTAAGAACGCATTACATAAATAAATTGAACAATGAAAAATAAATAAGATATAAGACATAGCAGGATGCAGGCATATATCAGCTGTTTTTGCTGCCTGCCTGATGACAGTAATAAGTCTCACTAACCGGATCTTCATCCGAGTTGGTCTGGTCATTGGTAACGCTGGCCCCAGAGGAGGAATCGTGCTAAGAGAGGCAAGGAAAATGGACAATGCCGTGCACGTATTGCTCAGTGTATGGTAGCAATATGTGTCACTAAACGGATCGTCGTCCGATGGTCCATTGGTTTAGTCCATGCTAACGCTGGCTTCGGAGAGGATGTGGTGCGGACTGCTGACGGGCGCGGGCTATAGCAGCTCCACGTCAGAGGAGCCGCTGTATAGGTTCTAATGGCCCTGGCACACACTCGACGAGTGGTATGAGAAGTAGCGATGATTGGAGGCAGAAAAGTAGTGGGGCAACATTACTCGACATACTACTCCCCATTTTATCGGTTTTTTGGGCGCAAGTCAAAGAACCGGCAATGTGAGCACGATTGGCTGGGCACATAATCGAGCAGACGCAGTCTGCATCGAGCGCTCACTCACGAAGTACGCGACGTTTCGAAAACCATGTCATCAATGAAAAATAACTGGTACAACGCAACTTTTCTTGACATACACATTGATGACATGGTTACCTTAAAATGTTTGTAATGCTTCTAAGTTCGCCATAAAAAAATAACGTTGTCAGTACCACTGATTTTTTTAAATCCCCTTAATACTTCTTCCTACTTCCTCTAAGAATACTTACTAACATGGTTATATTGTGATTAATATATGTCATTCACCGTCCACGTTGACGAGGACAGCGACGATTTTTGAATTAGAATATTTTTTAATTTGTATGACATTAGGCTATACTAATAATGGAAAGCGCACACGTTGCCACAGTTTCACCCTCCATCGTATAGCAAAGACAATAACCAAATGCGATGTTTGGCGCTTAATTGCATGAATAGTGTATGGACAGAGAGGGCAACGTCGCGGTAGCACAAGGAGCAAACCGATGAGCAGCGCGGCTATAAGAGATATGTATATAATTATAGGTCACTAACCGGATCATCATCCGAATTGGTCTGGTCCATGCTGACGCTGGCTTCGGAGGAGGAGTTGTGGTGTGGCTTGCAAGCGGGCGCGGGCCGCAGCGGTTCCGCGGCGGGGGAGCCGGCGCCCGCACCCGCCCCGCCGCTCGCGCCCGCGCCCGCGCCACTACCGCCTGACCCCGCGCCGGTGCCGCGAGACCACATCGCGCGCATTAATGCCGACGCCAGGTACAAGCTCTGATACACAAAGGTATCATCAAGGCCAATTAAGCAGGTGTGTACAGCAGAGAGGTCCGAGCGATAGGAACCTCGGTGGTGGTTGTTCGACTTCACCCCATATAATATTATGAATACGGGATGTATTATCATTGTACATCGTAGAGTTGTACTATACATCCAATTTGAATAAAGATATATTGATTTCTGATCATCACAGCCTATTAATGTCCCCACTGCTGAGGCACAGGCCTTCTCAATGATTGATATTGAGGGAGATTGGTGCTAACGACTGCATGCAGACAGGACCAACGACTTAATGTGCCTTCCGAAACACGGAGGAGCTCAAGACAAGAAGTTTTTGGTCACTCCGCCGACCGACCCACGGACCACTGCGAAAGTTGTTTAACTTCCAGGATCGCAGACCGAATGCGCTAACTACCTGCGCCATCGAGCTCCTCAAACACAAAACAAAGGAGTAGTGCGATTCAAACTTTATGGCCGCTGTGAAGTAAGCAGCGAGAGCAGCTACTCAGCAGTAGGTTTATGTTCAGTGCTACCCCGCACGCGCCTAAAATCATCTGTCATTTTGTTTATTGGGCGGCTACTTGCGCTAACATCACAGCTGCCATCGAGTTTGAATTGCACTCTATGTGACTTCACGCATTACAGAGTATATTTCATTTTAGTGATGTGCCGGATCGTCAAAAATGTAGATCCGCGGATACGGATCTGAATACAGATATTTGGTGTCAAGATCCGCAGATACGGATACGGATCTTAACTTTCTTACACAATCGGTGTCGGTGCGCGCGATCTTGAGTTGAGACATGTTTCGACTTGCATTGCGCGGCGGTTTTTTTTTGTTTTGTTTTAGTTTAATGTGACACTGGGCAGCATAGATAACGCTTGTGTTTGGTATTGGTACATGAGTTTAAAAAAAATTGATTTAAAATGAAAAAAGTGATTTTATAACTTTTTATAATATTGATCTCATTAAAAAGCTAGTTGATTTAGTACCTTGTAGTTATATACTATTGGTATGATAACTATCTACGGCAAAGTTTGCAACATAAAGGAGCCAAATATTTGATTTTAAGAAATAAAAGAATATCTGTATTGAATTTAATAGTTCTTTATTGCTACCTAAACACCTATTTAAGGCAAAGAGTAAGGCACACTAGCGACGCCAAATGCTTTAAATTGTTAGCTACTAAACCAGATCTATTTCAAATAATTGTGTACCGTCAGAATCTCGGCAATTGGCGTCGCTAGTGCGCCATACCCTGCACCTTAAAGAATTTTATCTATAAATTTAAAATTAATAAGGATCAGTTTATCCGTAAGAGATCCCCCAAAAAGTAACGGATACGGACACGGATACGGATCTTTCTTCTGCCTCGGATATCCGCGGATACGAATACGGATATCCGGCACATCACTATTTCATTTCAAACATTATAAGAGCAGAAGTACACTTAAAGACAAATAAGTGCTAGAAATTATTGCCTTATCAAAAACATTGAAAAATTTAATTTTCGTATTTCTTTAAATTTCATTAAAATCTCCAGCAGCTAATTGAGGTAAAGTTTTTGTTTATTCGCTCTGAAAACCGTTGGAAACAAACTATATTGAAATTGTGACAGCAAAATTTATATTATTGGGAGTTAAACAATATAAATAAAGACCTCTTTTTCTTATATCTATGACAGTACTATATTTAACATTAAAGACCTTTTTTTCTTATATCTATGATAAGGGGTAGTCTAATAGAGTTGTAAAAATGTTAATATTGAATGACAGTACTATATTTAACATTAAATTACTATTAATAAAAATGTCTAAGTCTATGTTAATTAATAAACTTCTGTGCTTACCTGTTCAGTGTGTTCCTTGGGTGGCAATGCGCACAACAAGCTGTACAAATGAGTGCAAGGCTTGGGCGCAAGGGCTCTAATGAACCCTGGGAGAAGATCATACACCTGCCTTCCGCAGTGCTTCAATTGTGCTGCAGCCCACACAAGTTCTACATGCTCCGCTGTCACGCGACCCTCAACCGCAAGGAATTTCAGAATCATATGCGATTGCTTTATAACCTAAATTAGAATTGAAAACAATATTAAACACCAATAGTATATATATGAAGTCACCACCATTTGACAAAGGGGTAAGAGATGATTTTAAAAGAGAATAATGAAAAATAAAAAAAAATGCTTGATCATATTTATATTACTTATTACTTTTCTGTGACCTGTTTTGCAAAACAGAAACAAAATATTAAAACAATTAATAAATATTTTCCCTACATTAACTTTAGCTAACTGAAACATCCTTTGTCAACATAGGTATTCATTCTAATTTAAATTCTAAACAATATTTTATAGCAAATGATTTACATTAATTACCTCAACATGTAGATTAGGGCCAAATAAATGCTCAATGATGTTGTTATTTGTCAGCCATGTTGCCAATTGCTGCCCTGTCAATTCAGTGTCAGCTGCTGGTTCTCCCGCACAAAGTTCATTATGAGCAGCAATGTGAGCATTTATCTGAGCCACTCCAGCCAAACGCATTGTGAGAGTACTACTGTTGAAATACTTGAACGCCAATGCCAGTCCATCCACATCGAAAGCGAGCGGGGCATCCAGAGGTTCTTTAGCAGCACCCCACATAAAATCTAATGTAAATAAATAATTATATTATTGTAAAATCCAACAGAAAAACAAACATAAATTAATTTAATAAATAAATAAAATAAATCGTTTATTTCTCATCAGAACATTTTGGCATTGACAACATTTTTTTTAAATAACTAATTACATTTTTATAGGCATATGGATGGATAGACATTTAACAATCGTAGTATGAGTACCATTGCATACCTGTTGTAATGTTTTAATATCTATCAAATAAATCCTAACTTAATATTCAAACTTAATCTGGATTACTCACCTGCCATTGATTTTACTGCTGGAACACGCAAGTCTTTGTCTTCCAAGTTACACATGTACTTTAGGATTTTACTTCTCAATGGCATAAACAATTGTGCTACAGCCCTGAAGTTCAACCAAAGCTTTAGGTTTCCCACTGCTGCAACTATTGCATGTGCCATAGAAAGTGGAAGTGTGCATGGTGAAGCATGTTCAAACACAGAAGTCATAGCACACACACCTCCCAACTTACAGAACAGGCTCACATTCCTTAACAAGTAAGCTGGTATCTCTGTATCATGTAGGTCACAATATGAACTAAGATTTGATATTTCTTGAGCAGAAAGATCATCCAAGCGACTTAAAGCAGAATGCTTGCAAGCCAAGTATAATGGGAAATTGAGCAGAAATATTTTCGATACAATGTGCATGAGCTTCTCTTTTTGCTGCATAGGCCATACTTCCGAATCATCATTGGAAGTTGATGGTTTCTCATCATTAGTGTCTGAAGTAGATTCATTTTTTTCCGATGGTGATGATATTTTTTCAGGTTCAGGTGTGCTTTGCCCTTGCTCATTATTTTTCTCTTCATTGCTTGATATTGAAGTGTCATCGGGAAGCTTTGATTTATCTTGTTTCTCTTCAGGTGGAAGTACTTTAGCTGCTTGTATCAAATCATCTTTGAGTTGCTTCAGCTGGCATACTGATAAACATAGTATACTCTGCACCATTAAATAGAATCTCTCAAAGTTCTTCACATCTCTATAGCAGCACATGCATTGTCTAAAATAAAGTATATATTAAAAAAGCTTACAAATGTTCGTAGTAAATAATAAGTTTGAGAAATTTATGATATGATTCAGCACAATAATAAGAGACCACTTGCTGACAGAGAACAAAACAAAGAATTACTGCTAAACCACACATGGATCTTGAAGTTCACTATAAGAATATCCCAATAACTAAAAAACTGTTTCAGTTTACCTTTGGGGCCAAGAGAGAATGTAATTTAGAACAATTTCTAGTTCAGATTGGCTTATTGTTGGATATTGAGATACATCGTCTGTCAATCTGGCTTCACCTAATAACAATACACAAACGGACGGTCAACATCTTAAAATTAATATAAATAAGCTTACGACTAAAGTTTAAATTGTTTTAATAGCTAAATGCAAGTGCCTCGATGAATTTGGAAACAATGTAACTTACAATTCACTAAAAGCTGAGAAAAATCTGAACAAACATCACACATTCTTATTGTTTTATGTGAAGTATACGCGAAATATTATAGCAATATTATCGCAATTACTATTTCAAAAGGGTTATTGATCATTATTGATATTTTCGTATCTGAAAACGAACACTGCCTGAAAACGTCAGTAACAGCACAGAATCCGTTCCACCATTGTTGACGATTGTTGTCAAAACTGCGTTTAGTTTATAGACATTGCATATACGTCTATGGTTTCATTTTTAAAAATTGTATGGAGTGAATGAAAAGTTATATTTTTATCGTAATTGATGATACCAACACAACATTATTCTATTAAGACTGTGAATAATTATCTGTACTTTATTCTATTGGTTACTGTTATTTAAAAAATACAAACGTTGAAGACAAAATACAAAATCTTTGTAAGCAAAACGAAACGTTTTTGTTCTACCTATATCAAACAGGATTACAACACAGACTACCGACGAAAACGAAAATACATGTCTAGTGAAAGGCACATATCAGAGGTTATTTGTCACTGTCTAATAAAGTGACCCACGGAGACCGTATTATTTAAAACAGAGTGTATTTATTCAATACGTGCCCGAGAAAATAAAACTAGTCTTCACTAAAGTGAAGCGAGGGCACGCACTAGTCATGCATTGCACAAAATAATGCTTTTAACAAGAGGCTTTCCTCTGTCTGCTAAAGGTAGTGGTAATGGATAATGTATGTATATGTATATTGCATTTCCACAGTTTATTTATTAGCCTAACGGCTAGTGGTTCACCAAATTAAATCACATATTTAATCACTTACGGCCTGTGTTTTAAAAGAAAATTAAGATGCACGGCTTTGCCTTTCTCAAGAAAGGAAAATAATAACAAAAAGGGGTCTGTCCATGTGCTGTGACAGGATTTTTTGACGGGATTTCATCGAGTGCGGTTTGCGCCTTATTTAAATTATTCTTTAATTCATTCATAGTGGATATTGTGTAATAAAATTTGTGTGATTTTGTGTTACAACCGTCTGTACAACTGCAGAGTTAGTGGAATCTTTAAAATATATGCTATACCGGTCAAGTGGACGTGAGAATTTTATTGTAGTGTTGACAACCTTACAGAAGCTTGTCGAGAAAACTGTCTCGATACATTTTGTGCCAAACACTCCAAGAGACATTAGAATGCGTCACACCCACATTCTAATGTAAAAAAGGACGATTGATACAAAAATAAAACGATGACTGCATGGCTTTGCCTTTACCTATCGCATTAGGGAGGAATAGAACAAAAAAAATGTGCTGTGACAGTGACAATGACATCTGTCAGTGCTCAGCTGATACCTGAGAAAGATATGGGTTGATTTGATTCAGTGAAAAAATACTTGAATGGGATGAAAGATGGTCCAGCTATTGTATATCGTTGCCAGTTTACATATATTACTATGCCCATTTACGAAAGTGGAAGAAAGTTTCAACATACAGGCTTTCCATGACATCTTGTATCATAGACATAACCTCTCACTGGTAATAAGAAATCTAATTTTGGAATCGCTTAGCGCTTTATGCTAGTAAACTGATTTGCCTTATTTTCTTCCAGTACGATCACAATGAATTCCCAGGTGTGGTACCTCGTACGTTTATAGGACCTTTAGCAATTACTATATTATCAGCACCTATTGTTGGCGTATTACATATCTTTGGTATTAACAAGTTTTGGATGCAATATGTTGGTCTGTATAATAGCATTTAATTTTAGTAAAATATCTCAAAGTTAACTTGAGATTTTAATGCTACTTTATTTTCAATTTCAGTTCGTCTTACTCTGGCACTTACAGTCATTGTATCATGGAGTCGCTTGAGAAACGCCTTACAAAAACACTTTGGAAATACATTTTCATGGTGGTTCACAATAATTACTGTTACACAATATCATTTTATGTTTTATATGAGCCGGCCATTGCCCAATATCATGGTAATGCCTCTGGGTATGTACTTATTGACTTGAGTAAATGGGATAGATGTTTTCTAGTATTTTCTTCTAAAAATGTAAGGAACCAGTGTTAGTTTCTTGGTTGGTGCCAATATTTTTTTTTATAACCATACATTATTGTAACTTCCTTATTTTTTTCTGTAGTGCTATTAGCATTAGAAGGATGGTTTACCGGCAAACATAAACAATTCGTTATATGTGCTGGTGCTGCTATAGTAATATTTAGATCTGAACTTGCAATGCTATTTGGACTTTTTCTTATTATGGATCTCTATTTCAAGAAAATTGATCTGAAACTGTAAGTAATTTCCTTAGTTTTATTTTTATATGCTATAATTAATTTATTATCCCATGATTAAATGTATACCAAATAAATTTAATAATTTTGTTTTGTTATTCAGGTTATTCAAAATAGTCATACCTACTGGTATTGGGCTGGTGGCTCTAACTGTACTAGTGGACTCAATATTCTGGCAGAGGCTTTTATGGCCAGAGGCTGAGGTGTTTTGGTACAACACTGTATTGAACAAAAGTTCCGATTGGGGTGTATCCTTTTAAATAATAAAATATGATCGATTGATAATATCAAACTCTGAGCCCTAATTAATTTAAAAACAGCACAGATAAATGTGAATGAATGAATTTTATTTGCTTTGCGAGTTCAATGTTGTATGTAATTTTTTATTTGTTATGTATTAGAATTATGAACTGAAATATTATTAATAGCCTATATTGGAATTCTGACTTTTTCTCCAATACATAACATTCTTATACAAGATAAGTACCTAATTGCTACTTAGATCCTTATTTTGTTGCCTTTAAGCAAAGCATTAACATATTTTTAATTTATTCACACCACAACTAGTCTCTTGATCTAAAATTTTCTCAATAAGGCGCTTGCTTTAGCGACGGAATCGCGACGAGTCTGTTTCAATGGTTCTTATTCTACTGTAGTGGTATTTTTCATGAGGCGACGATTGTTCCGCTATTATATTGTGCTGATATATATATATACTAGCGGACCCGACAGACGTTGTCCTGTCTACACGTCTTTGTGAATCTAAACCATTCTCAGATCCCCTTGAACACACACAAAAAATTTCATCAAAATCAGTCCAGTCGTTTAAGAGAAGTTCAGTGACATACACACTCACAGAAGAATTATATATATAAAGATATATATATATATAATTCGCCACGCATTCACCGCATCTCTGCGTCGCATGGAATAGCCTGCGTCACCTAACATTTGACAATGCACTCGCATTACTTGCTCAGTGGCACTCGGCGCGTCAGAGAGCGCCAGAGAGCGCTACGTTCTGTGGCGAGCGTACCACGAGTATAGTGCGATTCAAACTTAATAACAGCTTTGAAGTTAATAATTTGTCTATCTTCAGATTTTGTTTTATCATCATATATTTTTCCGTCTTACAATCTGACTATTACTTCTTCTAAAAAAAAGCATCACTGTTCTGCAGTCTTTGGATTTCCAAAGTAGATTGAAACTACTTATCAATGTAGATTTTGTATTGAATTATTAAAGAAAAAATATAATGCAGACAATACATTATAAAGGTACAGATAATGCCATGGTTTTCTTAACTTTAATCACTTCAGACTTCCCCATTTCTCTGGTATTTTTATTCAGCTTTGCCACGCGGACTAGGCCCCAGCCTCGTCTTGATTCCAGTGGGAGTGTATTTGGACAAACGTCTCGTGCCACTGGTGACACCTGCACTTGTATATATATTCCTGTACTCTTTTCTACCTCATAAAGAACTGAGGTTCATTATTTACGTATTCCCATTGCTCAATATCGCGTCAGCCGCAGCATGCTCGTATGTGTAAGTGGTCTTTTAGTCGCACTTTTGAGACGTCAATTAGTTTATTATATTTTTTATTTAAAGCGTTCAACTGCGAGATTTATAAATTTAAAGAAATTTTTTCTAGAAAAAACTCGGATTGCGGTATGTACATCTGCGAATCCTGTCTGATTCCTGGGGAGCAGGTGTAATTTTTCTAGTAAAGTTTTCTTTACGCCAATTTGTTATTGTTAAAGTAAGATAGATGAGAAATCAGAAGTTCCAACTTTTAAAGAACTACCTTATAAGAATGTATACATGAGTACCAAAATTAACTACTTTTTGTTACCTTTCAGATATATAAGACGAACCAAAGCACCCATTTATGAACTTCTCTTTTGGGGAATAGTAATTATCATTATAGGTAATGTAGTCATGTCTTTATCACTGATGATGGTTGCTATGACAAATTATCCAGGTGGAGTTGCAATGTCAAAGTAAGTGTTATGAAAAAAATAAATGTTAATTTAAAGAAAATTCAAGAAAAAATGTCTTATAGTAGTCTCCCCTTAATATATTTTCGTTTTCTTTTAGATTCCATAAATTGTTAAAAGATGAACCTTTCGTATATGTGCATATCAGCAACCTTGCAGCCCAAACAGGAGTAACCAGATTCACACAATTAAATGATAATTGGGTCTATAGCAAAAATGAATCACTGCAACCCGAGCAGCTGAAAGAATATACACATTTACTTATAGAAGCGAAAAGTAAATATTCTTCTAATATTAAAGCTTTTGCTCATACACACGTAATATTAGATAGCATTGAAACATTTTCACAAGTGGCTGTTAATTACAAACTAATGCCACCTATTAGGATAAAGACAAAACCAGCTATTTTCATTTTGGAGAGAAAAGATTTTAGAGAACATCCACTGAGGGAAACAATTGATACTAATTTATTAAGCGATGGTGGATCTAATCAAGCTTCAAATGAAGAATCTTTAGTTAATGTGATAAATTACGAGACTTCCAGTGAAGTACTAGATGAGGCACCAGATGAAATTCTTCCGGAAAGTGAAGAAAAAGTTCTTGGTACTCTGACAAATGAGAACACTTTTAATCAACATGATAATTTGATAGTTGAAGACAGTACCTATGTAGATCAAGAAGAGAATGAAAATATTGAATTGGAAGAAAAGCCTATGGTTGACAAAGCTAAAATAGCTTTTGATGAATTCAAGACTTTAAGGCAAGAAAGGAAAAGAAAAGCTATAGCTAAAATAAAATCTGAAACTCGTAAGGAAGTAGTAGCTTCAGCAAAAGAAAAATTAAAAGAGATAATGAAACGCCATAAACATGTTGCTGAGGAACTTTCAAAGACAATAGAAACCACAGTCAACATCGAAGAAGAGATTGATGGTCGAGGTGATATACCTGAAATAAATATGGTAGAAGAAGAAGTAGAAATACCACCGACTCAAGATGTCAATGAAACAATTGTATTGCAAAATTCGTCAGAAACTTTTGAGACCATCGTTTTAAGAGATGATTTACTTAATCATACCAATGATAACATTGACGCTATTGTAGAAGAAGTAATAGTCAGATTGATAGACAGAAAAATATATGATGATAAAACTAAACCTGAAGACATAAAAGCTGAAGATAGACAAATTATTCAAAAAATCGTAGAAGAAGTTCTTTCAGAGAGAATGAATTATTCTCATACGGATTCATAAGTGTGTAATATAAATAAGTATATTTGTTGTACTCTTTTTGTAAATTTATGTCGATGGTTGAAAGACTAATTGAAGTAAGCGACACTTTTATGGCATAAGCAGTTTCGATATTTTTTTAAGGGAAAAAATACAAGAAAGCTTCTTACATTGATTTTTTGTATATAGACAATTCCGCAAATGATATCAGTTAGGTCAGTGAGCCTTTCAATTGTCGGTTTGATCTCTTGACTTAATGAATTTTGTACAAAATTGTGTATTTAATATTTAAAAATAAGTTAAAAAGTGCCAACGCTCATGAAGTACTACCGTGCCTTTGTAATATATTGTTAATATATATCTTACCGTTATTTCACTATGAATGGCAGCAATATCATAATAACGTATCATTAATTTTATACTGTCTAGTCGGAATTTCAGTGTTATTTAATTTTAAATAATCTACGCATTTCATAGTAAATAAACACCATATTGATATCCAAACCAGTTTTATTTTTCCCACACTTCTGTTTAGAAAGGAATGTCGTGTAGTTTTAGTAACATTGCTTGAACAGTTTTGCTAATATTATACTAAAACTAGGAGCCGCCTGCGACTTCATCGTCATTAACTTTAGTTTTTCGAGAATGCCAAAGGAACCTAACATTTTTTCAGGTCAATCCAGGTCATAAACTATATGTAGTTTTGAGTGAAAGAATAACAAACATCCATACAAACTTTCGCATTTATAATGTAAGAGTTCGTAGGTATGCTTAATCACGCAAAAACGTCTTAACATTTTCTAATATACTTAGTTTATTACCTGGGTTGAGACAAAGAATAAACTTTTTCCGGATAAAGTTAGGTTAGGTTAGGTTAGGGTTTGACAAAAAACTAAAAGTTAACGCGGACGAAGTCATGGGCGGCCCCTAGTAAAAATATAAAATTGTAATCGAAATTGCCCTCTAACTATGAAAATAATAGGATAAGCCAATCGGTCGATCTTGGCAGTTGCAATTATAGAAATAAGAGGTCGCGAAGAATAATTTTCATTATGGTTAACTTTTTTTTTGTTAAAATTGAATACAAGACGACCACCGTGGCCAAATGGTTTGTACTAGAGAGGTCCCGGGTTCTAATCCCGGTGGAGGCAGATGTTTGTGTATGAATACGGGCATTTGTACTCCAATCATGGATGTTTAATGCATATTTTTCTATATAAATATACTTATTACAATATGTATAAGTATTATGTACTTATTCTGTCCTATCCGTTACCCTAGTATCCCATAACATAAGCCTACAGAGCTTACTTTGGGGTTAGGCTAATTGATGTGAGTGTTGGAAATATTTATTTATTATTAATAATATATTTTATATAGTTTAAAAAATCGAAAAGAAATGTAATTGATAGATCACGCACAATTTTAGTTAGGCTGCACACCCGAGCCACAGGGTTTACCTCGCCACAATATGCACGCTACATTTTTGCTTTCGTCTCGCTACTAATTGCACCCGCTACAAATGTGTTATTGGTCTCCGTGCTTGCTCGCAGATATATGGGTGCGTTAAATGTGTCGCGTTTCAAATGTGCCGCCACGATTATCGTAATACATGTATGTCTGCCCCTCTAGCATGAGCACCGTGGTATAACATATCGCTCGTTTTATCACGCTCAGTAGTCAAATCACTATGGATGATGTAATATAATCAAAACTGTGGTGGTCATGCTACGGGGACTGGTGTGCGACCCGTCCTATAAATAAACAGTAGTTCGTGTCTTATCATGTTGGTCTCCCCTATCCCCGTAGCATGACCACCTCAATATAAATTAATGGAGGTACCCTGCGGTTTCACCCGCATTAAATGGAGGTTATAGTGCGTTACCCCTAAAATATAGACATATTGCTGTCGCGGACTCTTGTATGGAAATTTTAAAGGAGAAAAACCATTCCGTCATACATGATTTTTGCGTAACTTTTACTGTTTACGCAGCGCACGCAACGGAAGCTCTCATAATGGAATATTTTCCCCTTTCTTGCAACAGTTTTCATTGGCGTGCCAGGGCCTGATTTAGAGGTGTGGCCCTGAGTCCAACGAAGGTGTTGGGGGCCTTATTTTAAAATATGGAACCCCGACCACCTAAGATTTGTCTATACTATATATATGCCGCAGGCAATTTGTAATTTGTATCAACATTTAATGTAGAAATTTTAACAATTGAACGAGTCGCCAATTTGCCTTAGCCTATTTTAAAACAGCGACCGTTTTTAACGGACTACGCCGTTTGTAAAACGCGGAATCATACAAATTGCCTGCGACATAATATATATTATATGAGTACCCCGATATGATATATAGTATATATCATATCGCGGTGCTCATGCTAAGACGCAGATCTATATAATATACTTTCGAAAAAAAAACAATATACAGTAGTAATATTTTATTCATTTTACTTAATAACATCACAGCGATCAAGATAGACATTAAGCCTATATTCCCACAGGAACCGATTCTCAAAATCAATTATCATTACTCAGAGATATCAATTATATTTAATGCTCGTGAAATGAACGTATTGTGCCCTTTTCGATTTACACTGCAAAGAAAGTTGATCAACTTTAATAAAACTTAAAAGTTTTCGACATCCGAATGCTGTCGGAATTTTAAAATATTTTAATTTTATCTAAGTACAACACATAAAATAGACACTTTATTTTATTATACTATCTAAATCTACCTCTGTTTTAATACTAAGTTATGTTAATATATGCTTTTGAGACTCCGTCCCCATGATAACATTAATAACTTAAACAACTTAACCTGTCTAGTAAGGCATCGAAAATCTGTCAAGTTGTTAGTAGTAAGTAGTTATATAATAGGCTTTAGTAGTAATATTCCATTCTTGCATAATTGTTTCATTTGTTGACTAAATCACAATAAAATTCTAATAGTAATACACAAACAAATCATAATTTATAAAAGATTTATAGGAACGATTTCACCTTTCCTCTAAAATAAAATAATGGTTCTTAATTCCTTAAAACTACGCAGTGTACCTTAATAATTGAAAAATGTTATTTCTTGATAACGTAAATAATTATGAAGATTAAAGCCCAACCAGAAAAATAAAAAACCTAGTCTGGGTGGCCCTGAATCGCTATTATTTAAGTGCATCAATCACGTAGCAAAGTTGTATTTAAAATTAGTTCCATTAGATTTCCGTAAAATGACGCTGTTAGTTTTCTGATCGAGCTATATAAAGCTTTCGATTTTAATATTATATCGCAGAGAAAATCAAAAATATTTCGAAGTGCGGTACTGCCTACTTAAATAATTAAAAGCAATTCCACATTCGGAATCCAAAATTAATTTGAAAAATTAATCATGTAAATTACCCACTGACTAAAACGATATCGTGAAATCGGTTCCTAAAACACAATTATATTCAGGTACTGTATTTCATCACTGTTTTTAAATGTTATTACCTTATTATAAAACAGTCGCAATATTATATTTATTTATATATTTTTCATTATTTTGTTATTCGCTATGCTGATCCATTTGTGTCGTCATGCATGACGAAAATTTGATCCTGGTATAGTACTTTACTTGTCGAAAACCAACTTTATGTTAGTTTTGTAGCTAGCCTTTTTGACATTGAGACACATACATATGATAGAAGATTATAATTTTGTTGTAAACATTACAAGAATACAAGGTCATAAGTTACAGTACTCATAGAAGAGATCACTTTGATGCTAATTTGTAAGGAGGAGCATCAATAAATTAAATCACAACTGGTGTATTGCTTTTGAAAACTCCTTGCTGCTTTTACTTAAGACAAATATTAAAAATACAATTTATTTATCTACAAGTTTACATAACATACAACTATTGCTGCTTATTTAACAATTTTACATCAGTTTAATTGTTACGACAGTGATTAGCTATTAAAATATCCTCTTCCAGTTTTGTTGACGATATGAATCGAAAATCAGTGCGCGCCCAAAGAATGAAAACCACTGTTTAAGAATCTAGTGCGTGCGTCTACTTGTTTATGAAATAGGGAAGATGCAATATTTTTATTTTTATTTTCATTTTAAAGAATTCCATGTAGAATAAACCACAGATATATTAAAAAATTAAAACATTGTGGTTTATCGGAAAAAATGCGGTTTTAAATTGACAATTTAAATTTTCGCGCGAAAACGAACCTATGGTTGTGATGACGTCACTCCTGTCTGTCACTGGTCGTACTTGTTCGTCGCTGTCTTTAAATTTTCATACTTTTGCATATTTTTTCGACTTTCGAAATATTTTTTTGAAAAATTTAAAATGGACTATCCATCAACATCATGTGATCATAACAATACCACTAATATTCTAAAAAAAAGCCGTGTTGACTCATGTTTTGTGCCAATCTACTTCAACAAAGTTCCCAAATAACTTGTTTTTGACTTCTGACCCAAAACTGAAAAAAAAGTGGTTTCAAGCTGCGAAGAGAAATGACAATTATTCTCCAAAGACCATTATTCGATGCTGAGAAGATCACTTTGACGTAAGTCGGCGAATATACTTGTTATATGCTTAATTAATCTGCTTGTACGTAAAAACGATATAATAGGGAATTATGAGGCGGTTGTGAAGTTGGCAGTGAGTGCAACTATACGCAGATTTCAGATCACTGAAACCATACATAAAGAGAATGGACTTAGTGAAACTTGCATGAAAATGACAACTCTGTTGAATGAGACAAAAACAACCAACACCCACAACCATGTATGTAAAAATACGTTCATTGACATACATACATTGATCAACATAATTGTGATCATAGTATCGCATGTAGTACAAGTTGTATATGCGCGGCACGACAAAACTGCGACCGCCATATTGCTTCGCCTGCTCACATTTATCTGCAGTTTAATTCACCGTTGTTTAGGGAACTCACAGTCCACCATTTTCTTCATTTATATGTAAAACCCCGCGCGCTCTTTTCATTTCGTTTACTGCGCCGTGACTTGCGCTAACTTCACACCACAAAGTTAAAACCGCAATATACGGACGCGAGCGCTAGTGAATAGATTCGAGGTTACTTGAATCCAACGTACAAAAAACAATAGGACGAAGAGGGGATAATGAAGGCATTACCGACATTGGTGAATAGTGCTTGGAATCAAAACACTTCCGTATTTTCTAATTTTCTAAGGCTAGTGCGGAGCTCCTGTAAGGTTTTTAGTTACTGTGCGGTGCCAGCGTCTTCCAATATAGTCCAATCAAATCGGCCCGAGCTGGAATTAATGGAAGGCGGGCAGGGTGGACAAACTAGTCGCCACGGCTTCGGTCGCAATGCTGCCAAAGCGCAATACGGGACTCGCAACAAATTCTTACTTATCTGGTACGGTCTTAGCTCCGCGGGACTTTGGTCTATTCGTTTAATAGCGAACGCAGCCATATCTAGTGTCGATGCGTGCCCTACGAACATCACGTTTTCTCCTGCAACAATGAGGTTTTTTTTTATACAAACCATTTAAGGTTAATAAATAATATTTGCATATGGAAGAAACGTTATGGTTATCCTTCTTTGTTTAAAAACCCTGTTGTACCACATGTTTAAAAGCAAATAAATAATTATAGTAATATATAATAACTCCACGGGATAGGGGAGGGATTGGATCAGGATAGGCAACGATGCGAGTGATATTTTTGGTATCGCAAGCGTTTATAAGCTATGGTAGCCGCTTACCATTAGACGGGTCATACGCTTGTATGCCACCCATTAAACATATAAAAAAAACTCGATTTAACTAAAACTAGATTCAATCCATGCAAGACAGCCATAATATTTTTAATACTACATTTAATATTTTGAAAATTTTGTTTTAGTTAAATCGAGACTTAGCAAATTTGCTGCAGGAGGACCTTAAACGTTACATTACTTAAAATAAACAAAATAGTCCCATTAAAAAAACGAGTGTGCTTATGACCACACGACTGAAGTGAAACTTCTTTAGCTACATCTGTATGTAAATATATACAGGGCGTCCCACGGGTACCTCAGACGGAGGGAAAGTATGTTAAATATTGAAGATAGGTTATTTTACCAAAAGAAGACATCATTTTATTTTTAATTATAACTAGAACTGCATTCACAGTTTTTTTTAAATCACCTGCTACAACGGGGAATCAAACTCGTGAAATTTCGAAAAAAAAACACGACTTGTTTTATGATAACCATCGAAAGAATTAATCATAACAATTATTTTTTGCTAAATAACATAGCATTTTAAATGAAAGAAAAGTCATAAAGTTACACATTTTATTAAAAATTATTCAAAAAAAAGTAATAAAAAACGAAACGGTGCAAGAAAAAATAATAATTTAATGTATCAAATTTTCAAAATGTGATCCGATTTGTTGTATGCAAATTCTCACTCTATTAATGTTTTCTCTGCCTGGCGATTTAATTATCTTTGCGTGGTGAATGTTTGTAATAATACGTCTGAGTTAATTTTGTAACTCCTGCACACTGTCTTACCGGTTCTTGTATACTACATCTTTTACATAACCCCACAAAAAAAGTCCAGTGGGGTTAGTTCTGGGGTTCTTGCTGGCCATCTTATTTGTCCATAAGAACCGATCCAGGAAGGAAAGTGTTCATTAAGAAACTCGGCAGTTCTCCTACTGTTATGAGCCCCATTTTGCTGGAAAATTACATTTTGGCGATTTGCATCAGGAAGATTATATTATTGATTTCATCTCTTAAAATATTATGTATTTCTAGATATCTTTCTGTATTTAGATTCCCTTTGTAAAAATGTATTAAGAGAACCCGGTTTTTAACTAAAATAAAAACACAAAAAAAGAACAGTACCCTTAGCATGAACCAATATCGAATTAGAATAGTTTTCGTGTGCGAAATGTTATTGTCAAATTTGTACTGATTTTTAGTTCTCGTTACGTACTTTGTGGCGCTGCTGTATAAGTTTCCATACAAAATTTGACATTGACATTTCACACTCGCACACTATTCGAATTCGATTATGGTTCGTGGTAGGGGTACAGACGCTTGAAAATGTATGTGTTCCATTTTCGAATTATTGTTTTTACAAATTTCAGCCAATCGCATTGAAACTGAGTTCAAAAAGAAATGCATACGAACTACAGTTTGTATATCACTTTATTATTTTTATCACAAAATAAGACATTCCTTTCATTTAACATACTAAGTTATTTAGTAAAAAATAATGTTTATGATAAACTCTTTCGATGTGTATCATAAAATATGTCGCGTTTTTTATTTTCGATATTTCACGAGTTTGATTCCCAGTTGTAGCAGTCGATTTTTAAAAAATCTTTGATTGCAGTTCTAGTTATTATTAAAAATGAAATGATGTCTTCTTTCAGTTAAATATCCTATCTTTAATATTTCATATACTTTCCCTCCATGTGAGGTAGCCGTGGGACGTCCTGTATATGTGTACAATATATACATGTATGTACATATACATATTTCATTTACTATCTATAAGAGAAAAAGAAAATGTGCGCGCGCTCTCACTCAACTCACGTTCGCCTCGCCCGAACACACTTTTCGTAACGCGTAACGTAGTCACCAGATTACCTCCCAAGTCAAGCGTGCGTAAAGAAGTTTTACTTCAAAAACATATGGCGTAAGGTTTCACTAACCTGATGCTTCCGCTTCAGTCACAACCGTTTGTATCACTTTTTCATTTCTATCGTAAAAATCTTCTAGTGTTTCCGTCGTGTTAGTATCCATTTCCAAGTAAGGTTTGTAACTGTGAAAAAGTAGTAATTATTAATTTAAAACAAAAATGTCTGGCTGCTGTGATATTAAGCGACCTAAATTAATTCAAATCTTACATGAATGCACTCGTAAATTATTTTTAAGGTCGCATAAAGTTTGTATTTTATTGTATGCACAGATTAATAAATGTTCAGAAAATTTAGTAACTATAAAAAAAAGAAGAAGCTTAGAGGCCCTAAGCGAAAAAGAGTTAAATGAGACAATTATTAGGAAGTCGCCTTTAAAATAAAATTAATTCCTTTCGTCAGTGTACGGGCCGAGCGATGTTAGTGGGGTTAGGTATTACAAACGAGTAGACGAATGTAAATACCAATACGCACGAATGTCATACGTTTTTCAACACATTTGTGAGAAAACAATACCTTCACCTAATTTAAGTAATGAAGCAAACTTTTTATAATAATAAAATGGCGCCACGTGCGGCTGGTAAAAATTAGAACTACATCTTTCGTCTCTTTTTCTTTTCAGTATTAAAGTGAAACAGAGGTTTTGATAAAAAGCGCTTCCAAGGAGGTTCGACTAAATAAAAAAACGTAAAGGATACGGCGTCATGTATAGGTAAACATTTTACCGCACGCTCCGTTGTATGGCCCGTAACTTTGCAGTTTCGAACAATGTATACAACCTCCGTAAATGCATTTATTTAGCAAATGTGTTGCAAAATAATAAATGGCTGACTATAATAACAAATATGTACAGTCAGAGTTTTTTTAATAGAATTTTTCTAGGTGTTAAGATTGATACTTGCATACAAGTAAAAGTTACGTTTGACATTGTGGGTTACCTACAATACGAAGAGATGGCGCTGCCATTAAGGACGTGGTAGCATAATTATGATATGATAGCGAAAGCCGCGGGTTCCAGTCCAGTCTGTTTCCTGGACGCGTGGAATTTTTTCTAGCAAAATTTTCTTTAGATTTAAAAATCTAGCAGTTAAATGTTTGAAATAAAAATATAATAGAGTAAAAGTTATAACTTACACAACATCGACGTAGCTCATCTGATGTCATGAAGGGCGCTAGACCTTTGGTCATATGCCAACCTTTGTATGCGAACAATGCCGGCTCCATGAAGATCTTCAGAGACGGAATCAGCTTGTAAGCCTGAAGATGGGCGACTTTTTTGTTGAAGTAAGTTATAACTTACTTGACTTCGTCGTTGTAGCCGGCATTCTGCAGCTCCTCTGGCGTCATGAAAGGCGCTAGACCCTTGGCCATGTGCTAACCTATGTACTCGAACAGTACCGGTTCCACGAAGATCTTCAGAGACGGAATTAGCTTGTAAGCCTGAAGATGGGCAACTTTTTTGGTTAAAGTAAGTTATAGCTTACTTGACTTCGACGTTGCATCCGGCATTCTACAGCTCCTCTGCCGTCATGAAGGGCGCTAGACCCTTGGCCATGTGCCAATATAATATATGTACTCGAACAGTGCCGGTTCCACGAATATCTTCAGAGGCGGGTCAGCTTCTAGGTCTGTAGATGGACGTTTCTTTAAAGTAAAATTTATAACTTACTCAACGTCGACGTCGTATCCGGCATTCTGCAGCTCCTCTGGCGTCATGAAGGGCGCTAGACCCTTGGCCATGTGCCAACCTTTGTATTCAAACAATGCTGGCTCCACAAAGATCTTCAGAGACGGGTCAGCTTGTAAGCCTGAAAATTAATGTATTTTTAAAATTAATGAAGGTTGGCAACACTGCGACGAAAGGTCTACTCATCCGTCAAATCACATATGTCGTCATAGTCTATGTAACAATTTAATAGCTCGTTCGCTTAATTCGTGCCAAAAACTTAATTCAAAAGACCTCTTGTCACAACTGTCGACGTAAATTTTGACGGGGCCGTATGTATGTTTGTAGATAGTACACAATATACACCGGAACTATTAGAGATCAGAGAAACGTGTCATTTCATTCATAAGAACAGTTTTAAAGAAATTAATGTAAAAGAATCAGTGATAACTTATTTTTACAGTTGCTGACACCGTTGACACATAGAGGCTAAAGAGTGAGATGTAATCTATTTTATGGATAAGAGTGAAAGAGACTACTTAAGTGCACTCGATTGGCGGCTGAGGGAAGTTGGGGCGGGGACTGCTTGTGCCATTTTAAAATGCAATAATGTTGGCGTACCTGTATATATATTAAACGTCATTGATTAAATTAAATATTTTCAACACTCACACCAATTGGCCTAGCTCCAAAGTAAGCACTGTAGGCTTGTGTTATAAGATACATTGAATGGGTGACCAAAAATTTACTATCTTGAGCTCCTCTGTGGTTCGGAAGCCATGTTAAGCCGTTGGTCCCGGTTGCATTTGCAGTCGTTAGCAACCACCAATGCGCACTGGGCCCGCGTGGTGGGTCATGGCCCAATCTGTCTCCATCCATAGAGAAGGGCTGTGCCCCAGATGAATATACGTATTGCACACACCCCGCATCATCTCGTGCGCGGTCTCGACGCATCGCAGCGCGGCGGACGCGTACACGCGATGCAGCCGTACACCCGCCAGTCGCAGCCCCTCGCCCACCAGGTACGCCTGGAAGCGGCCCACGCGCGTCAGCGGAGTGTCCTTAGCGTACGACTCTTTGCCGCCTTCTCTGCGATACGAGATACATACTTCATAAATTATCTCTTATCTATTAGACAAGTCCGTCCGTCCGTCCGTCCGTCTGTGGTGCTGTTTCAGCGGCCAAACCGTAAGAGATAGATAAAGAGAATATTTAAGTTATAAGTTAAGAATAGTCTGATAAGACTACAAACCGGATTTGAGTAACGTAGCACTTCCGGTTTTCGAGAAATCACGAATTTCAAACGAAACCACACAAAATCTCCGAAGTTCTCAATTAATTAAATACATTTTTTTTGGTGAACATTTGGTTCACTGGTTTGCTAGTCTATACTAATATTATAAAGAGGAAGACTTGATTGTTTGTTTGTATTGAATAGGCTCCGAAACTACTGGACCGATTGGATAAATTCTTTCACATTTAGAATCCTACATTATTGCCGATGAACATAAGCTATAGAGTATTTTCAAAACAGTTAGGGTTTCGTATGAAAACTTCGATAATGCAACCCAATGTGTAAAAAATTACCTTATATCGCGTACGCTGCGGAAGTCATTGACAATAGAACAAAGATATTGTACTAAAGTTTTATAGAGGACATCAATATCTACAAAAAAGTTCGCAATATCATATGTCTTACTATTACAGTTATGTCACAACTATTGAAGATAGGATATTTTAGTGAAAGAAGATATCATTTTATTTTTAATAGTAAGTAGGACTGCATTAACAGATTTTTTTTAAATCGCCTGCTATAACTGGGAATCAAATGAAATTTTGAAAAAAAAAAACAACATATTTTATGATAATCATCGAAAGGGTTAATCATAAGGATTATTTTTTTCCTAATTAACATGGCATTTTAAATGAATAGAATGTCTTATTACGTGATAAAAATAATTAAGTGATATACAAACTGTAGTATGTATGCATTTAATTTTCTTTTTGAACTCACAGTTACAATGTATTGGCTGAAATTTATAAAAATAATAATTCGAAAATGGAACACATAAATTTTCAAGCGTCTTTTGTTTGGTTTTTAACCGACTTCAAAAAAAAGGAGGTTCTGTGTTCAACTGTATATTTTTGTGAGTTTCATTTTCGTTTATTTGCAATTATTTGTAAATTTACTTACCATGGCGTATCAAAATAAAATGGATTTAATGGAAGCTTACTTTATGAACCACAAACACATAATAGCTTTGCGGTGGTACCGCGAAAGATATCCTGATAGAGCCGTACCTTCTCGATATGTGTTAAAATTGTTAGTGGATTCTTTCAGAAATTTAGGACGTTTTGATATGCGCTTACGGAAACCACAGCAGCGGATGATAAACGTCAACGATTATAAACTCAACATTTTAACTTACTTTGAGGCGTATCCGATTTCATTTTAGTTTGTATTAAATATTTTAAATAAAATGTTAAATTTAATTACTTTTCTTTCATTTAAAATGCTATGTTATTAAGTAAAAAATAATCCTTATGATTAATCCTTTCGATGGTTATCATAAAATTTGTCTTGTTTTTTTTTCGAAATTTCACGAGTTTGATTCCCACTTGTAGCAGGCGATTTTAAAAAAATCTATGAATGCAGTTCTAGTTATAATTAGTAGACGATATATATAGTAGATAGACGCCCTGTATATATATCCCTGCGGTTTTAATTTGAAGAAAAAGGTTATAGTTAGTCAAACTTAAAATATGGACATATGCTTTTGAGGCCTTTTTTTATAGATCTTTTAAAGGAGAACAATTCCGTCATACATGGTTTTGTGTAACTTAAACCGTTTACCCAGCGCACGCAACGAAAGCTCTCAAACGGAATATTTGTAACCGTTTTTACAACATTTTTGATGAAACAAATATGGCCGAATCAGGCTTATGAACGCCACTTGATGCTACGCATGCTGTCGTTAAATCAAAATATATTACAAACATCCGACGCGACGATTAGTGCAATAATTATGAGTGATGGGTGTGTTCAAACCACTGCGTCACTAGATACATTATTTTAATAATAAGGGCATCGACCATTGGTAAGGGGAGGACACATTTTTTAACAGCAGAGCAATGGTGCATTTTATACAACGGGTCCTTAACTACGTAACAAAATTTCTACCCGCGGTAATTCGAACCCTATCTAATCCAGCGCCTTTTGTACTCCGACACGCCTATCAATGTTGATTATAGATTTTAATTTTAAACAATAATTCAAATAGGTTTTATGATTTGTTATCTGGCGGATTACAAGGTATCCAAAAAAAACCGGAATATACCTAGAGGGTGGCTTTACACAGTACTCAGTAATGCGACTAATTCGATATTCCGACATTGCCTTGCAAAAGTTCGTCGAATTACCGCGGGTCTACAGTAATTATCATGTTACGTGTAGATATAATTTATTATCACGAAAACACTGCTGATGCTTTGTCATCGTGAATGATTTATGCACAAATTATCTGTATGAATGCTACGCTACGAGTTTTATTCAACAAACATTTATTACTTGATTCAATCAGTTAATATAGTGACCTTGACCATAAAAATGCGGACATTGGCCGCTTATTCATCTCCAGCGTGATTCATAACTTGATTAAACTGGGATAACATGGGGATTCAGTTGTATCGCTACCCTATCAAAAATAGTTTTTTCAGTCTATTAGTGACGAGGGACCATTTGTCAGAATTCGGGTGCATCCAGGGACCACTTCTGGTGCTTCCAGGGACCACTTCTGGTGCTTCCAGGAACCACCAGTGGTCCGCGGACCATCGACTAAGAACCACATACCACCATTAGAACAATCTAGGAATAGCAAGAATGAAACTATGTGGAAGTTAATTTATAAACATACTTAGTTCAGAGCAGTAATATTGATTTAATTGTTTGTTTAAGGAAATAACTTTATATCTTAGATTTTAATGTAAAATATCAAAATCATTTTGTTTTATATTTCGAGTTAGGGTACTTTAATTCATTAATTTATGTTTATATGGAATAGTTTCTTAAATAGCTACTAATTAATAAGGTCCTCGTGTTTGTAATAATATCATTATCTAAATGGTTATCTTGTTTTACTTCCGCACATACATTATTCATACAATCTATAAGACGAAACAGTCAAGAGTTAATTTGATTTATATCACGTCATTTTTTTCTAAAGAGATAAAAAGATAAACAACATAACGTATAACGATGACTGGCACAATAGTCCCGTTGGTTCGTTTAACATTAATCTACGTTATCTGTGATAAATATTATAATCGGACAAAGATTGACACATGTTGTTATAGTATGAGACGCCAGTATTATCTCGGAACGCTATAAGTAGCTGGGGGCTTGAAGTTCTTTGTTTTGTTTCATTGTTGAATAATTCGAACGACAGACCTATTTATTCACTTTGCAAGCTATTTCCGAGAGTTTGCGGAATCGCGTAACGAAAATGTCTAGTTTCGTTCTTAGGCCCTTATTATAGAAAGATTCTCAGTGATTGATCTAGTCTTGAGCATAGTTAGAAAGGGATGTCTCTATATATAGCACATAGCGACATCCCTTTCTAACTGTACTCAAGTAAAGATCAATACTTAGTTGTCATTCTGTAATACGGGCCTTAGAATGACCCGAAAGACTTTTCAAATGCCACGAAAGTAAACAACACCACACATTTCTCAGATCCATTGAGGTTTCACTCACGATAACGATTGTGATTTGCCTGCAATTTAAAGAAAAACCGAATTTCATCGACTTGGTCTATAGTCAGGGTAGACCTTAGAGCATTGCTCTAAGCAGAGGAGTGGTAAGATATAACATACAGAAGTGTAAGTGCCGAGTCTTGCCTTTTGCTGGTCAAAAGGCAGTAGAACGTCAAGCTATTAATCAACAACGTTATCACTGCTGGAGCACAGTCCATCCCTTTGGTTGAAATAGGAATCCATCACAGGCCAGCCATTGCGAAAGTAGCCTAACTTCCACAATCGAAGATCGAACGCGCTAGAGGCACTGCGCCATTAATTTCTTAACATTCACAATCATAGACCGAACGCGTCTTCAAAACTACTTCACGTATATACTCAGACCAATTTATTTGGTCTGAGCGTATATACTATATTATGTCGTAGGAAGATTTGATAAACTTTCGCGAAAATTTTGCAGATTTATTATGACTTATATATATTTTATAAATAACTTCTCCGATTCCAATTTTCTCTCTTCTATTTACTCCACAAACAAAAAATTTAAAAAAATGATCTTCATATAAAAGATTCTTGCATGATATGACATTTTTGTATGACGTCTTTATTACAAGGGCTGCCAGATCAAGTTTTTCTGATGTGACCAGATTATTGACTATGCAAAATATAGTGGTTCGACATTATCTTTTCTCAGTAAGATTGGGAAATGTTTTCACCATTGTTTAATTATCCGCGTTTTAGCAAAATCCCAATGACTTTCACGAAGAATCGATTTGTCATATTTTATGATCCTACGACGCAAGTATAAGTAGTAAACTAGAAACATTAAAGGACAAAATTATCGTTATAGTAGGACAGCGTTGCTTTTTTTTCCACTTCGGTACTTAGGAACTTTTTGAGTGAAAAAAGCAGGATTCTATCGTCAAAAGCGGGACATAGTAAAAAAACGTATATAATCAAAAGTTAATGAATATTTATCTTTATTACGTGCCGGGGAGGCGGCCAGTCCACACTTGGCTGTGCCACCCGCCCGCGCTTTCTCAGAACGCTGCACGCACGGTCGAGTTATACCCGAAAAGCGGGATTGAGCCTGTCCCCTGAGCTCCCGCGCGGGACATTAAATTTTGATTTAAAAATCGGGACGTCTGGCAACGCTGTATTAGGATGAAATGACTCACCGTGCACTGAGTGTGAGCGGCATGTTGAGATCCTTGCGCACGTACGTATCGTTCTCGTCAAAGCAGTGCTGCACCCAGTGGCCGTACGTGAGGTCCACGCGCTCGCCGTGCCGCATCGCGAACACCCACCCCTGCTTCTTGTCTGTCTCCGACTCCTACGATTATTATATCCCATCAACTTTATTAGCTACTAGCGGCCGCCCGCGACTTCGTACGCGTGGAGTTAGTTAGAAAGAAAGGTTCACTGCTCGTTCCCCGTAGGTGATAGTGTGATAAGAAGTAACCCATATGTTGGCCCGACTTTTAATAATATTCGTGCTAAATTTGAAGTAAATCCATGAAGTACTTTTTGAGTTTAATCCGGACATACATACAGAAATAAAATCTAAAAACTATATTTTTGGCTTCGGTATCGATTGTAAATCACACCCCAAGTATTCTTTTAAAAAAAAATCAATGTACAGTTTTGACTTTCCTACCATTTTATTATATGTATACATTATATCCGAACCCTAGTCAAAGAATGGGCTGAGCGTTCCCTGTCGAAATGTTAAGTAAAACTTACTTTTGCATTTTGAGGGCAACGCACGAAGCGATCTGGTGGTACATAATTCGTATAAAAGTACTTTAATGGTGATTGTTCTCTCTTTCTACAGAGTTGTCATGTTGATGAAAGTGTAGTTCGAACAAAAGGAGAGCACTGCAAAGACTAGCCCAAAACACGGTGCTAATGTGAGCTGGTACTTGGATGCTATAAAACTTCAGATTAAGTCGGCAACAACCGGTTAATGTGTCGTCGCAAGCATAGCTCAAGAGAATTTTTGGGCACCCATCCGATGAGCAGCCATTGCGAAAGTTGCATAAGTTCTATAATCACAAACAGGTATGAAGTGCGTTACGTTGAATTTTTACATTATTCCTGATGTTTCGGATACTTTTTAGGTTCCTTGGTGACTAGATATTTAGATTGTTGATTTTTTTTAATGAATTACCTTTTAGAAGAAAAAGGATTCATAAAATAATCTATACTTATAATAAATCTGTAGAGATGTCAATTCTGTACATGAAATATATTTTTAAAATAACTATCAGGGGGTGATTAGTGATCGATACTGATGCCAAAAATGCAGTCAGTAAAATTTTTGTCTGTCTGTCTGTCTGTCTGTGTTTATGTTCCTTATAGAAACAAAAACTACTCAACGGATTTTAACGAAACTTGGTACAATTATTCTTCATACTCCTGGGCAGGTTATAGTATACTTTTCATCACGCTGCAATCAATAGCAGCAGAGTAGTGAAGGGAAATGTTGGGAAAACGGGAGAAGTTACTCCATTTTTTAAGCTTCCGTCGCGGGTGCAGCCTTAATGGTTAAAGTTACATAGAAATCATGTATGACGGAAATATTCTACATAAAAATGTCTAAAAAATATCACGCAACAGCATATGTCTATCTTTTAAGGTTGACTCACAATAACACGTGTAATTATATAAATAAAGTCATTCTTTATAGCACAAGCCTGAGAACAAAAACTATAGTTTACACTACAGCTCTACACCGAAGCGAAGCGAGGGCGGGCCACTAGTTATAAATATTGATAATTATTCATGAAATGTTTTTCTCTTGTACTGAAACCGAACCGAATATAAACACAAAAGATTTTTCTTATATTTGTAGTTAGTATTTACTTGAAATAGAAATAGTCGCCAGATTTTAGTAGGTACTGATAGTAATAATATGAAAGTTCAAATCAATCTAATCAAATTTTGTTTATCTACACAGGTAGGTAAATCTTGCGACAAGCTTACATACTATACAGGGTTACAGGGAAAGTCGTACTGAATATTAAAGGAGGTTATTATTTAGGCCAATACCGATGGATATGGTCCTATGACATAGTGTCCAAAACTTTACTGTTAAGGAGATATTTAGATTTTAAGTTTTTTTAAAAATAATCCTTAATTTTTTGACTTTTCATCGATTTTTTTGGGATTAGAGATCCTAGGGTCCGTTTTTTTATTTATTTTGTTAGTAGACACATCAATTAATCAAATTGATTAATAATTTACAAGTCATAGAAATCTCACTTCCTACTGCAAACATCGTAAAACACTTGAAACCTTATTATGTACTGTGTAAGTCATGCGTGCGTGTATTTCTAATCACTTCTTTGTCTTTTTTTATTGAAGCTTATTATTATCGCATACAACATTTATTTATTATAAGTGTACCGTCTTGTCGATCTCGTATGCATCATATATGATTACCGTAACCTTATCTATATTAAGCTCTATACCAAAACAGTCTTACCATGCTATTTTATTACTAGTTTTTGCTTAAAATGAACTTAGAATCACTAAATCACACACTACACACATAAATATGCTCTTCACAGTTTTAAAAATAGATATTTAGTCACACAACGCAACGACTGTACCTTCTTTAATATAATAATGCAAGTTGATTAAGTTAAACTTTATCTCTTTTGCGGGTACTAGCATTTTTTTCCGTTTACAATCCTAAAAATTTAACAACTTCATCTGAATGAAACTATCGGATAATACGAAATATTTTTAATACATGACATTTGTAGATGATCTCAAAGTACGTGACCGTATCTAAAATCGGTATAACATTTTATTAATTTTATTCATATTTCGTATGCATTTCCATAACCGAAATTTCGTATAGTTACAAAATATACCTGTTTCACACTATAATTCACTATATTCTTTGTAGGTTAAGATGGCAAAAAATTAAAGGCACAGCCAGACATACAAAAAGTTACAGCGTAATAAATGTTCTCAATCGATTATGAATCGATAATCAAGCAAATTAAATCTCAAAATCGTTTGGAAAATGTGACAGTTTTTGCTAACTTGCCCTGTGGCTCTCTTTACAGCGCAGTATAAGGCAAAATATAATATTATTGTCATTTATAATATTACCCAGTGAAACTAGGTTTTGGTACGAGCTTATTATTCATTTGGTAGTTGTTAGGTCTAATTTCGTTGCACGGAAAGAGTAATTAAACGAATTTATCCACGAGTAGGGTTACCATCCGTCCGGACATGTCCGTAATTTTAGATTACAGTCCGCACTTTGGCCGGATTTTTAAATTACGTTGAATATGAATAACAAAAGTACGTATTGATTTATACCAAACCATTGTAACTAAATGAGTAGTGGCACCATTTTGTGGCTAAAAAGTACGGACTTTATTCGAAATGTCAGGATTCTTGACAGGACTTCTGAAATTCCTAAATGGTAACCCTATCCGCGAGTTAATAACTGAAAGTTCATTCTAGTTTTATTAATGGCCACGGCCGAAAAAAGGAGACATCATCCTACTAATCCAACTATAATATTATAAAATTGAAAGTTTGTATGTTTGTTACTCATTCACGCAAAAACGGCTACAGTATATAAATTATATATTCCTATAGAAATCCATACAAAGAATATAAACCGCGCGCGCCGAGGCGGTGCAGGAAATTTTCAACTTGTTCGAACTAGAAAGCGAGCAAATGTTACGTTAGGTAAGTACATACTTTTCCATGTAAATACAAAATCGTTTTAGTTGGTGAAGATGACAACCCCTACTTTCCCAAGTAGTAATCTCGACCCACATTTTTACCGAGTGGAAACTCGCCTCAGGAAAAATTTTGTGTGCGACTTTCCACCTAAGTCAACATGATACTTTAATTTTTAACTTGACTCACCTTAACGTCCCCATTGCTTCCGGAAAATTTCCAGTCGATGTCATTACCTGAAAAAAAAATATAAAATATCCAGAAGCTTGTTTTTATATTTATACTTGCTGTCCCAGCAAACTTCGTACCGCCATAAAAAAATAGGGGTTGGTTGTAGAAGGGTGAATATTTAGGGTTGTATGTATAAAAAAATAAAAACAAAAAAAAAAATTAAAGGATGGACTACACTTAACATTTAGGGGGACGAAAAATAGATGTTGTCCGATTCTCAGACCTAATGAATAAAATTTCATGAAAATCGGTCAGCCGTGACACGAGAATTTTATATTTTACTGTAGTTTTGGGATTGTTTGAAAAAAAAACAGTCCTTCCGCTTGCAAATACTTTTATGAATTCATTAGACAAACTGCGGACAATTAACTTAATCACAGAACCAGACACCGAGGCTTAAGCTTGTCTCTTACTTATCTCTTACTCTTACTTACTTACTCACATCACTTTTACGTTTAGAAACGTCAGATAAATAAATTCAGTGCATATAACCCGTAAAAATCGTTTTATTTAATGGCTATTCATATTTGCCTTAGGCTAAATTTTAAGGTAGTATATAACTTATTATAAAGCATGATAAGGATATCAGCATTATCATCATCAGTCTTTTAATGTCCCCACTACTGTCCACTGCTGGGGCACAAGCCTTCGCTATGGATAGAATAGGGAGAACGAGCCATGGCCCACCACGCGGGCTCAGTGCGGGTTGTTAACACTGCAGACGCAGTCAGGTGCAACTGCTTAATTGCCTTCCGAAGCATGGAAGAGCTCGAGATAGATTTTTAGTCGTTTAACTTTCACAGACCGAGTCTACCTCAGAAAATGAGAGCATAACATAGTGAAATAATATAAGATACCCTTTTTTTATTTGTGCCCATAGATGATTAATTGACATATGTGACCCTATTCCACATTCATCTACGGGAACAAGAAAAAAAATACTGAAATTAATAATAATTGCCTTTAATAGGATTCTAACCTGAAAGGACTTTAGAACCGACTCGGTCAGAACTGAAAATCAGCGATTTACTCTACGAGTAAATGTTTCGCTGAGTTTTCGCCCATTCGCATCGCTGCTGCACACGAAAATACCATATTATAGATAAATAAATAGAATTTGATGCTTGTTTTAAAGAATTTATATAATCGTAAAATTTGTCTTGTCAATTATTTTGTATGTGTGCATGTTGGTGTGAATAAAGTTGTAATCTATCTATCTACAGCAAAATCGCTTCTCTGCCAGTGGAGCCTGCGCTTTAAATCCCAAAGTTAGAAGTCTGCTAAATGACTAAGTACAAATGTTTCAGCAATGTGAAATTCTTATTTGTTCTGAATCATAGTCTTTATGGTAGGCCTATTTATATCTTTATCCAGTAAATCAAAGTATGTTATGTTAAAGAATTTTTAAAATTAAAGATCGTATCGGAATTTAAGTAAAAATAAAAAACTAAGTAAGTGATGTTACCATGTGTGACGTTCAGTATGCCCTCTGTCCTATGCAGTTGCACGGTGTTCCAGTAATTGTCCCACTCCTTGAAGGTCTCTTCAGATTTCTCAAAACCCAACATGGTCGCATTCTCGTGCGGAAAATTCATCTCACCGTCCGTGTTCGAATCAGATTCTGATTTGCAGTCACCACCACTGCCACCACCTAAATAAATGAACAACAATAAAAAAACTATGTTGACGACCATTTCTGCTTAAACACAACTTAACTTGTACCTAAACTCTATTGAGAACTGAACGGAACAAGTCTGAGAAGCGATATTTAAACACCTTCGATTGTCGCCAAACAAGATTATCCTGCTAAGCCAGTGCCTGTCAAACCTTTCCAATTAATGTGCGTGCTCTTTGAGAGGCCACTGTGGAAAACGTAGGTTTCGTATACATAAAGATTTAACAGGAGCTTTAAAAAATTGTAGCCAGAGTGATAAATTTGTAGCTTTTGTAATTCGAACGCTACAACTCACCGAATGTGGGCCCCATATATCTGACCAATTTAAATAATTTTGATGAAATATAATATTTGGAAGGTAATTTGTTGGACTGGCTGAAAGAAAATCCAATCTGTTAGTGAGCCCTGAGTTCTTAAGTGATCAAAATTCACTCTAATGCTACTTTGAAGTTAAAACTTAGTTTATTTGGAAAGCTTTAAATTTTAGCAGAAGTAGTCAAAATGCTACCCTGTGAGTACGAGGTTAATATTATATTCTTCCAGTACAGAAACATAGGCTCTAGTAAGGCGGCTGCCCAAAACCAAAACACAGTAAGTCACATTTAAAAAAAAAATACAGGTGAGCAGAAATTTATTGTTGCCTGTATTTAGCATATTTAAACGTAATGTAATAAATAATTTTACATCAATCAAAGCGTAATTTATTGCCAGATTTTTATTTTTTTTCATAACTCATTTAAAACACTTTAGCGTTAAAAAGAATACAAAATATATCAATATTTAACCTAGTATAGAACAAATCCTTGTTCTTTTAAAATTCTCAGTTATGATTTCATGTATGTTAACCACATTCATTTTTTAGGACACCATACTCCAGAAACGTTTGGAAAATCGTGTAAACATTTTACAAAAAATTTAAGCCAAAAATCTTATATGAATTTTTTTGTTCTTTGAAAGTGTAAATTTCAAAATAAAAACTAGATAAGGGTGATTCTCAGTTAAGAGGTAATCGGTTGTATGGAAGCAGTGGCACAGCAAAAAGTATCGATATTTATATAACTATATCACTACATTTATCAAGACAGATGATTTTAATATGATCAGTCATTTTTTTTATTTATTCTCGTTTTACGAGACACCAGGGGAGATACTGAGGACAGGGTAGAGACAAGATGAACTTTATTGCAATGCGCTTAGAGCGCATATTAGGATGCACTGTAAAGTACTTATCCGTGCAATCAGATTTTAGTGGAATAACGATATAAAGCGAAACAATTATCTAAAATATATGCAATTGTACATTCTCTAATAAATTATCATTACTGTTATTGAGCTATTGCATCATTTTTATAGTTTTGTTAGTAGCCTGGCACCATAACAGCCAGGGGAAATATGGCAGGGTAGAGACATTTTCGTTAAAAATCTAAAATTGCCGTAAAACTACTAATTTTACAAAGATTTCAAATAAATAAAAGGTTTGCAGCACTATTTAAAATAAATGTATATCTAAATGAAAACAATCTTTTTTTTTATTAAATGAGAATTTATATACAAAATATACTTACATGTCAATAAAAAGGGAATGGAAAAGTGCAAACCTTTATTTATGGAAACTTAATTAGTTGAAAGCAATCTAAAAAAAGTTCTTCCGCACAGTTAGACACTGGCGTGTTACCTGCACAATAGACCTAGGCCAAATATCCAAGGTCAAACAGGTATAAATATCATTCATTCACTTTCAAACAACAATCAAACACTGAACTTATTCAAGCAAAAATGTTTTCACGTTTTTTTGCATGTCAAATTCTTTATTAATTCCCATGTACTTACCTACTCATTTCTTTCTATAAAAACGTGAACTAAACCAAAATAAAAATGGCAAAACTGTATTAAAACAATTGTCGCGTAGCCAAGTTGAAAAAAAAAAGTTGAAAGCTTATCTTACTATTGTTGTTGGTCAATGAGATGGCGCGGTGGAGCGTCCAAGCGTCAGACTCGGCCGTACGCCGCGTGTATACTGCGGGCAAGTAGCCCGACACGCCTGAAACAAACGCTCACTATAATATGAAGACTGACGCATACTATTAAGAAGACTGCTGATTTGCAAATTACTCTTTTCATCAATTCAATTCAATATATTTATTGTTTCATGTGATAATGCAATATCAATATACATAAAATAAATAAAATACACATAATTATAATCAATCCCAGTAAAATTTAAGATTACAAGTACGCTACCTTTCATCAAAAAGCTCTTGCATACTATATTTTTCAGTGTTCATGAGTTCATGTTTCAGTGCGAAGCTGACTTTCAGCAGCATTTTAGGAAGAAAACGCTCAGTACGTTATAAAGGTTTAATTCAATGTTCACACAAAAAATATTACGAATAAAATTTTACCAGTACAATCGTAGTCGCAAGTTTTTGATTTGCTCGAGTATAACATAAACTTGTGAGAAACTTCAAGCCTCCCGTGAAAACGCAGCGCGTATTAAGAAGTCCGACCCTTTAATTAAGACGCGTGGTTTTATCACTTTAAAGACAAAAAATAACTTGCCATCTTTAATCAAGTGCGTCATTAAACGTAACATAAGTAAAATCCGAGTTCTTAGCCCGTAAGTTAAACTCATTTGTTTACCTACACATAATATTTATAAAATTATATAACTAACGAAATCTATTAATATCGTCGTTATTTTATTGAAACCCTGACATGATGTTTGTAGTAATAAAAGTAAGTACTACATTTTAATAATCATATTCATTCTACTATCGTTACTCGTGGCGGTGCCATTGCCCCGTATATCACAAAATCATATTGAAATGACAACACTAGTTATCCCGCATTGTAAGCATAACAGTCTAGGTTTACAAAAGGAAACTACACAGAAGGTTAGGCATTTATTAGCAAGCCGCGTAGGTGCGATATACCAACACAAGAAAACACTAAACTAAATATAACTGGTATCACATCACACTATAAACGATATCAGATCATGCAACAGAGCGATATCATGACGTATTAATAATTTAAAAACAAGCATTCAAACAATTTCAATCGATCCGATCCATTCGATCCTACACTTATAAAATTAACAGGAAAAAAAGGAAGTTTACTTCTAAATAATTACAAATCGTACACAACTAACCTCCAAACTTCGAGTTCAATAAACGCAAACAATTTATTGCGCGAGTCATATTCGTACAGCGGGCGATAAGGACAGCGATCCTGTAGTACACTGAGCGTCAAGGCGCGCCGCATGTGGTTACCTGTGAGCCACGACGTGCCATGTAGCCAGCCGTCGGGCGAACTGTTGATGTCCTCTTCTTTTATGTAGATATAATCGCCGATCACAAGTTCAAGTTCGTCACTCGCTTTTGGCTCGTAGCCTTGAGTGACTTTGTACACCTGGCAACAACATTCGTTGTGTATAGAGTTTATATTTTCTTTAATGAATCCGACTTTTCACAGGGTTCGCTAGAAACATCTGTGTTTAGCTTTATCTATGCGCTTCATCTATGCGGTAATATGATTTGATCATTTATAATAATAATAACAACAATAACGGTTTATTTATCTTAAAAGTTACAATTGCTCTTATAAACTAATAAGAGGAATTAAATCTTAAATATAAGTCGCGTTTAAGAGGTTCGTTCACGGCTGTACTGGTATTAACTGTGTCACAACCGTCAGCGACTCCTTCCATAATATAAATTTGTCATGGGGATGCACACAAATTAGCCTAATTGAAACCATCTAAATTTGTACCCAACTAACCGAAAGTAATTTTAACTAACTCCAGTTTTAGATTTGGACAGCAATCAAACGCAAAGCAATCCTACGGCTTTTTCTCTGGCGCTCGCACCTCTCACGGTCCCCGTTCTTATCCTCCCCGGTTCCACTTCAGGTAAGCGGTCTACCTATACTTATATCGCGTCTACAAAAAATATGATGTATGAGCCGTATACTCCTCAACATTTAAAGTGGCCCATTATTTATAGTGCAATTCAAACTTAAAAGCAGCTGTGAAGTTAGCGCAAATGGCGCCACAATTAATGAAATTTCACTGCGGCTGAAACCTTTTTTTATGTCTGGGACGGGATATGCCTTGGAGAATCCCACAGCTACCGGGGGAGCAAGAAGAAGGTATCGGACTCCTCCCTGCGTATTTCATCTAGCTCTAAAGCTCGATGTAAAATAAGACAATACTCCTTCACAGGTTACCCGACACGCATAAAGAGGACAACGGACCCCTAATGCGCGTCGAAAGTGCGGGTGAAGTCGTGGTACTCGATTTCTAACTGTGCACGCACCCGTAAGGTGATTGTCCGCGAACGGACCCACCCTGATGAAGATGACCCGGAGTATTAAAGGGATCGACATCCATTACAAACTGAAACCTGCGCACCTGGCACCTTGAAGTGGTACGCCAGCGTGATGTGCAGCACCAGGGTTCCAGACACACCACTGCTTTGAATGTTTGTTTATACATGCGAGCCGTACACTTGTCAACCTTTAAAGCATATCACTTACCTGATGGTTGGCAAAGCGCGGATCTCTTGAATACAGGCGCAGCTCCCATCCCGCCTGCTGGAAGGGCTGCATCTCATGAACAAGCTCCTTTAGCGCTTCGTACACCGACACGTCAAAGTGGTACGCCAGCGTGATGTGCAGTGACTTCACGTGGGGCTCCAGGCTCACTGCTGCTTTGTTTAAGCGTTTATATTAATAAAAACAAACATTAACTATGTTTGTTTTTAGCTTAGCTTTGCTAAATGTGACACATTTAAGTATAGAAAAAAAAACAAATAGAGTATCTAGAAACCACAACTTTTCAGAACCAAAAGGGAAGAAAAATATTTTTTATTTTTGACATTGATCCTTTGAATGTTTCAATAAATTTGAAACATCTAAGTCGAGAAAATAATTTATAAATCTACAAAAAACAATAAAATAGTAAAATGTAAAATATAAATAATCAACATCAATGTGGCAACGATAGACATTTTACCAACATGTTCAAACTTCTGTATCCATCTATACTAATATTATAAAGAGGAAAGATTTGATTTTTTGTATGTTTGTTTGTTTTGAATAGACTCCGAAACTACAGGATTGATTTGAAAAATTATATCGCATTTAGAATCCTCCGTTATCCCTGATGAACATAGCCTATAGAGTATTTTCAAAAAAGTTAGGGTTCCGTATAAAAAATTCGATAATATAAGCCAATATGTAAAAAAATACCAAAAATTAACATTATATCGCATACGCTGTAGAAATCATTGACAATAGAGCAAAGTGATGTACTAAAGTTTTATAGAAGACATCAATATCTTCAAAAAAATTGCAATACCATATGTCTAACTGTTACAGTTATGTCACAACTAGAGATCCCCTGCGCTTGTTATAGTGACTCAAACTTATAAGAGCTAAATGCATATTATTATACCGTTGCAGACTCTTTTATAGAATTGTTTTAAGGGCAAAACTTCCATCATACATTATTTTTGCAACATTTTTCATTGATGCTCCGCATTTCCTAGTCCTTGCATGGTGTTATAGAGCCTATAGCCTTCCTTGATAAATGCTTATCCAATAGATTTTTTTTTCTAATTGGACAAGTATTTTTCTAAAATTAGTGGATTCAACCAAAAAAAAAACAATATGTCCAGTTAAATCAGACTTATGAAACGCTATGCCACCTGAGTTGAGTCAAATCAAAATGTGTACTAATTTCTATGATCAGAATCACATTAGAAATATCCAATGTGACAGTTAGTTTATCTCCATAATTTTGAGTGATAGACGTGATGGGTGTGTTAAACTACTACGTCACTTTAATAATAAGGACATGGACTAAAGGCAAGGAGGACACACTTTTTTAACAGCAGAGCAATGGTCCATTCTATATAACGGGTCCTAAACTATGCAACAATATTTTCACTATCTTTTCACTTTATTTATAATTATATAACGAAACTCATTGTTTAATACAAGCCTGAGAACAAAAACTATAGTCTACAATACAGCTCTATACTGAAGCAAAGCGAGGGCGGGCTACTTGTTAAAATATAAATTGCTTAATCTGAATTGGAACAAAATTCCTTTTTAATGGTCAAGTTTTGGCTATTAATAATTTCAGTGCTAGAATGTTATTGATCAAAGACATAGAACTACTAGTGTTTTTAACATGGAGCTAAGAGATATGGTGAAGTGTTCACCAGTTGGTGCTGAAAGCAATCTACCCTGATGAAGATCACCAACTGCTTATTATATGAGATCACCCTAATCCATAGAAAGTAACACAGGAATCAATAGTACATAAATTACATTCTTCTTCCTTTTTTTATGGCTGAGCTAATGTGAAGCTATCAATACTAAAATAGACATAAGCTCATAAAAAAAACCTGTATTAACAAAGAAAAATTCAACTCAAGATAATCCTCTTCAGAAAATTTCAATAATTTCGGGGATCAACAATGAGTTTAATAAACATAAATTTGATAAGATTTAAATAGGAGCTTTAATATCTTCATATAATTTAAAAATATTCCATAAATAAAATACAGTAAGTACACAAAGGATAGATATAAAAAAAGATAAAATAAAAAGCAGTTACCTTTATTTACTAGTTGATCATGCTCATCAATCTTCTACCATCACTCTAGCCTACAACATGCTGATAAACAAATAATAAGTTAAATAAAATAGCATAAAATACATGATGTTTATTTATATCAATGCATTAAAAGCATGTTGAGGAATATTTACTTTGCTACTCTTACATTTGTAAGGTTTTTCCTGGGGCATAGTACACCAAGGAAAGCAAGTCCCAAGGGCATCCAAGTGTTCATAAGTATCCACTGCTACACCCACTGTTTAAAATACATGTTCATTAAATATAATTAAGGTTTTTTATATACTTTAAACTCTAACACCACTGGACAGCAAGGGTAGTAATCAAGCTCAATGCAAGATAAATAATATTAGATTATTTAAAATTATATATAGGTATGTACTGCATTAAAAATACATAGACAGAATACAAAAAAAAAGAAATTAATCTTATAAAAACAGCAATAGCAGTTGCTTCCATTCTACAACATTATAATTTAAAAAAAATGGAAATTCAAAGAAAGGAATTTAACTTTACATACATACATGCAGATGACACCTGTTTCACATATTGCACTGCAATCCTTTTCAAGTAATCAGCATGTTCGTCAGATACAAACAATCCCATGAAATTATGTGATATATAAGGCTCCACCTTCAGAGGGCAACTTGGTGGTTCTCCCACATTTTCAACCACATGCTTAACTGCTTTAGCTATCTGGAGGGATGTCTCATCTGGTGCCTGTAAGAAGACAAAGTCTCCAAAAAGTTTGGCTATAAATAGCATCCAAGAGATTGGAATCCTGAATATACAGGGTGGAAATTTTGAATGCCACCCCCAGGGGAAGTACTGTAAATACTGGAGATAGATAAATTTACTCACAGGAAACATTCCTTTATTTTTAAAAAGAAACACAACTGCATTCACAGTTTTTCGAAAATTTGCTTGCCACACCCGGGAATCGAACTAGCGAAAAATCGAAAAAATTACACCTGTATTTTTATGGCATCTATCTATAGGATCAATCATAGGGATTATTTATATTATATTTTATATCTTTATTATCTTCGACGTCATTTATTCATTCAAATAACGAATAAAGAATTTTTTGCACATGTCTAAAATGCAGACTAAAGAGTCAGTCCAGTAAGGTACCAGTCTCAGGGGGGGCGCCGTACAACCTCTTTGGTGCCAGTAATTTAAAAGAGGTACGCAAAGAGGTATGTTACATATTTTTGAAAATGGAATAGCGAATTAGAACGCATTGTCCTAAGTCTTGTTTGCTGCATCAAAATTTACCATAATAAATAATCTATCGATCGATGCCATTAAAGTACAGGGTGTCATTATTTTGAATTATTGCCAGTTCGATTCCCGTGTGTGGCAAGCAAATTTTCGAAAAACTTTGAATGCAGTTGTGTTTCTTTTTAAAAATAAAGGAATGTTTCCTTTGAGTAAAATTATATATCTCCAGTATTTAGAGTACTTCCCCTGGGGGTGGCATTCAAAATTTCCACCCTGTATATTGTGACAAGTGTTAACAGTCAATAATTATTGTTCCCAATTCCCATATCCTC